AGCTTGCTTCACTGTATTATTATTAATTTATTCTCTTCTCAACTAACTTCTGACTGACAGTCATCAGACATCATAGAAGAAGATAATGAGCTTGAGTGAGAGATTGAGAATATTCTTAATAAGAGACTCTGCAGCTGCAGCTGATAATATCTTGTAAAATGAGTCAGCTATGATCAACTGATCTGAACTTCAAGTTTCACATTATTCAAAACAGCAGCTCTTGACTGATAAGAACTGCTTCTGAAAAGAGAGAATTAATATAGCAGAGTGCATCTGATTAATTATATAGACTATTCTGTTACACTTCACAAATTTCAATCACTTCATTCTTGAATATGTATACTCTGATTCTCAGCCATTCTTGATCACTGATTCTCAGCCGTCATGAACGCGTATGCTCTGATTCTCAGCCATTCTCAATCACTGATTCTCAGCTGCTATGAATGCGTATATATTCTTTCACTCTGAAGCTCTACTGCGTACATCATCACATACATGTATAAATATTCATCTCAATCACTGATTCTCACACTTTCTCTTTCTTTTCTTCTCTAATATTTTTATCTTTGTTATATAAGATCTATTAATATAATACTGATCTATTCAGCGTAGGCCTCTTACAGATAATATCATCAAATATCTTGATATTCTGTTTCAAGACACTGTTATATAACAGAAAGTATTAGATTGATTACAGAGTATCTGACAGAGAAATACTTCTCTTATAATATTCATCTCTGACTTCAACACTAAGATCTTAGAAGCAGGTAATTAATCTTGAGAGAATTAAATAAAGATTAGCATGCTTAAGAAGACATTTACTTTTGAACTCTTATAAACTCTTGTAAGTGTAGACAAAGATCAGACTTATAAAGACTTCTACACACAGCTCTAAATATTGAATAACTGTCTTATCAAGCTCAAGAGTATACAGAACAGTAGTAGAAGATATTACATCTTAATAACTTATACACTCATGCTGAAGAACAGCAATGATACAGATGTTATAAACTGAATAGATTCAAATGTCTATGTATAAGCAAGGATTTCTGCTATTTAAACAGGCTTCTGAGTCTCTAAGATCACTTCTGAAGATGTCACTGATCAATATCAACATGAAGTATATATTAACTGTAACTAATCAGAACACATTGCTTTTAACTGTTAATCAGTCTATATATCTTCTTACTTAAAGAATGAATCAATATCTATCTGTGTCAATCACATTATATTAGAGAAAGATTTAGAAAATAACTATAAGAATGCTCTGATGAAACAGAGAAAAGATTAGCTTCTATTCAAATTTATAAACAGAAGCTTGAAGAGGTCAGATGATAATAATTTAATCTGAATTCTTATACACTCAGATAATACAAGAGATGCATAATTTATATATAACTGATTATTCAGACTGTGAATAACTATATAAAATAATCTTCTGAGAATTCTACTGATCTGAGATATTAAACAGTATCAGATATTTTATCTGAAACTGTAACTATTATTCTTCTATCATCTTATAAAAGAACTGTTGAAAAGATCTGCTGAAACTGCTTAATATCTCTGATAAAATCTGATAAGATATGATAATTAACTTCATTATTAATCTCTCTAAGAGTAAGAATTATAGAAATATTCTAATTATTATAAATTAATTAAGCAAAGATATAATATTGAAATCTTATAATAAAATAAATACTAAATAAGTCACTGAAGCTTTTCTATAAAGTCTATTTTATCAGATATATAAATTATGAAGATTTATAGTATCAGATTAAGACTATTAATTTATAAGTACTCTCTAAATAAGAATCTATTAAGTTCTTAAAATTATATACTGTCTATCAACTATCTATCACTTTAAGACTGATAATATATCAGAACAGATAATTCAGACTGTGAAGAATTATCTTTATAAGTTCTGTAATTACTTATAAGATAATTGATATAATCTTCTTCTATACACAGAGATTACTATCAATGATTAAGATGTTATTTTAATAGATATAAGTCTGTTCTTTCTTATATATAAATATCATATGAAAGTACTGAATCTTCTAGAAATTATATATTTCACACTAAATCTCTACAGTCTGATTCAGATCACTGATAATATAATAATAAAACTTCAAGATATCTATGATTAAGTAGAGACCTTTATAATAAGTACTAAACAGAATTAAGAAAATTAAATTAATATTTATTAAGATCTCACTAAATAATATAAGATAGAAGATCTGATATAATTAGACTGATCACTGGGATCATGAATTTCATGTTTGATCCCATTTGATCTGATCTCATACATTTCTTGACGTGAATCCCGCTGGGACTACCTATCAAAAAAACATGCAAAGTGACTATATATCAGATTTTAAAATGAAATCATGACTTGAAAAAAATGAGAAAGTGGTTCCATTTGATCCCATTTAGTCCCATTCTTGGCATAAAGTTACTATTTTTAGACATTTTAAGGTTTTTTTTAGACTATTTTTAATTTTTTAAAAAGTAATGCTTTTTGATAACACTCAAATGAGATTTAAAGTCATTTAAAGCAATAAAAATAATTTAAATTGAGAAGTGAAAATCATGATCTCATTTGGAAAATGTGACAAGAGTAGACAGTAAGTCTCACTGAGACAGTATGAAACTACTATCTAATGTTAAAACTGTGTAATGAGATCAGTTGAATTAATAATGAAACTATCAAAAAATCTGATTCTGATCTCAGACACAGTCACATGATCAGTCTAGATATAATTGAATCTTAAGAATATACAGATTATATATTCATCTTATACACTGAATTATCACTATATTAAGTATAAGATAATAGAAGTTCTAGATAGTTATAACTACTGTTTTAACATATTATCAGAGATTTATAATATTTTTTATATAAGCTTGCTTTATTACACTATTACTGATCTGTTCTCTTCTCAACTGACTTCTAACTGACAGCTGTCAGATATTATAGAAGAAGATAATAAGCTTAAGTAAGAGATTAAGAATATTCTTAATAAGAGACTCTGCAGCTGCAGCTGATAATATCTTATGAAATAAGTCAGATATAATTATCTGATCTGAACTCTGAGTTTTACATTATCTGAAACAGAGACTCTTAACTGATGAGAACTGCTTCTGAAAAGAGAGAGTTAATGTAGCAGGCTGTATCTGATCAATTATATAGACTATTCTGTTATACTTCACAGATTTCAACTACTTCATTCTCAAATGTATACACTCTGATTTTCAGTTATTCTTAATCACTGATTCTCAGCTGTTATGAACATGTACACTCTGATTCTCAGTTATTCTCAATCACTGATTCTTAGCTGCTATAAATTTGTATAGATTCTTTCACTCTGAAGTCTTATTATATACATTATCATGTAAATGTATAAATATTCACTTTAATTACTGATTTTCATACTTTCTCTTTCTTGTCTTCTCTAACATTTTTATCTTTATTATATAAGATCTATCAATATAATACTGATCTATTCAGTGTAGACCTCTTACAATTCACAGAAGAAAGATAGAATGTAGAGAGTAAATATATAATAGTATTTAAGCTAAGTTATAAATAGTATTCATGAACTTCAGTCTAGACTGACTGTCAGAACTATGAATTTCATATTTAGTCTTATTTAATTTAATCTTATACATTTCTTAACATAAATCTTACTGAGACTAATCATTAAATAAATATACAAAGTAACTATATATCAGATCTTAAAATAAAATCATGACTTGAAAAAAATAAGAAAGTGATTTCATTTAATTCTATTTAGTTTCATTCTTGATATAAAGTTACTATTTTTAGATATTTTAAGGTTTTTTTTAGACTATTTTTAATTTTTTAAAAAGTAACACTTTTTAATAACACTTAAATGAGATTTAAAGTCATTTAAAGCAATAAAAATAATTTAAATTGAGAAGTGAAAATCATGATCTCATTTGAAAAATATGACAAGAGTAGACAGTAAGTCTCACTGAGACAGTATGAGACTACTATCTAATGTTAGAACTGTGTAATGGGATCTGTCGAATTGGCAATGGAACTATCAAAAATTCTGGTCCTGGTCCCAGACACGGTCACACGGTCAGTCTACTCCAGTCTAATATAGTTGTGTGTAGCCAAGGCCCGCTAACCCTATTGAAAATGTGAGAGATAGGATTAGAGGTAAAGGATCCGCGAGGAGCGGGATTTCTTACATCTGGTCAGACATGAGATGTTTTCCTTGTTTTGTGAATTATTGTTGATAAATGTCAGTCAACTCCTTCATACGGCCTTGATTTTTGAACCTCATATAAATGTTTTTTGCTAATTAAGGAATAGTTAGTTATAGCCTTAAGCTCCTAAATATTGAGAATGTAGGCCAAGCAATTTTAACTTCAGTACTGGAATATCAATATAAATTTGAAGCATTTACGAGGACTTTCTCATCTCTAGAGTTTCAAAATACTTCTTATCTCTCTAGACTCGTCACTCGTGATATTTTTAGTCTTTTCATTTGATTAACTAGTTAGTTATAATTTATGATGGTAGACGGATTATTAACGGGCCATAAACCTTTAGGAATTTGTAAGGTTATTCAGCAGCATGCGTTGCACCTGTACTGTATGTACAACGGTAGTATACAGCACAGGATCTCTTAGAATGCTCCAATTTATTTTTAAAATCAGTAGAGTAGGGTGGTGTGAAACGCAGTATGCGGCCACAGGTGGAACTGGTGATGGAGACCTCAGACTTTGTACGCTGTAAGTTGTCCCACGCTACATAAATCTGTCGCAGGAGGAAAGGTGGCGTCTCAAGATGCTACTAGGATGCCAGCGGATCACAGAACCCCGAGAGCCCTGAGGAGGAATATAACTCCTCCTAGCTCCGTGATTCCAGGGTATGTCAGATGGCTAAAAAGGGGGAGAGGGTGGGTGACAAGGGCTACTACGCAGCGTATACTCCGTACATTATTAACTATTAATTAATAAGTCAGACAGACAGAAACTTGCGAGCGCATTAAATACAATACACAGACTTGTTAGGTGGTTGAGGGTGGGAAGATAGGTATCAAGGGTGTATGGAAACCGTATAATCCGTACTGGAGGGCACCCCCCCGTGAGGCAGATACGCGTATCACCTTTGAAACCTCCCACTTTAGGACTCCCCGGTGGCGTAATTTTGGTAACCCTGGGTAATAATAGCTGTACTCCGGAGTACAGCGGCCTGTAAGGAGGTATTCTGTATTCTGCCCAAACTCGCCGCCAAACCGCCCCACCACGCTTTGCAGACAAACCTCACTCAAGAACTTCATCCTGTCCTCGACTTTTGTCGTCTGCGTCTGCCTCCTCTTCAACTTAATTCTCTTCTCTGGATTATTCCCTCTCCATTCTTCTCTCATCTTCTTGTCCAGGAATCTCTCCCTCCTCTTCTCTCTCCCTGCGTTCCGTGTGCCTATCTTGCTGATACGTTGATATCTCCTCTGCCAACTTCCTTCAAAGCTCAGCTGGAGACCCCTCTCTCCGCCTTAAAAATTCCGCATTATTCCAGATTTATCCACCGCAATCATGGGGAGCTACACTGATATCGACCAATTGGCCATTAACACCATCAGAGTGTTGGCTGTAAGTAATATCTGTTGTCTCCTGTCAAGTCACCCTCCAGTTTCGCTGTCAGAAAATGGTGGGGTATCAGCGCGGGGTTGAGATAGCCATATATACAGCTCTGATATCTCGCCCTCTACAACTCCCCTCCTATCAATTGCACCCGTTGATTTTTACAAATTCACTTTGCTTTCTTTCTAGCTACGTGGCGAAATTCCTTCCTCTTCCCTTCGCTCCATTGCTAACGTATGTGTCACTCGTTTTTCTCACCTTTAGGTTGATGCCACATCGAAAGCAAACTCGGGCCACCCCGGAGCTCCAATGGGTCTGGCACCCACTGCTCATGTCCTTTTCAACAAATGTATGACCTTTAATCCCAAGAACCCAAACTGGGTTAACAGGGATCGATTCGTCCTCTCGTACGTCTTTTCTTACTTGTTTTTTCCACATGCCCCGCGCAATGCGCCGTTTGTTTCCGCCCCTCGTTTCAGGTGTTGCTCCTCTTATTTTGCGGGGCATGAGATACCTAGCCGAGAAGACTATGGATCACCACAGAGTTGAGATTTCGTTGAATGAGCGCAGAAACTTTTCTTAATTGCGCTGGAGCCCCTAGCAGATGTTATGCCCACTTCCGTTCCGGTCATTGCGTCATTGCGCATTCCTTGTTTCGGAAACACTTGCGCTAACGTTTTTGAAAATCCTTTTTGCGGATAGGAACGGACATGGTTGTATGCTCCAGTATGCTCTACTCCACCTCTTTGGGTATGCTGTCTCGTTGGATGACCTGAAGGACTTCCGCGTTAGTGGCCCCCTGAATTGCCTGATAATTAATCCCTGAGTAATCCCGTTTATTGACGAATTCCGTGCAGAAAATTGATAGCATTACCCCAGGGCATCCTGAAGCTCATGATACCCCCGGTGTTGAAGTAACAACTGGACCTCTAGGCCAGGGTTTCGCCAATGCCGTTGGCCTTGCCATCGCTCAAGCTCATACTGGTGCCGTGTTCAATAAGCCTGGCTTCAACCTGATCGACAATTACACCTACTGTATCTTCGGCGATGGCTGCGCCATGGAGGGTATTGCCAGTGAAGCGGCCAGCACTGCTGGTCACCTTCAACTGGGCAACTTAATTTGCTTGTATGATGACAACCATATTTCTATTGGTGAGTAAACGAAAAGTGTTACCCTCTCCCCCCTCCAAATAAATAAATAAATAAAATAGCCCAAACTTGTACTCACATGGTGCTCTATAATAGATGGCGATACCAACGTGGCATTCACTGAGGATGTCATGAAGAGATTTGAGGCATATGGATGGCACACAATTCATGTCGAGGATGGCGACCATGACCTCGCTGGCATTGAGGCTGCTATCCAGAAAGCGAAGCAAGTAAAGGATAAGCCAACCATGATTAAAGTCACGACCACCATTGGCTTCGGCTCCAAGCTTCAGGGAACCGGTGGAGTCCACGGAAACCCCCTGAAAGCCGACGACAGCCAGAGTGTAAAGAAGCTCTTTGGGTTCGATCCTGAACAGAGCTTCGTCGTACCCCAGCAGGTCTATGAGCTTTACCAGAAGAAGGCTACCGAAGGCGCCGCCAAGGAGCAAGAATGGAATGCCCTTCTCCAGCAATACGCATCCAAGTACCCTACTGAACATGCCGATTTCGTCCGCCGTCTCTCTGGAAAGCTTCCGGAAGGATGGGAGAAGCATCTTCCTAGATACTCCCCAACTGATGCTGCAGTTGCCTCCCGCAAATTGTCGGAGACTGTGCTTGAGAAGATCCACGATGTTATTCCCGAACTTTTGTCTGGCTCTGCCGACTTGACTGGCTCGAACAACACGAGATGGAAGAACGCCGTTGACTTCCAGCCACCAAGCACTGGTCTCGGTGACTGGTCCGGCCGCTATTTCCGCTATGGTGTGCGGGAACATGGAATGGCCGGTATAATGAACGGCATTGCTGCCTACGGAACCCTCATCCCAGCTGGCGGTACTTTCCTCAACTTCGTATCCTATGCCGCTGGCTCCGTCCGCCTATCGGCACTTTCACAAGTTCGCACAATCTACATCGCAACCCACGACTCAATTGGTCTGGGTGAGGATGGCCCCACCCATCAGCCCATCGAGACTCTCGCCCACTTCCGCGCCTTGCCGAACATCATGGTCTGGCGCCCAGCTGACGGCAACGAGACAAGCGCTGCCTACTACTCTGCTTTGACCTCGCGACATACTCCCTCCATCCTCGCTCTGACCCGCCAAAACCTGCCACAGCTCGAAGCCTCAACCATCGAGAAGGCGATCCGTGGTGGATACGTTGCCCTAGAGACAGAAAACGCCAACATTACCCTCGTTAGCTCTGGGTCCGAGGTCAGCCTCTGCATTGACGCCGCTAAGTACCTCAAGGAGAAGCACAACATTGTTGCTCGCGTCGTCTCCATCCCCTGCTTCGAGGTGTTCGACGTCCAGGACAAGGAATACAGACTCTCCGTCATTCCGGACGGTATCCCCTCTATGTCCGTTGAGGTCATGAGCACCCTTGGCTGGGAGCGATACTCGCATGAGCAGTTCGGCCTCAACCGCTTCGGTGCTTCCGGCCCTTACAAGGAAGTTTACAAGGTGAGTTCCGAAAAAGCATTCTGCACCTAAAAAATCTTAAGCCCCCTTCTCTACATTAGCTTTAAAAGAAGCGAAAATAACTAATATATCCTGCGTCCCTTTAGAAATTCGATTTCACCCCCGAAGGTATCAGCAAGCGCGCCGTCGCCACCATCGACTTCTACAAGGGCTTCCCCGTCCGTTCCCCCATCAACCGCGCCTTCCAGCAAATCATCTAAGCACATATATTTATAAACTCCGACCTCTATTCACCAGAAACGTCTCTTGTGGGTGAAGGGTTTTCAATGAAGTTTATAAAAAGAAAAAGACAAGGCATACAAGACTAAAGAGAAGCGATGTCTTTAGACGGCCACATACACACGCATAGTGAAAAGAGGGAGAAAAAATAAAACACAAGAGATTCCTTTTTTATTTTTTCCGTTCGCTGAACTAAAAACTTAAAGTTTTCTATTTTACCCGTTCCTATTCCAGCATTCTTAACTCTATCCCCGCGTCATCTTGCAACCCAACCCCATGGTTTCCACACTTCGTTTTTGTTGAATTTTCGAGTTTCATAGATCTATTTGTCACGGTTCTTACATGATTCAAAATGAAAAATACAAAAATTGGTGTTTTTTATTATTTATTGCTATTTATCTCTTACGGATGTGATTGCTCTATTCGGAATATATGGTTTGTAGTCGCTTTGGAGAAATATATGTAATGTACCCTTACCACGGTCTTATTATGTATTGGTCATAATTACCTAGGTTAAACTAACCTCAAATCGGGCGACTGAGCAAAGATAGGTAGGGTAAGATGGGATAAAACCTCTTGAAAATGAATTCCTAACGCTCATTAGTTGTATTATTGTGGACTGGCTTTTTCATGTTTCTTTTTATTTATTTATTTTCTTTTTTCTCGACTCTCTTGGTATCCGCCATGCATTCATTCCCCCTTGCAATCAAATGTATGTGTACCAACCCCAGCTCACTGCGGCCCCTCCCACCTCATATTTCCTTGCCTATATCCCCCGCTAGGTATTACATCTCACCTACTCACCCTACAAGTGTATCCCCCATTAATTAAAGAACAACATCTTAAAAAAGAAACCTGCCCTCACCCTCCTTTACACATCCAACGCCTTCCTCGCGAAATTCGGCAACACAAAGCTCGCCCGGTGGATCTCCTTGTTATAATAGCGGCACAGCTTCTCCTCCTCCTCACGCGTCCAGCTGCGCACGGGCTCGCGCACGTCCCGGTCCTTGTCCTTGCAGCAGACCATGAACCCGATCTGGCCGGACGGGTAGGTAGGGATCGTCGTGTAGGCATACTCGACCACGGGGAAGATCTCGCGGATGCTTCGCTTCAGGTCTGTGATGAGAGAGAGGTGGAGCCATTGGTTTTCGGCTGTTTGGGGGGAAAAGATAGGGATAGCGGGGGGCGTGGGATTAGTAGTCTGTTTATGGAAGGTTTGGGTGGAGGTAGCTTTTTTTTTTTTTTGGCTTTGCGTGTGAAGGGAAAGGGTGAGGTGGTGTGGTGAAAGGGGTGAAAGGGGTGAACTGGGGTTAGAGGTGGGTAAATAAATAAAACCCCCTCCCCCTAGGGATATAGAAGGGCAGTGTGTATGTTGGTGCATTTTTAAATTTATTTCTTCAAAGGCAGTAATCACACGTGCAAGAAGGATTGGGGGAAGGAGATCGACGAACAACCTTGAGTGGTAACGACACCGCCTTCACGCAGCGCGTTGAACAGCAGCTCGAAGTATGGTTTCTGGAACAGAGCCTCCGCAGGACCTTCTGGGTCGGAGCTGTCGGTGATGATGACATCGAATTCGTTCTTGCGATCTGCGAGGAACTTGAACCCGTCGGCCACATGAACCGTTACGTTGGGATGTTGGAAGCCAACGCTCATTCCGGGGAGGTATTTTTTGGAGACGCGGATGACGGCCTGTATTTCGTCCGACATAAGGGTTTTTGTCCTGGCAGCTCACACGAAATCCACTTATCTGCATACATACCTCGTCGATGTCACAGAGCACAGCCTCCTCGACGCTCTCATGCTTGACAACTTCGCGCAGGACACCTCCGTCACCTCCACCGATGACGAGCACTTTTTTGGGGTTGGGGTGGGAGTTCATGGCGAGATGCGTGATCATCTCTTGGTATCTAGTTAATTGGCTAGAGTTAATCGGAGAAACCACATTTTATAGGTAGCGGAGAGGGAAAAAGAGGGGGGGGAAGGGGGGCAACCGCCGTTTGCTGGAAAGGATTGGGTGTCCGTCTAACAGCAACATACGAGAATTCATCACGCTCTGTGCATTGGATGACATTATCCAGCACAAGGACAGTGCCGTGGTCGCTGCTCTCGAATACCAGGACATCTTGGTATTTGGATTTCTCATGGTGAAGAATCTGGTTGACTTTCAAGGTCAATGCCTGGCCTGGCCACATATCGGAAACCTCCGAGAACCAGCCATCTAATTCAATTCAATTGAATTCATAACTCCTGAGTTAGTTTGAAGAAAAACGAAGACCTGTAAGCCGCTTCGGTACAGCAAATTCGTGGGTTGGGTGGGAGAGGTTATATTGAGCCATGATGATGAGGCAGCGCACCTTTGATAGTGGGGTGGGTGAGTTCGCTCATTGTGCGTTTTTGCAGGGTGGTAAGAGGACGAAAGATGGAGGGAGTGCAGGAGAGTAGACGGGACGAACAAGAGGTGCGGAACGGGGGTTTATATAGGCGCAGCGAGAGGGGTCTGCGGCCGTGAGATGGCATGCGGAGGAGGAAGAGGAAGAAGATGAAGCAGAAGAAGAGCGAGGTCTGAAAGCAGAAATTAGGGCTAGAACTTTTTGGCTTACCCCGCCATGACGAAAATTACACGAACTGCAGAGCGGTTACGGGGAACGGTGCAGTGTATCGCGGTATTATATGGTATTGTATGATATCCGTTTGCGTATTCCGCCGTTTCCACTGTAATCTATTGGACATCTTGCGATGAGATGAGTGTATTGTAATGACGCCCGGTATGTATCTGTACACCATACATACGAAAGATCAATTTGACAAGAGAAGATTCTTCTCAGTATCAAATACTTTGCTGAAAATTGAATCTTTAATGGGTCTTGATCAAAGGGACTGGGGCATAAACTCAATATCTGAAGGAAGACCAGAGGCCTTGCTCTTGTATCCTCCAGGGCTCTTTTACCTGCACTGTGAGATGGATTGTGATACCGCTCAGTGCTTCCAGACAATGGACATGTTGGTACTGTACAACACCTATATTCTTTCTGCTCCCTAGCATCACAGCATCACAGCAGCAATCTTTTGCATCTACAGGTGGGGCACATGAGATGCTCTTCCAATTGAGCTGCAAGCCTGAGGTGGGACTCATACCCATTGTACCGGCAGCCAGCAACCAGCAGTCAGCCACCAGGATGCTCAAGAAGTTTCCAGTCTCAATTGCAATAACTTGGATTTCTTTTGCCTCTTCTTTAAAAAGAAGAAACACATATAATGTAACTACTATTTAGTACATTGTTCTGTAGCAGCGGGGAAGTCCGATAGAAAAATGAGAAAACAAGAAAACAAAATCAATACATCTACAGCTCAAGTCTGCGTCTACAAGGGTTTTACATATATTACCAGCACATGGGCCTCTGGCTAGAAGCAGTGCAAGATTGTGGTGAAAAATATCTGCGGAATTTATGTACTCAAACGCAGATGAGGTGGCCGTAATGATCATTGAGGGGTGGGTAGCATATCCCCCTTTAGCCCCACACAAGACAACCCTGTGTGCTTCCCTTTGACAATTGAGATACGCTTAAAGGGTTCGCTTCCATCTCTTGGCTTCTCCTCAGGGGTTTATGATTTAGAAAATATAGGGAGTGGAGAATAAATGTCCTGCCGGTATCCTTGCAATGCCTATGACATGTGCATGTGCATGTGCATGTAATGTACCGCAGTACAATATGTTCCCAAAGCTGAAAACGGAGAAGGTCAGAAAGACATTCCTTTGTAAATCACCTTACAAGCAGCATTCTGGACAGGGCGACAGCATATCTACACTAGTTCACGCATTAAATGCCCCTTGTCATACTTATACCCGCATCCAGCAAGCAACCTGTCAGCTGGCATATGATAAACACATGCCATTTGGCGATATGAGCTATCATTTTCTTTGAAAGGGACAAAAAAGGAGTGTTGACAGCATTTCATCACTCATTGGATCTGCTGATGTTGTGAGATAATTCTATTCTATGACACCTGAGGTTTATAAGCCTGACTTCGGGCTATAAACACTCCTCGATATCTTAGCTAAGAAAGAATTCCTTCCCTTCTACCGGTCGAACGTGTAATACAACATTCATAGCTCACTCAAATAAAATATTCCCGCAGAATCTGATGTATAGAGAAGAAACTGCATCGAAATTTACGCGACGATAGTACGAAATTCACTAGCGGTTCTTCAAGTGACGCATTTACGTTACTATAACACCTCTATTAAGCTCATTGGCTCGAAAATGGCGTGGTGGAAGGAATGTGCAGTGTGACACGGGAGAAGAATAAGAATAAATATAGTAGAATATAGCTGTTGCACATGGGTATGCCCAGCTCTATCAACAGTGTTTTACAACTCTCAGTGACTACTTGTATTAACTTTAAGAGAGCAGAGTACAATAGGGTTAAATCTGAATTTAGAAAAAAACGGTAATAGGTCGGAGAAAATGTGTAATTGTGGATTATTGTTGAGTATATGGAATGGAAGGGTGAGAGAGGCGAAGGGGGTTGAGCAGTGGGAAGCTGCGGGAAGCTGCGGGAAGAGCAACCACACCGCGCCCGGAAGGGGGGCCCCTGGGGTCGGGGGGCAGGATAAAAGGAAGAGAGGCGGATTGGATTGATACTTGATGTACATTACGTTTAGCATACCTCTGCTAGGGGTATTGATAGCGGGGCTTGAAGGATGCGAGACCAACACGAGGGGAAGTATCTATGTAACATTGGGAACGGTAGGTGCTGGCTCATGAATTAACTCCCCAGGCGACGAACGATATTATTTAGCGGCTGACAGTATTCATAGTTGGGCAACGGAATAACGTCTGACAAGCCGAGACCGAAGCGAAGGTTATCTATGTAAGGGACCTGTGGCTTAGTGAGGGTTTCCACAATCAAAAACTATATATCCAAAATCGAGGAGAATTTCTGAGAATCGTTAGTAAGGTTTGCAGGCATGTCTGATATCGGCAACCAAACCGTTAGGTGGAATTGTACTGTACAAAAGTCAGGTAGAATTAGCGTATTATTGTAAACGATGAAGTATGTTGAATAAATCTCCTTCGCAACATAGCGAAAGTGCTCTAGTCAAGTAGAGCCAAAACGTGGTCGAGAATCTGAGGCAGGTAGCGGCTACTGGCGTCAGCCCCAGTGCCAACCGCTCTTGTTTCATGGTCTATCCTACGAGGGCATCATTTCCGCATCAATAGGAAGCCATAACCGTCACAACTAGAGGTCCAGGCTTTGACAACGATCTCCGCGATAGTGTGCTTTGGTAGTAGTTTAGGTAGGAAGGTTTTGACCCTGGAATGGTGGAGGTGGAGCTAGACCAGCGAGGGATCCAGATGATTCTGCAGTTACTCTGATATGCACGGTGGGCAGTTGCCTGCATACGTTGCTTTAAGCTTTTTTACTGAGTTGCGGTTGCTGTGTTCTGCACGGGCGGCTTTAAATAGTTGCAGAAGACATAGTGCTTGGTCATTGCCGAGCTGGGTCCCGATGTCAGTCGGGACATCCCACGTTGCTGGGCTACGGCGTTCGATTACCGAAACTGGGCCGCGACCTTGGGACCTCCAGATGGTGTTAGTCTCGGAGGTCGTTCACCGATTTCTGGAGCCTTGGTAGGTATCGGCTGCCATTGGTCCCAGTGAAATATTTGATCCTCTGCTTCCCGAGAGCCACATCGAGGGTTCCGATGTTGCGGGTAATCTAATGCAGCGTGGATCACCATGGTTGCCGCGAAGTTGTACAGCTAACCTTAACTTTGAGTAGATGTCTCCTCAAATCAATGGAGCCATTCCTGGTTTAGTTAACGAATCAGATAAGGGAATTCCGATCTGGCAGTAATCAAGTAAGTTACCTCGGTATCTACCGCCCGCAGTCGACCAGTAAAGTGGTGTGATGGCTGCTGGACGGATGGCTGCCAAAACTAATAGATGGATTCTAAGATGCCCATTACAGGACGGAACAAGGAATCACGAAATCTCGCACTTTCTGGGGCCAGAAGTCCTAAAAACTCTAATAAACAAGACAAAGTTTCGTGTAGTCAAGCAAATGGTGGCATGATTATCATTCCTCTCAGCTGGTCAGTGGATTGCCAAATATTCTGAAATATTTCTTTCGGTTAGCCTCCTAATCAGTAGAATTATCAGCGACGAAGCTGCTGATATTATTAAAACGCCTAGACTTTCTCTTCGCAAACCTCTTCTGATACCCATAAAAATAAAATAGTAACGAGGCTCGATACGACCTTACTATTGTAGCCTGTCAAATCATGAAAGAATCGGAGGAGCAACAATCCCCCGCAGAGGCGGACAGGTGCTCGCTTCGTGTCACCCAGTAATCAACTGGGCTTACGACGAGTCAACCTTAAAACCCCGTAACATAACCACCAACTCTTCCCTCTCGGCTGTAGGTGGTGTCAGCCGTCAAAGCCGAGCTCGCATTCCGGAAGTGGGATGCCAGACCGTCACCACCCTGCTGGGTGATCGACACTTCAAGGCCAGAGAGACCCAGTCCTCCGAAGTGGCCTCAAGGAGGCGAACTCTTCCAAGAAAATTTACGAGCATAATGAAAGCCATGAATCCACCCTGTTTAATGGCAAATAAGATTGAGGGTTTTCCGGCTGCTATTTTCGGGGATTGGGGGATGCCCGCCCTCGTTTTGCGGCTGAGGATAGGATCCCTGTTTGGTCTGGATTATATGGAAGCCGGCATGAGAGAGTGGCTAAAGTAATGTTCCATTCAAGTTAGAAACGAAAGGATAGCAGCGTCATATTTTTGCCGTGGTGGGGCGAGGATTGGATTGATGCGAGGAAGGTGTTGAGATACACGTATTATTATTGTTGTTGGGGGCGGCCATCCACGCGGTCAAGCCAGTTTAGCGGCCAACTGTTAGGGCTGATTATTCATCAAATAAGCTCGCGTGGGACGCTATTCCGGAAATAGAATAATATCAACTTTCTGGAGATGTGATTGGTTCTACCTTCACGCCAAGATATTTTAATTTGGAAGGTTAGGTGGGGCTGTGGGCCATTTATCAGGCTTCTGGTTGGCTGACTTGATCTCCGCTGCGACGGTCAAACTTTGGTACCTTTCAAGGTTATATGTTAAGCGTATATTAGGTTGTCTCAACCTCTTATCACGAGTTGGGGACTTTAAACACTGCCTAAGTCGGAGCTGACTGGGGGCCTGACACCTGATAAGGACAAGGCGACTTGGGTAGGTATTGCATTATTAAATTGGTGTGCATTAGGGATTGGTATTCTAAGAACTTGTGCAGGATATCAGCGGTATCGGACTGCAGTTATTGGCGAACTTTGCAAGGCCTAATGAAAACATAAATGAAGTGCTTGAAAACAGGGAGCGGTCAAGCCCAGGCACAAAGGAGCAGTCTCCAAAATCTTCGTAGGAATACACATCATGCGTCAATTAAAAGGTAGCTAATTCGGATCATTTCAAAACCACCTACATCCGTAGACGAAAAGAAGGAATAACCAACCACCCTGTAAGCGCCGAGCATGTGTTCTATTTACAAGCAGAGTCCCAGACGAAAAAAAAAATAGAATAGAAATAGGAATATCATCAAGTCATCCCAATATGCCGCTCCCTCACAAGCCATCTGTTTCTACAACCCATCGGAGTTAGAGCTGTATTCCCCTTGATCGCTATTCGTCTTCAAAGCCTCCTTATCAAAGTAATATTGCGGGCCGGAACTTGACATTGTATATGGCACGATATCGAACTTGTCTGGTGTTAGAATGTCGTCAATCGTGCCGTCCGTCGCTGATCTCAGCAGATCAAGCTCTGCGGTTAAATTTTGAATGCGAGAGTTGAGTTGCTGTACTTCTTCTGTTCGCTGGTGATAGGATTGAAGCAGATTTTGATGTTTGCTATGAAGATCATGTAGCTTGCCTTCGAGGCTTTTCAGGTGTCTTTCCTTTCTTTCTCGAAACGCACGTTGAGACGCTCTATTTTGAGCGCGCCGCCTCTTTGAGATTGGAGATGTGGTTAGCTGTAAGTCACTGAATTTGGGATATCGAACGTTATTGAACATCAATGCTTACTAGGTGCATGTTGGAAACATTTTCCTTGTCTTTAGAACTATTTGGTTTATTTCGTCGCCTATCATGCTCATCAAGTGTGGTGGAACCAATATATTCTACAGGAATCTTCCCTGCCATGGGGTCATAGTAAGGCGCTGAATCGTTGCCAAACGGAATCATGTCATAAGGAGTTCCCATGTTTGTGTATATCGAATGTGTCATGCCCTAAATTCATTCATCAGCCAAAATCCAGGTGAAATGTAAGATTGAGGCAGGCCTACGCTGGGAGATGTGGGGCTGGATAGATCTGAAGCAACCTCTGCTGGTCCAGCGTTGAAAGGAAGCTGTAATGATTCAGGGGAGTGGGGAGGAGAGACGGCGAATCTGTAATCCATTTCCAATATGAATGAAGAATACCCCTGGAAGATTCGATTCTAGCACGAATTCAATATTGGTATGTAATTGTAGGAGCAATCACCATTCTGGGTGATTGATTGCCAAACAGCATGAAATATGAAGGCGACAATCGAGGTTCAAACATCTGAAGGGGTTTGTCTCTCTATAATATAAGCAAATTTCTCCACAAAACCTTCCTCGCCATTTCTAGGACAACCCCCCCCCCCCGCCACCCTCCTACTATCTTGATCCCGAAAATATCACAGCTCATATCGACTCTTGGCCCCGAGCACTAATAAGTCAAAGAAACTACGTGCGCTGAGCGCGCTGTCAGCGATATTTTAGTGATTATTGGCAATGACTCGCTTCCCGTGAAAATAGCAAGGTTTACCAGACGCATGCTAAAAGCTCTCTCCGGTTCGTATATGCCGAGTGGACGATGAAAGAGAAATTGGGCGATATAATTCGAACGGATGGCATTGGGTCATGTCATGGCGCCTCGCTGCTGAGTGATGCTATGCTGTCTGAGGAATATTTTGCGCATCTTGCCCCATGTTCCGCCACGGAATAAGCACAATTGAATCACCCCCACCCCTTCATACAAAAACCGGTTTAGCTGCGCGGTCTCGAGGTGCGCAATGCCCGCCTTGAGACAAGCTTTCAGTTCCATCAACATGGGCCTATAGAGGGGAATCCTCTCTGTACACGGAAACACACCGGAAAAGTCAACAGGGGGTGAATCCCTAGCTGAACCTTGGACATTTCATTATTTTGTTAACTATAACTCCTTTTACTTGGCCGGTAGTTACAATGACGACCAAGCTAAAACTACAGATTAGATCGGATTGATTTCGATCCATCCTGAAAAACGCGAATGACACTCCTCCGTTTCCCCTCCATTTCCCTCTTTCAGAGTATCGGCGCGGTGCACGACTATTGGTTGAGATAATAGTTTAATGGATATTTATTGGCAGAGATATCCACACAATTCTGGGGATAAAAAGGGCGGCGGGAAGTTTCTCTTGTGATTTCGGGACGGTCATAAATCTCATGAGTCTTCTATCATCGACCACGCCAGGAGGTGATTTGGCAGTCCAACAAGGCTAGCACCGCTTGCCTGTTGCCACTCTGCATCGTATCGCCATTCCGGAGAGGTGTCGGCCGCCTTTTCCTAGCTGACCTGGGTAGACTCGAACTCCAGGAATTGAATGTGAGCCCTCGTTTGTCTCCCTTGCTTGCTTTTATGGAACTTGTTTGTTTGCCTCCCACTGTTGAAAAGCCCTTGACAACTACCTGGCGTGCAGCGTGAATAATCCGCTGGGATGAATATGAGGACTAAAGAAAATGCACCAGCTGATCCGCTCCGCATTCCCACCGCAAATCGTTCTCTTTCGTGCTATTATTATTTCTGCCGTGGTAATCAGAATGCATGGAAGAAAGGTTTTTAGTCTTTCGAACTGTTCACTTCGAATGATCGCGAGTCCTATCTTCCCGTTTGGCGTGAGGGTTAGTTGGGCAGAAACTAACCCCATAGAGTCAGGCGCAGCATCGGCCTCGGGAAGATATTGGCCAGTAGGAGCATGCAAAAGCGAATCGCGAAGTTGCTGGTCATTTTTGCCTGGCAGAATGCTGAATTGTGATTGGCAACATTTATCACTTCCCCTTGGCGTAGGGCTGAACTTGGGGTATTCAAGTAGAGATCCTCTTAAAATAGCCCCAATTTCCATGCGTCACGGCGGTTATTTCCAGCGGTGAGCGCTTTTGACAGCAATCCTCTAGTATCCCGAAGCCCCGGTCAAAATCATCGGCGTTGCGGACGCTATTCCAAGGCGACCATCACCCGACCCTCTCCCTTTTTTCTCTCATCCCTCCCTCCTTATCTTCATTTCGGGAGAAGTCGAGTGGTATCCCAGCAGAGCAGCTCACCACCAGCATCAATCGGTAGTTAACCGTTCCAGCATACATAACTACACGCTTTTCTCTCTCCAGCAGTATGAGGTAAGCACTGGGACACATATCTAGCGGATGCAGTAAGCAGCCTATAATTTAGTCAGCCATTCTAGACATGAGAAGTGACCAATGCCACGAGGAAAGGCATCGGCGTCGATAACACCCCAAGGATACGACAGCGGAACCAGGCACAGACAAGATGATTAGCTACCAAATCATTTCTCAAGGATATGCAGAATGCTGGAGCACAACGATAGTGATCGGCGTCCTAATTGGCAATTTTGCCGTCAATGCTCTGTTTGAGTTTAAACCAGACGAAACACCGGAAATGTGTACAGACGCACGTATCTCAGACCAGCAATTTTAACGAAACTCCTACCGAGCTAACAAGCCCAGCCTTGGAACCCGGGGCCAAAGCATTTTGTGGATAAATATGCCGGTGGCCCCCAAACAAAATGATACGAACATACTTTTGGGCTAGTGTTGGAAAATGAGTTTATTTTGGGTGGAGAAAGAGGCCAAAGGAGGGTGGGTGGCCCAGCGTGGCCGTCCTACCATGCTGTCTTCTGCCAGTTGGGAATTCATCACCTAAGGTAGACCATTTTGGAGATGCGATCTTTCGTCTCCTAGTTACGAGGCTCCACCAGCCTTTCTCTCTCCAGAGTGCGATTGGGACGGTGTTTGAATCTCTGCCTGTCCTACGTACATGTACATATCATATCATACCTGCTCATTCTCGGAGAAAGTCACCGATGTTTTTGGCTCATCCCGCTGTTTCCATGCTCCTCTCTGCGCGATGTCCCAATCCGCCTGGAAACAAAATGGGTACTCCACACCGGGAGCGTAGGGCGAAGGGCAAGTTTTATTTGGTGGCCAGCTTCATTGAGAGAAGAACACAGAGAGAGCCGGGGAACCCTATTTCGGACGCATTGTCTACTTGACAAGTCTTACCGGTCCCCAAAACGTGGAGTTGATACCTTTACTCGTTGTGTGCAGCTTTTGTGTGAGGTTCCAGTGAATATAACTGACATTGGAAATTTTGAGGGAGAGATATTCAGGCCGCGCATTTATTGACATAAGAGAAGCAGATGCACATACCAGAACTGTTAACTTCATGTCAAGAGAGGATATGCGAGCTCTAGGTCCCTAAAGCCGTCTACTGTCGAAACTTCGAAGTAGTAAGACTGGAAAAAACGAGCATTGATCATTCATGAGTCAACTTGAAAGAAGGAGAAGAAGAAAGCGTCAGCAGGATTGAATACTTGAGCTGCTAACATCAGACCTCAGTGAAGTGAAAGACCCCATTATATCCTCTTTGCTGTCTACTGGGTCAAGGGATACCACTAGTAGTCCATCTGGGCCGCTCTGGGGCGCATCAATTCCTTGTGATCTGGCCATGTTCATCAATATCTGGCTCTATTCAGACCTGATTTTGAGCCTTCTCTAGTCAGCAGGTACTTGCAGGGGAATCCTCCAAGTATACAGCTTATACAATTATTGGACTGACCTTTTGCCTTCTAGTCGCAATACTTTTGGGAGCTTGATTCTTCAGGGATTATAGCCGCCGGGCTAGCAAGTTTCATGGCTGCTGAGAGACGTGATGGTATCGGTATATGCCAGATTAACCACCCAAGCTGTTCCTAGGAAGCAGAATGGAATGTGCGTGATGTGTCCCATACAAACTGATGGGGGGGAAACTGCAACTGAGATCTCAATGTCACCATAACGGCACAGGATTGAAAACTCCTCAGCCATGTGGTGTCTGTTTGGCGGTCTGCATATGTTCGTGTATAAATCTCATCTGGCAAAAAGATGACGTGGGGTGTTAACCATTGTGCCAAAAGGATTAAACCTTAGTAAGGGTAACCCATCTTAAGATATTGTATAGGGACGGGAGGAAGGGCCAGACGAAACTTGAGTTTGCTGTTTCATATCTCTAGTTATGAACAGCGGATGTATTACAGTGAGCACATCATTCTTCATGTCTGAATGCAAGGATTAAGTAGGTCTTTTTGCGTTGCTGACGTATACAACATCATATTACTTTGTAGTTTCGAGCACAGAAACTGATCTGCTCATGAATGTCTGAAGCAGTTCCACAGCTTAATATTTGTAACTGAGGACGACACTAGAACAGCTGAAATGTGCTGGCTACTTCCCGTCCATGTCAAATTGAGAACGTTCCCGGAAATTCTGGCTTTATAGATCGTCTTAATGCTACTCCTTTTAGACTCGATTTGGTTATACCTGGAATCAACCACCCCGGCAGAAGCACGAGTATATTCAAGCTTTTATATTTTAAATACATTTTATTTGCTGTTGGGTCCTTTCTTTTCGACGGCCGATCCGTCTTCTCGTCGAGCTATAGATTTCGAGTTTACCTAAGATATTTCTGGCATGTAGCCTTTAGCTGGCTCTAGTAAGCTGAGAAATCCTTTACCATAGCAATGGCGAAGATATCTTTATTGAAGTATAGAAGAATATCTGTCTCTTTCCCTTCGCAAAGATTCTTTGCCCACTGGAGCTTGTGGCCTACAATCGTCCACCCCAAATGTAGACTGGAAAAAGGTAAGCCTGGACATCGGAAAAATATCACGGGCAATAAATATCATTGTTGAACCCTGTCAAGTGATGTCCTAGTAGATAAGAGCTGCAGTAGTAGTGAAGGAAATATAAATTTCCGGTAAGAACACGCATTAAGAACACGCATCATAGGGGATAGAAAGCGAGATTGCCGCCGCTAAGCCAGTTGCGGTCCCTATTATTGATCAGGGTCAACGAACTAGTTCAACTTGATGCACATGTACTGTACATGTACATGATCGAGCTCGTAAATAATGCTTCGGCAGCAATCAATTGTTGGATGGGGATAGCTGTCGAATGTACTACACGAGCGGATTTGTCAGCTCTACTTGCCCAAGAATAGTTATAATATATTTACCTAACAACCAATAATCCCTGCATACTAGAGGCTTCAAACGGACAAATGTTGCAAACAGAGAATTATTGGCAGCGAGGGAACCAGCCAATGCTGCTGCATCTACAGTCTGTAGTTCGTGATTAAATGGTTGAAGAATATTTTCTGGGGTCTGATTAACGATTTAGAATGTTCGACGCGGGTATGTGCAACCACGGGAGGCGCAGATGAGTCGATGCTAGTCCATCGGAGCTCCGAAACTCCTCGTCTAACAAAGGAGTGTATCGCTCCATTCCTGCAAAAAGAATGGAATGCATGTAAGAAAATAGTGCGCAGACTGAGGGAACGATCGAGTTCAATAATTGTGGCTTAAAAAGAAGAAAAAGAATATTAAATTGTCCGAGAACAGTGTTACGATCTGCAACCTGAGCCAATAATAATTGCATTGTTTGGAAACGGATTGAGCAAGCGCGGGAGGACGAAGGCAAGGAGAAAAGGAGAGAGGGGAGGTAGAGACCACTATATTATTCGTCATTCCACCAGTATTCATGGGTGATGATACACCAGTCTCTTCAGTTTCGATGCGCTTCATCGCCTCGCGAGACATGTCCGATGATCGGGACCGGAAGGTAATCCGCCTGCCGGGAGAGACACCTGCCCCGCTGGTTTTCGGTCAAGCAGGCTGGTTAGGGACTGGAAACTAGAAAGTGGCGAAGAAAGACGAAAAATGAGAAAAGATTCACAAGATTGGCAGATATATCCGCCGAGCGGAGGGTGATCTGCTCGAGATTTCAGAGAAGTTCCACAGGAAATAGTAATGGGAACCGGCAACTTGTTCCTTCTGCAGAAGGGACTGACCTTTCCTCATTAGTGAAGGATTGTCTGCAGAGAACCAAAGCGCGCTCAGTCTTCTCTTCCTGAGAGGAATAACCGCGACTGGAGACACGAATCATTTGCATCGAATCATTTGCATTGAAAGTGATACATGTGAAGTTGAGTACTCCGTACTCTGTAGACTTTCAGGTGGTCGAGACGGATAGCAATACTTTGGCGCCATACTTTCGGAAGTAAACTCCCGTGAAATGGTTTGACTAGTATTGGTTTATCTCAGCGGGCTCAGACCCTCTGGCTCGGTTTGAACGGGTTGCAGCATTATTATTAACTAGTTAATCCGGCATGACACTAACCTACTTTTGATACAAGTCATGTGCTCAGAGCAATCCTCGCCAGAGGGTCTGAGAAGAAATGGTTCCATCTTCAATGGAGATTCCTGAGATTTACAAGGATTTTTCAGATTCTTCAACTTTGACTTTCTATTACTATATACCCACATATCTTTGAGATTTGAAAATCACCTTAGCTTATAGCTAAAGAGAAGAAGAATAGAAATATTTCTTTAATATTTCAAAAAAATCTATATTTAAGATAGATGTATACTCTTAAAAATGATCATATTTTTTGATCTCAGAATTTCTAAGAGCTTTTTTTTATATGAGGAATTGAATTAAAATTCCTGTGTTCAAAAACACACTGGTCAACTTTGAGGTGATACTTCTATCCTAAGAACTTGAGATATGAATATAAAAATCAGATATGTCATGAGAACATTGTTATTCTAAGGTTTCAAGATGATACAGAAATGATGAATCTATGAAGTTGAGTTGGAATTCTCTTCCATACTCAGGGTACTGAGCAAATCCTTCCTGTGTTGCTAACAATCAGGAACTGTTTCTTCTCAGACACTTCGCAAGATAACATCACTCACATGACCTGATTTTACTATTTGGGTTAGCTTATTGCTTATTTGAGGTTAGCTCATGACATAATCATCAATCCAGTGTTAAAACAGCAATGAATATCTGGAGAAGCGTCTGAGCTTGCTGAGATAAAGTATTGGTAGGGTATCCCTCAACTGCAGGCGACGACACAATTAGCGTCGTGCCTTACTGCCTTGATATGGCCAATAGGAAAGCTGAATTAGAGGCTTCCAGCCGATAAGCAAGTCATCAATTGGGTTGGCAGAAAATTACACTAATTGTGTCGTCGTCTCCAGACGAGGGGATATAGATCGATAGATCGATGCTTTGCACGACGAAAGAAAATCCTCAACCCAACGCGTGAGTTATTTAAGAGATATATAATTAAAAAAAAAAAAAAAAAAAAAAAAAAAAAAAAGCATGGGACCGCTCAATTGGAGCCACTTCTCACTGGGTGTATCGAATTCCATGAATAATAAGTCAACGGATTTGTTCAGGGGAGTGAAAACGACCAGGATTGAGCCGCGATGCCGCAATCCTAGCATCAACCCATGTCCAGGCAACTCGCAATCTTTGTTTCAGAGTCGCTACTGCATGGTTCCAACCGGAAGCAGCCGCAGACGCGGGGATTATACGGACCGGACGCGAGAGCGAGCGGTTTTGGTTTCACGATGCAGCCTGATTGGATTGTCAGGCTGAAAATTTTCCCGGCCATATAAGTAGAGCGTTATGCCGTAGAGAGAGTTAACGAGCACTTCGTCTCTCATATATTTTCACAGTTCTCAGGATGACCACTCTCACGCAGCGTTTGAACATGGCAGGGTTATAAGTGGTGCTGTCGCTAGGCCCTTAAGTTCAGCTGACTGAAAATGAAAATTGTAAACAATCAGAATTTTTGTTTTCCTGTGGCTCAGCCATTTGGAAGTGGTGTAGGTTTTAAAAATGGAGGATGACGAAGCAAGCAGTATAAATTCGAAAGCAAACCATAATAGAAAGCGAGCGAACAAGCAGAAATATTTGGAGCTATGGAGCTTTCTGAGGTGTTTTGAGCAATCACCGCCAATGGGGCAATCATTCCTGTGTGAAGAATCATTTTGTTTGCTGGTCGTTTCCGTTTCACCGCACCCCTCATAAAATCGAAAACATCAGAAAAGCCCTGAGCTGATGAGTGGACGCTGGTTTGGAAGCCACAGGACACAGGATGTGAATGGATGAACTCCACCCCAATGCCCGTGTCTTCGGATTACAGGTTATAAGAAACCCGATAATTCGAAGCAGAAAGGTGGCGTTCAAAGCGGAAGATCATCACAGAAATTTTGCATCCGTTCCTCAAGGAAAGAGTGTCAGCTCTAACTAAAATTCCTCAACAGCGGGTGTTAGTTAACGTCTTTTCTTGGCTGGCTGGTCGAATTATGGGCCAAGATTGCAGGAGGGGCTCAGCTGGCTCACAATGCGTTCTGAAACGCTGAACCGTGCCAAAGGAGCCAGCTCTCTGAAAATCTTCAACGGTTTGGTCATCGAGGCGTGGAGACTCAGGTCGGACCAGCTAAATAGCGTCAATTTTTCGGCAATATCCTCAGCCACCTTTTCGCATCCTGTTGTCAGAAGTGCAAGCTCTGCTTTTCTTTTTTGTCGTCTGCGCTTCTCTTTTGCCATATTCGCATGTTTTCATATTGTCATTCCAAATTCCTTCCATCGCGGGGCTTGCCTGGGTAATAATAACAATGGCAAACGGATTTTGCTCGAGATTCTTGTTCTGCCATACAGTAAAATTACTGGTAGGTAGGTCGTGAAAGGCGAGGCAAAGAGTGTGACAATTTCATTGGCTTGACGATCATGAGTGCATGAATACGATTGTCGTTGAATAATTGGTGGTAAATAATTTGCAGGAGATGTTCTCTGATAATCTGCTAGGTCTCGACACACCATGCGAATAAGGCGAAGTGAAGAAAGTTTCACGGGATGATAACTGTAATAATGAGTTGTTTATTAGTTGTAAATAGGTGACACGGTGAAGCGAGATCCTACAAGGAAATGTTGTTTTAACCTCCATCATCATGCCGCTTAGGACCCCATGCAATGGGCAAGACAAGAGTCATATACCCATAATGGAATGGTGAAACGCGATTCACGAATTTCCTCTATCCTACATAAAACCCACATGGGGACGAGCCGACACACCGTCCCGTCGCCATTTATTCGGGATAGCCATCTGATTGGGCAACGGACGCTTGTTCTCATGCTGATAGGTTTTTCTGATAAAGATTCCCAATCGACCCTTGAAAAAGTTCTTGGCTGCTTCCAGGGCTGGATTAGCGGGCCGGAAGGCTAATGCAGCTAAGATCATAGTGCGCTGTTCGGCCAATTACTGCCCGTATTTGCAGACAAATGGTGCAATGGATAATTTGATAATTTGATAATTGGGCGGTGGCTTGATGGCGAACCTTAAGCCGCCAGCAGCAGCCCATCCCACCCAGGTTCGATGGCTGAACGTTCCACGGTTTGTTTCCGCGTGCGCCAGACCTGGGAGATGGGTCGTTCAGTAGGTTCAGTAGTCGGAGTAATAGTCGTAAATCCTGCAAGAACTTGATGTCAATATAGGAAACGTAGGACAACAGGATGAGGAGGAGGAGGAGGAGGGCAGGCATCTAGATCTAATCACAGACTGATCGCCAATAGCAGTAGCTGGAATTGCCATTCAGCCACCTTCCACCCTTTGCACGACCCTGAGCCGCCTCGCAGACTGGGGAATGTGCATGGCTGCGAGTCTGAGATGGATGCTGGATGCTGGATGCTGGATGGAACTAGCCGGCCTCCTGTTTGCCCATGCGCGGCTAGCACTGACTAGTGGACATTGGACAGCAAACCCGCCGAAACAACGACAACTCATTGCATTTCTTCCCTGACAATCATCACACAGACTTCTCCCAACAACAACAACAACAATAACAGCGACTCCTCTCCCATTCTTTCTCGCCAATTCACCGCGTCGTTGTGGAGGCCGGTGCTGCGTGAATGGCCTTGTGTTGCGCGATAGTATAGCCAGTCGTGGCCTTTCCCCCTCGCATCTCACTCACCCTTAATCTCCATCGCGATCCAAGCCCAAAGAAACTCCTCAGTGAGCGCTGCGTTTCTCTCAAGCAATAGCCCCTCACACAACGTCAAAACCGGTTTCAATCGACAATTCAACGGCCATTAACCCATCGCATATTTCGTCCCACGTCACTTGAACTCTGCAAAACCCTCGCTCTCGGATAGGTCCCCGTTTGTTTCCCCTGCGCTACTCTTTCGCCGCTGTATGGCGGACATATAAAGAGCACAGAGCACAGAGCACAAGGCTAGACCTCCAGCTGTCAACTGCATCATACTTCCTTCGGGTTATTCGGGCCCGTTTTGCCTGGTCGTACTATTTTCAGCGGGGCATTGGAGCCGCGGGAGGAGGCGCATTGTCGTACCAAACGGCACTTGGTTACCCCACGAGTAGATACTGCCATACGGTTCTTGTGCCACCGGGATTCTGCGTTATTATTCGTTCCCGATATCTTCAAGAATCTCATGTCTGCTGACTTATTACCGGTATGTGCTCCCATTCTTCGGCTTCCCGCACACGCTTAGCCACGGGGGCCAGAATGCGACAATGTTTGGCTTCCCCGTGCTCACGCGTGGGCTGGTGGTTTTACCCTAAACCTAGCATGCTGATCGAATTGTGGTATGGATAGACGGCGATTATTAAAGATTGAATTAATTCGGTATGTATGGGCCAATGTATAACTCTATTCGCGATGCCTGGATGTTTTACTTCCTTATGTCAACCCACTCCGGACCACCTCTTCTTCCGATTGTAAAGGGATCTATAAAACCTATAAAATGAGGAGGCCGCCGATACACCCCTCCCCTGCGAGGAGAATGACTGCCCCTGATGCTTGTCGATTTGGACCCTGGATGGGGACTTGGTTCCATTTCTTCATTATATCAGCTAATCACCCTACGTTTATATTGAAAGGTTCACGCATTCGCATACAAACCATGGGTTGCGCAAGCTCTACCCCTGTCGATCCACAGGACAGGATAGCAGCTAGGCAAACAGCTACAATCGATAAGATGATCCGGATGGACAAAAAGGTCCAAGATCGGACAGTGAAGATTCTCCTGCTCGGTATGTCAAACAAAATCCCATTGCCACCGAGTGTAATTTTATATGTCTGCATAATTATTAGCAGAGCGGACATGTTTTGATATTTCTAATTTTAGGCGCCGGTGAATCTGGCAAGTCGACCATTATTAAACAAATGCGAATTATCCATGCCGGCGGTTTCCCAGAAGATGAACGACGACAAACCCGCGCCGTCATTTACTCTAACTTGGTGGTGGCATTCAAGGTCCTGCTGGATATCATGCGGACGGAGAACATTGACTTCGAGCACGAAGCCACAATGGTATGTGTCTTAACTTGGGTTTTAGTTGCTTAGAAACCACCACTGTCGGCCCTTACTCACATGGACGTCTTGTAGCCACAAGCCCAACTATTAGACTCAACAGAGCCGGATGTAGATTCGGACGAGGCTTTCAGCGACCTCGCCATCAAGGATGCTATGCAGGGAATGTGGCAGGATAAAGGCGTACAACAAGCTGTGTCACGAGGACACGAATTTGCACTTCATGATAATCTTCAATAGTGAGCATATCCAAGGCCTTGGGCATGGCAGCTATCAAAAGGACGGGGGGGAAGATTCCAAACGCTAACAATTCCACAGCTATTTCAAATCTCTCGATCGCGTGTTTACCCCCGGATGGCTACCCGACAATCAAGATATGCTTCATTCCCGACTCCGAACCACTGGTATCACAGAAACCTTATTCGAATTGGGTCAAATAAATTTCCGAATGATGGACGTTGGCGGACAACGGTCAGAACGAAAAAAGTGGATTCATTGCTTCGAAGGAGTGCAATGTCTCTTGTTCATGGTTGCCATGTCAGGTTATGACCAATGTCTTGTTGAAGATCAGAATGCGGTACGTCTAAAACATTCCGTCGTAATCGATGCATGCGCGAACTAACAGAATTGATGTGCTGCAATGTAGAACCAAATGCACGAAGCTATGATGCTTTTCGAATCCTTGGTAAACGGGGAGTGGTTCAAACGGAAACCAGTAATTCTATTCCTCAACAAAATTGATCTCTTCAAGGAAAAGATTGCGATATCTCCAGTCTCGAAACATTTCCCCGACTACCAAGGTCCGGAAGGCAGTTATGAGCCAGCCATCAAGTTCTTTGCCGAACGATTCCGCGGCATCACCCGCGTCCCTGAACGGGAAATTTATATCCACCGCACGAACGCAACGGACACCACCCTTCTAAAAGCCACGATGGATTCCGTGCAAGACATGATTATCCAGAAGAACCTTAACAACCTGATTTTGTAGGTGCACAATTAAACATAAAGTCTACAGCACCATCTCTACACAGATACATCATCTTCCTTCACGGGACAGACAATAGAGTCTTGAAAAATCACTCTGAGTCCGATATCCCCCTCATCCCCCTTGCTCCTCCCTTTCCCCACCTATCCAATTTTCCTCTTCTCAAATCTACATCCTTATTAACAATTCTTCTTCGTTACCAACGAAATGGATTCTGACTTTTTCGGTTGTCTCTACAGTATTGGCAAATGACCCACTGACTAATACCCATATTCCTACGTAGGCTCTAACAAAATCTGGATCATTTGTTATGATTGCCTTCGCAAAGATTTGCTTTTTTGTCTTTATTCTTGTACTTTCTACAACCAACAAGGTCGAACGCATGTAACTACACTCTTCAGACCCATGTATATTTTCCTTGCTAGCTGTTCTATATCTTAGCTTTTCTGGTTTTTTTTTTTTTTTCCTCGTCTTCATACCATTCTACGTTATACCTTATTCCCCTCTACATATTTCTACGTTATTCCTCTCTACTTATCGTTTCTTCTCTTTATTATTTTCTGACTCTGGGCATATGCGCTACAGTGCGCTCTTATTTCCCCTCGGCTTTGACAACTGAATAGCCCCGACGATTATGTTTTTTTATTCTTTTTTTTCTTTAGCGGATGGCATTTTCCTCTGCTCTTCGCATGTTCTTACACAACTATTTTTCTTCCTTCGCGAACCCTTAACTGGGCATGAGATACCTGGGAAATGACCTGGCTACGGCCTTGAATTTCTGTTCCATATTCGGCTTTATATTCTCTTTTTATTAGAGGGATTTCATCATGTTTTACCTATTCTTTATTTTCTTTTTTCTTTCTGTCAATTCTTTTCCTTTTCTGTACTTTTGAGCCCAAAAACCTACTGTCGGTTTTCCTTGTTCTTACCGAGGGCATGGCATAATAAGGGTATACTTTTATGTTTGTCCGTCGCTCTATTTTTCTGTTTTCCCTGGCTCTATGTACCATTATTACCCCTTCTCTCTCCCTCCCAGCGACTAGTTTGTTGGCAAGTTACCCCCATCTCACCTCTTCCGCATTGCTGAGTACAGAACCAGGACATCTTAACGATGGCGCGATATATAATATTAAACGGCAGACGACGTCGAAACTCCTCGAATTGCGATTTGGTCCTCGAGAGCAGGCTGCATGGCGTGTTGGTTTTTTTTTTGCGTTTCAGAGCGACGGGATGAGTGGATGGGGGATGGCAGCTGGCGCGAGCAAGCTAGCTACCCAAGGCCATTGCAGGATAAACATTGCGGGGATTATATCAGGGCGATCGGGATTTATGTCTCTTGACATTGAAAAATTCACTAACACGACATTTTCCCATTGTATCTCCTTCCTGATAGTCGGGGTTCAATTCTCAAACTACTTCTATTTTCGTCTATCCAGACAGTTGTGTGTGTATATAAGTAGGCAAGGGCCTAAGAAGCAAGGGACTTTGAAATGGCAACGAATAGTTGCGAATCAAATCTGACCAGGAGGTTTACGAAATAGCTGGGCACATCATGTTTTCTGAGTCGCGTCGAATTGCGGAGTGAAGTTCGGACTGGCGCGCAGACATCGGTAGACGAGGTGAGTTTGGCGCTTCGGCATACATCTCCACTGTCCGCTCCCTCCCGCTTTTGCCCTCCCAATGTTATTTTTCGTACATGTGAATTATCACATACATAAGCACACTTACACTTTATGGTTTACTATATATAAAAAGTGATATGGGGAACTACACAATTTCATCTACTCTTCAGATATTCCAGGTCAAAAAGAAAAGAAAAGAAAAAAAGAAAAATTAGATTATGTAATGGTGGCAATTCTGCGCTTGTCCCGGTTAGGAATAAAACTCTAAAGGGCTTTTGCTCTTTCACTCTTTCAACATCCAACCTTCACATCCGGAACAACGCTCCAGCAGCATTCCATTCTCTCCTCTCTCTCTTCGTCCTCCCTCCTCCATTTAACTGCGCACTCGCACAAGAGTTTCTCTTTACTAAACTCGTGCGACTGCATTTCAAGATACCAGCCATGTTCTCGTCGTCGGCTCGCTTCGTCGCTCGATCGAACCCGGCCATCTCTCTCCCGGTTCCGGCTCGTGCCTCCACCGCCGTGATCGTCGCTGCAACAGGTGGCCTGTCGAGTCCCCGTAGCCAGCAACGTCGATACTCATCTTCGAAGCCTCCCGTTCCCCCAAGCGACGGCTCCCGGGGCATCGATGCTTCGTCACAGTCTCCCACCAAGAGCGTGAACCCGTCGAGCAAGGAGGGTGCCGAGAAGCGCGAGGGGAAAACGGCGAAACGACGAGGTGGCAAAGATAGCAGCAATGTCTCCGCCAAATCGAAGAATAATGAGCCCTTCCTAAACCTCCCCAGCGTGCCCTCTACACAGCATCTTCATCCTCATGGTTAGTTTGTGACTCAACTCTGCGAGCGTTCATCTTCTTTTGCCGCCCTCCGAGCTCCAACATTGTGTCACGTGGTTTTCCATTTGAGCGATGACACAATTTTAATGGAAAATGGGCTTTTTGGCTAATATCTTGCTGCAGATATCCATGTTGCATCCTTCTTCTCAGCGCATCGACCGATATCCGTCACAACCTCCGTACCATCGAATTCCAACCCAGACGCCTTTAACGCCATTTTCTCATCGAAAAAACCGTCCAAGCCTCGTCCCAACGATGTCATATATACTCTCTCCTCAGCAGTTAATTCTATTGAAGGGGTATTACCCAGTACCCAATCCAGTCAATCTATAGGAAACAACAATTTAAGAAATGCTATCTCCCAGGGATCTGCCAAAACCGTCGAACCCGACCACCTAAGCAACGCCGATGACCTCCCAATCGAAGACCTCCGTATCTCCATCCAGGACTTCGCGAAGAAGCTCCGGCCTTTCAACCCCCCGCCACCCCCAGTTCCCATGGAAAATTTCGGCGAACAGGATAGCGCTACAGAAGCCGAAGCTGCTGAAGCCGCCGAATCGGAACTCCATGAAGGCGTGAGGGAACAAAGCTACTCCACCATCCTCACGATCACCGAATCCACACATGGTGACGGCCGCAAGACCTACGAAGCTCATAGCTCCCCCCTTGTCCGAATTGATAACAAGGACGCTCCGTCATCCTCCAACTATGAGGGTGAAAAAGTGATCCAAGACGAGGGGGGCTCGTTTTCGATATCAGAGCCGGAGATGGATCATCACCGACAACAACATCGCGTGCCGCGCTTGATGGGGCGGAGAGTCTACTACGCCATCAGCGTCAAGAGGCAGCGTAAGCTGAAGATGAAGAAACATAAACACAAGAAACTGATGCGGAGAACGAGGATGTTGAGACGGAAATTGGAAAAAGCTTAAAGGACCCTTTTGTTTTAGTATCAGTTTTTATGATTGCCCTAGTTTCCTAGTTTCTTGGCTTCTGTTACCATTTTGTATCTGTTTTCCGGTCATTAATGGGGATTTTCTAATTTGAACTTCTCCCTGGTTTATCTGGGCTTCTCTCCGCTGTTTCTCTCTCCCTTCCTCTCTCCGCGCTGTTCGAGTCATTTCTCTCCCCTTTCTGTTCCGCCATCCGTGGTTGTGGCGTAGCATCTGTGTTTAGGCTTCCATATTCTTTTTTTTTTTTTGTCTTTTTCATTGTTCCGACTGCCTTAGCTCTATGCCTTTGACTTAAACATATATACATATACAATCCATGTCTGTCCTTCTAAACCATAACTTGACGGGCTTTCTGCTACCTACTCAAGGCTATACTATACATACATGAATCAATATCATTCTCGACTTTTTGTTATTGACATTTTCTATTTACTTTTGCCGGGTTTGTATTCTTTTTTACTTTGTCATTTTCCCTTTCTTCCGCTCTGGGGGTTCTCTGATCTACGTGGTGGTGTATGTTCTTAGTATTCTCCAATCTTGATGGTTCAAGGGCTATCAGGGTAAGATCATATGTTTTGTTTCCTTCTCCTGGAGCCTTCTCTTTTCTATTGTGTGGGTACGCGCTCTTCAGAGGCCTGCATGCCATGATAAAAAGCATTCGATATACGGAATAGAAAAAGGACAAGCAAAAAAAAAAAAAAAAAAAAAAAAAAAAAAAAAAAAAAAACCCGCTCATGATGGGATAGAAACGAGAGAAATTCCATCCTACAAAGATAAGACGGCTTATTGAATGAAACCAACCTTATGAGTATAAAATTGTGCTTGTTACAGAACTATCCATATCTCCATTAATCAATATATCCTTTACAATAAGCATAGTTACTTGTACTATTTCACACCAACTATTCTATGGATTTGCGACAAGGTAGACCTGCTTGCTATATGTAATCGCGCCCTCGGAGAATAATGTCACTCGCTCTGCACATAAAACTGCATCCATCCACCAACAAATCCATCTCTCTTGAAAACACAAATAAAGCCGACATGAAGAAATAAAGCAGCAAATGAATGGTAAAGATGATAAATAACCGAGAAATAAATAAACCATACAGAAAACGAGTACATATAACAAAAGAGGAGAAGAAGGCAATAAAAAGTGAGAGAATAGGATTCAAATATATTCACTGAGCTGCCAAAATGACCCAAGGACCCAAGGACATCATGTCCTCATGGCCTTATATCCCGCATCCAGCAACTCTCCAGCCCCCTCCACTACTCTGGAAATGCAAAAACATAGTTACCGTGGGGGAAATAAAAGGGGGAAAACAGAGACAAAGAAGTAAACAGGAAAAAGGGAAAAGATACGGGAATACAAGGATGCGTCCATTGTAAGCCCGCGTCCGTAGCTCTAAAAGTCAAAACAGGAAACCGGAACTAGGAAACCGATGCTTCATTCCCTCCACACGTTGCCATCTTAAAAAACAAATAATTGATAATCCTACCCTGTCCTTCCGCTTCCCCTCCGCATAAAATAAATCCATTCGAAAAAGATAAAGACAAAAAAAAAAAAAATGATATGTAAGATATACAATTACATGTTTCAGTTTTCCACATCCATCCCCTCACCATCGTTCACGAAAACCTGACGAACGAGCCAAGCCAGACAAAATATGTAGATGTATAATATTGTCCCATAAATACGGACACAAACAGACAAGACAGACAGTCAAAACTGAGCTAGCACTTCCCGAAGCTTCGGGTGAAAATGAAAAATGCAAGATCACATAAACAGAAAACAGGAATAACCGCAGACCGGGGTGGGGGGTGGGGTATGGGGGAAATAAACATAAAGCATGTGGTGTTGCAAGGACGATAAAAGAAGAGTATGATATGGTAGAAGATATTGGAGTGTTTTATTGATTTCTCGGATGTGGTTGATTGTTATGATTGATTGTGGTTGATGATATATGTATCCAAACTTTGGTTGTCATGAACTTTTCGATTAGATGCGATAATCCCGGGTTGGTCTGGACTCCCTTGAACACAAGGTAGTTTGTTCATGAGGAGGGCCAGTTCCCAGGCTGTTGTAAAGTTGGCGGTTGATGGGGGTGTTGTCGAAGAGTTTAACAAACAGCATCGAGATTGGCGCGGGAGTTCATCAGGAGAGCTACGATGAGACCGTACAGACCTGTGTTGAATTGCATATTGTTAGGATCACGAATGATATATTTAAGGATTCATCGTTGAGGTCAAGAAATAGCAGGAGTGGGGAAGATACGATAGCAGAGGGAAGTAAGGAAAGAAAGGAGATAACACACCCAAAACTTCAGCGAAAATGAGAATCAAGATCATGGCGACGAAGAGTCTGTTTTGTTGAGCTGTTCCTCTGATACCCGCATCTCCGACGATTCCAATCGCAAAGCTATATCATATTGGAGGAAGAGGGGAATATGTTAGCCTTAGCTATTCGGGTCTCCCCTGGATAAGTCTTAATTCGGATTGGAAAACATACCCAGCAGCCAAACCAGCTAAACCAACGGACAACCCAGCACCCAGCTGAATGAATCCAGTGTATAGTGGGAGATTTGGCCTTAGATCATTGGCAATGAGAACTGATACGACCAATCCGTAAATACCAATGATACCAGCCATGACAATGGGGACGATATCTGTTTGTTTCCACCGCAGAAGCATTAGTCTTTTTAAGCTCTGTGTATGCATATATATAAAAAGAGACATTTGGATAACGAAATCTTACTTTTAACAATCAGATCGGGCCGCAGGACAGAAGTTGCGCAGACACCGACGCCCGCTTTGGCGGTGCCATAGGCAGCACCGAAACATGTGAAGACGATGGCGGACGTGCAGCCCAGAACACCGAAGAAGGGCTAATTCGGGTTGTGAGTTTCCGGAGTCTACCGTTAGTACTTTGCTGCAAGATATGAAACAGGGCATGGGTGCGTGGCTACGGAGGAGGAGAGGATATCCCAACGCAAAGCCGCTCCGCGTCATGCAAAGCTATATGACAGTACGGTCGGAACGGGGTTTTTTTGACATACCGCGTAGACGGGGCTAGAGGTGGAAGGATAACGTTAGCGTCATGGTCTATAGGAAGTAAGATCTCTTAAAGGTTTTCAAAGGTACGTGGTTGGAGGACAGCTTACCAGAGATCTGTAGGCATTTTGGAGGTGGCAGGGGTTGAACGGAGCGAGTTCTCCCGGTTAGATATTAATAGCGGAGAGTCCGGTTTGATATGGGAGTCTCGTAGTAGAGATGGGGAGACGGGTGGGAGGAAGACGGTGGTGAGTGTCGAGGGTCGAGCTGGAGGTTGTTGCGGTTGGACTGGGTGAGGTTGGAAGGTTGAAGCCAAGGTTGAGAGAGTGCGCACTTGGCCAGGGCTGGCGGGAGCTGCCTGGAACGGCTTAGCGTTGTTGTCACGGGATATCCGTCACCTGATCCATTGATTGCTACCTAGGTACCTAGGTACGGAGTAGGTACTAATACTCCGTACTGTACTATATCAGATATCCATTCAGAATCTATTTATTATTTTTGATAGGTTGTAGTATATGTACATGTACAGATCGTCACTTCTATGATATCGTACACAAAAGGGTCTAGGCTTCCCTTTACTCAACAGATTTCAATCATGATTCTCGACCCAGGGACATCGATTTTAGTCCCATGCACCAGTTGCCCAGGACCTACTCTATCGTTCCTATTCTCAGACACCATTTCATTAAATATAGAATAAACCAAACTTTTCTCTGACAGCGCTCCAAAATAATTCGGTACAGTGACTATTCCACCGTCACCGTCACCATCGCCACCAGACACAGAGGCTTGATCAGTATCAGTATCAGACATCTCCTCTCCATACTCCGCCTCAGAAGATGGAATGACTCCAAACGATACTTGCATTGTTCGTTTCTCCTGACCGGCATCAATTGCGGGGGTCTTTTTTCCCTTCTCCGTCGCCGATGAAGAAGCCCGTAGGCTATCCAAGGGGGCCACCAAAAACTGCACCGTATCTCCCTCTTTCGCAATCTCAGAGAGATCCGTCGTGAGCCGCCCATCCTTGAACTGTATCGACCCCGGAACAGCTTCATCGAATAGGTTCGCCATCACCGCACGGTCCTCCTCGACTTCTGCTGCTGCCTCTGAACCGGGGGCCGCCTCTTCGAAGATTTCATGTACTGGCCGAACCCGACCGGAGCCCAAAGCGACGTGTCCGGCGGTTTGGTAACTATATTCCGGATCTAATGATAGAAGTCCTTGCTTTTTACCCCACCCGCCTCCTCCGCTCACTACACGGTGAAGCCTGGCACCCTCATTGATGACAACAAGTGGATCAGCAGCAGGCATGCCCGAAGCAGCGTGGGGCCCGTCCTGTGGTGAAACAGGCTGCACCAGAGCCCAAACAGCCACCCGCTGATTTTGCAGGTTATTTGCCTCAAGATACGCTGGAAGCGCTTTCTCCAGCTCTGCCGATGCGTGTATTGTTGAGCTCGATCCCTCGTCCTGGCGTCGGAGCTGACTGATGATATTTCCCATGCTTGTGGTTATTACCCGCGGCTTCGTTACTGGGCGGAGAGGCACACGTGCAGTGACTTCGTGAGGTTTCGTTGCACCGTTGATCTGGCAGCTAAGGAGATTATATTCCTTGTCTAGCGTTAGTGTGGGAGAGGTATGGCTTGAGTCTGGGTGTGAGCTATAGCGCCAGCGCGAGGCAAGCATTGTACGGGGTTTGCCGTTCAGGAAGACGGTGTTTGCCAGTCGAATGCCAACTTCCACGAATGAGGTTACTACTGGAGAATCCCTTTTCGTAGGTATTTGACGATACAGGTAGGATAATGTAGGTTCCGTTTCAGGAGTAGACATGTCACGATTTTGAAGCGACCGGGCCACCTTGGCCGTCAGAGCATCTCCGTCCGCGAGAAAGAGAGATATACCTTCATACTCGTGTTGCCCAGCTAGTTTATCTCCGCATTTTTTCCCTTCGCGTAAAATTGAAATTGTGCTAGGAACGGGTAGTTTATCTACGACCGCTACCACGGAATAGACAAAGCTAGCGTGTCCGCCAGAAATGTTGGGTCGCGTGTTTTGGAAAAGGTGCGTTATCGATTCGCGTAGGAAGGAATGGGGGTTCACTACCCAAGAAGCAAACGCGGGGGTCACGAGTAAGACAGGGACAGTGTGAGAGATGTCGTCGCTCTGTGGAAGGCTTGGTAGTTTCGACATCACATCCGAGGGCATCTGCATCCGTTACCGAAGTAAACTGTTAATGTATGTACGACAACTTAAAGTTCGAAAGGAAACGGCAAACTGCGTAGCTCAGCCCAATTGGAGAAACAGAGCAAATCAAAATGCACAACTCACCACCCGCGTTGGATCCTTTATAAACCAAGTAGCGCTTCTAGCACCCGGTGTCGTCTTCACCCGTGCCCCGGAGCTTGAACACAGACCCTGTGTCCATTGGAGCGGATACCCATCATACCCATGCCCATACCCGAAACCACCAGCATAAGCACCATTATTCGCCTTCAACCGTCTCCCATTTCCCTTCCCCGTCGCCAGCTTGCCGCTGCCGCTGCTATAGCTCCGGTGCACCCATAACCCCGAGAGCGAAACCGCTGCTGTTCCCTGACCGGTAGACCCCAGCAAGCAACCACTGGCCAGGAGCCGCGTCACACCTTGGCCGGCGAAGCATTGGTGGAGTGGTGACATGTAAGAAGGGGCATGGAGGGGTCGATGCGGGGTGATTGATTGTTGGGAAGAGAAGCAAGCTGGATGATTTTGGCGCCAGATGAGATGCATCAGCATCAACAAACATATCTTGGTTCAACAAATTAACTCGCCAAGCTCAGCCGAGCCCTCATTGGTTCCTGCTGCTTCGCGTTGGTTTGCTGAGTTTGCTCAGTTTGTATAGCCCAGTCTCACGCGTATTATTAGTTAGTCATTTATTTATTATTATCTCAAGCTAAGCCCTAGTTACTACGCCTTATGCAATGTGGCTTGGGAGATTCAATCCAAACCCAACCCATCCAATCACTCACTCTTATATATTACGAAGACACATTTGCTGATTACACAATCGGGTTGGGCTGGGCTATGCCCCATTGTGATTGGCGCCTAACATCAGGGCTAACTGTTGGGGGTCCCGCGGTTGATCGGCCCTTCTACCAGCAGTGCGCTGGTGGTGATCGAGCTCTTTTGCCCCAGTAGCCTACACTAACTAAGCCCGTGCTGTAATGATTTCCTAGTATTTCATAACTATATCCGCCGTTCATTGGGATTTGTCTGTTCTTTCTCAGTTTTCAATTTTCTTTTCTCTTTTTTGAGGAAAACTGCAAAAAAGTAGCGCTGAACGATGATCGAGATCTTGAGGCCTGGATAAGGGAAGAGTGTGGTCAGGGGGCTATCTGCCTTAGTATGTATGTCTTTCATTAACTGCACAGCCGTGATCATTCTAGCAACACAGAACAATATATAGATACGTCAAGTGACTAACTGGCAGTCCCGAAAACGAAAATGAAACAAAGAGACGCTGTCGGAACATTCGAACATCCCGTTCGGGATCTCCTCCTGCTACTTCGGCATTCCTAGGGCCCAATTCAGAATCCCGAACAAATCGCTCGCCGTGGGCAGAAGTGCTCGGCCGTGACTAGGGCAGCCGAACGATGACGTCACCGGCTCGGCACTGCCAAAAGGGATAAAAAGTTGGCCACTATTATACACACTCACTCATACCAGCCTTGCCACTCACTGGGTCACTGCCCGGATGAACCCTGGTGTGGCGGCACTATGACGTTGCCTGCGCTAAAACCACATCATATCATCCAGTGTCTTGTTCTGCAGATAGTTATGTCACTGTAAGGCTAAATGCACTACAGATTTAGTTATACACAGACGGTCAATAAGGAGACCACCACGAGAAGAATTAAGAGTGGAGGCATATTCTTTTTGATCCAACTGTTTCTACAGAGTAACTAGTTACCCATTACAGATTTATTTGTTTCGCGGAAGAAATCCAGACCAGCAGCTTGTGTGGCGTGCCGGCTGCGGCGCAGCGGTTATGTACCGTACCGTGCGAATTGGACTGCTTAACCCCGTAGCAACAGAAACTAAGAATTATCATCTCCACTCCTCATGACGAGGCTTTGCAGGGCTGCAGATCTACAGTGTAGGAGAAGAAAATCCGTTCTGTATTTGTCCAATCCAGTCCAAGCTAGAAAAAAACAAAACTAGTGTTGCTCCGGAATGACGACGATGTTTTGTCACAATAATAAGTATTAATAACTAATCAGCTGGTAGCTGCCACAATACATAATACATAATAGCAATAATAATAATAATTATCATAATATACACTGCGGTGTCTTTGTTTTCTGGGCCCGGATTTTCCATTCCCAGCTTTTTTTTTTTCTAGTCTTTCTTTTTTCCCGGGGAGTATTTAAATAACCTTACTTCTCCCCCCTCCTTGTTTGCCTTTTTCTTTCTTGCCTCTTTTCTTCCTCCCTTCCCCAACGTCATTCCTGCTTCCCATCAACCACCAAAACAAACAAATAGATATTTAATATTTAATCCCACAAACCCGACCTATAAATAAATCCACCAAGACCCTATACATATATATAGCAGCTCGAATTACTATTCTCCGCCCTTTTATCCCTCCCAACACGCCGTCACCATGGCTTTCACCGCATCGTGAGTATCTCCCCGTCGCTTCCGGGACTGGCTATTTATCGCCCAGCCCAGCCCACAATCCCACCAATTCGAAGGAAAACGGATGAGAAATGAAATAGAAATTAAATAAATATTATAAAAAAGGGAATATTACACTTGCTAACAAACAATTCCTATCCATATAGAGATATCTGCAAAATCATCTTCGCCATCCTCCTACCACCCGTCGGTGTCTTCCTAGAACGCGGATGCGGGGCAGACTTGCTCATCAACATCTGTTTGACCGTCCTGGGCTACATCCCTGGCATCATCCATGCTCTGTACGTCATATCTCTCTTTGTTCTGTCCCCTCACCTATTGTTATTACTATTACTATTATTATTACCATCATTATTATATCTCCCAAGGCTATTCTATCTGGTATATATATATATATACATAAATATGTGTGCAAAACACCAGCTAACCTCTCCACCTCGCCGCACAGATACATCATCCTCAAATACTAGCCCTGCGATGATAAATGAACGATTAATTCAGCCTGCTGCATCTCTTTTCTTCTCTCCTGCAATTCCAGCTCCCTACCCATTTCCGCTCCGTTCCGCCTTGTTCGAGAACGTTCACCTTGGTTTTTCTCAATTTTGCCACCAAACCAACCTGATACCAATGCCAATCACACCTAAAATACATACACCCATGAAGGCCCTCTCTCCGCACGCTTCCCTTAGTTGATTAAAAATAACTATATATATCCGCGCAATTCCTCATCCTTCGTCGTCGCCGGAAATCCTCACTAGCCTATCTTAGTTTCTCTCTGCCTTTTTCAAAATACGACCTGCCTTTACATGAATTTATGCGAAAAATAGAGGGAAAAAAATCATTAAATGAAGGCGGAAAGGAGGAAACCTGTTCTCCTAGTGCTTCCTAATTTCTCTATCCACGCAGCGGGAGGAGCAACGGATGGGAGGATAGGGTGCTTGATAGGAAAACCTGCCCTTTTTTCTTTTTTCTTTTTTTCTTTTTTGTTCATATCATAAGTTGCATTGGCTAGTTATGGGTTCTTGAGGGGGTGGGAAGAGGAGGCGCTTTGGTTTGATCGATCCCATGTCTCTCCTTTTTGACCTGTTTAGCTTTGTTTAACGCATATATATATATATTTTCCCCTTTTAACGGCCAAAACCTGTTTTTGTTGTTGTGTCTTATTATATTTTTAGTGATACCAGTTCCTCGTCCCCACCCCCCAACTCTATCCATGATTTTGTCAAGGTTTCTTCGTCATTCCTCCCTGGTTCTGCCCCGCTTTCTTCTTTTCTTTAAAATAGTTGGCCGAATTAGTCTCATCCAATCTCTCTCTCTCTTTATCCCCGGGTTTATGCGTTACATTTTGCACTTTGCGCTTCTCGCTGATTCGTATTCTCTCGCGTTCGCATTCATACTAATGCACATTGGCTTCCAAACTTTACTAGATTGAACTAAGTTTTTGATTGTCTGGTTGATTTGATTTGCGGCATGGTGGAATGAATTGTTTAATTGTACAGTAGTGTTTTATTTTTTACATGGCAATGTGCAGAGAAGTTTTTTTAAGTAATCTTTTTATTTTTCTCTTCCTTTTCGGTTGTGCTTGTTGTGCTTCGTTGGAGAGGCGGATATATATTTTTGAAGTACTGGTTCGTGCTTTTGGTCGTGCGGTTCCTATGACCAAGCATGAGAGGTAACTTATATACATGCTCCTCCTCCGCCTCTCAGTTTTGTAATTGGGACTGATAACTAGTTATTCAACATGTTAAAAGTATTGACCTAGCAGTGCTGCCACTACTCTGTAATCGAGATTGTGTTCTTCAGGAGCGACGAACCAACCGCAGCCACCAAGCTAAATTTTGAATTTAATGCACGGAAGATCTAACCGCCAGCCACGCCGTAGAATGAAGAATTTCCAACCCCAATTCTTGCCATGTTTATGTTTCACGCCTGAGGCGCGTCGCGAAAACACGGAAGTGATGTCATCAGCGCCAACAGTTCACTTAAATACCACGTGACCGCCGTCCTCTGTTAGCCGCCCAACCCTCGGCCCCTGAAACGCCTTTGACCCTGGCTGGCGCCTGGCCTTGACGACCTCACAACCTCGGCGCTTAAGCAACGCAGCCCCAACCCAACCACCCCCCTCATCCAACAACCTCCCATCACGCTGCTGTGTTTGCGGCGTTTCAGCACGGCGCCTAGCTACGGAGTACTCTCTCTCCAGTATCTCCAGTCCTTCCTCCTACCACTGCCATTTCTGTCTCTGCTCGAGGCGCCGATGGAAGGGGGAAGGGGGAAGGGGGAAGTGGGAAGTGGGAAGTGGGCGGTTGGCCTGGCCTGGCATGACATGACATGGCATGATATGTTAATTGCTCCATTGCTCACATCGGATCTTTTCGTATCGCTGGCCAGGGGGGTGGTCGGTTGCTTAGCGAGGTCATCCTATAGGATGGACGGAATGGAATTGGAGATGGTGGTTTGTTTGGTTTTGTGATGTGGGCGCGTCCCTCCGTTGGGCCCTGCTACCTCGTGGCTAGGCCTGGCCGGGGGATGGATGTGGTGATTATGCGTCTCACTACCTGATTACTGACTGATGACTTTCTTCTGGGTGACGTGACGGAAGGGGGGTGAGTGTGTGGACATGCCGTTTTTTGTTGGTTGGCTGGCTCTATGATTTCCGGCTCTCGTTGTTTTCGATCTTGACTCTGTTCGGGTAACAAATGACCGCCAACTCTGCTGCTACTCGAATGGATATCCACTCCCCGTTTCTGAAGAACGGTGGTGGTTGTGGTGGTGCTGTTTGCTGATGGGTTCTAAAGAGATCGCGCTCGGCGCTCGCGCGCTTCGGATTTGGATAGAGGGGGTGGGGTCCATTTTATGTCTGATCCGTTGTTTATTATTATTTACTTTTTTTATTTTATTTTATTTTATTTTACTTCTCCGCTTCTTTTCTTCTCTTTCTTGTTTGTCCTGTTTCCCTCCCCTTGTTTCGTTTCCATTTCTGCTCGATTTCCTTTGATATAGCATTTTTCTGTGCTACTTTACTACCTTGCGTCAGCGGGTCTTTTTAAACAACAACCCTTGTATGCTCACATACGCCCATCATTTTTACCATCTCTTTCCTTCTTGGTATTTCACGCCTATTATCTATTGGGTCTGATATTCCTCCGTGCGGAAAGCTAGCTCTTGTATCTGTGCTACTGGTTGTACTACGACGATGAGCCGATCCGGGTGAATATAGAGGGTTCGTTTCTCGACAGCTTAGGCTGACAGGAATCGGTACGTCGTATGGGAAAACGCAGTGTGTCTTTGGAACCCGCTTTTGTGGGGCTCAAAGCCCTCTGGTCTTTATATCTTCATGACACTGTTGCTCGAGTCCTTTCCATCCTTGCATTGTGGTGCATTCACAATATTCACAGCTTACAGCGCCGCTCAATGCTGGGATACCTAGCTCACTTCTTTTTCTCTCACCTAGAGCTGCTACACCAGCATGTCGCGCCGTTTTCCGGCCCTAGCAGTCGTTCTACAGCTTGCAGTTGCAGTACACAATCCGTTTTGCCTGGCAGATCATATCTCACCCCGTGCCACAACTATACCTAGGGGGGGTTTTGTACCCGCCTGCGCACAGGGTTGCCTGCTCTCCTTTTTAAAATTAGACTTCCCCGCTGCGGCCTGCCCGAATTCACGCGACCTATCCTGTCTCTGCACCAGAAGATCTACCACGGGGTTTACGCTTGGTGAAGGTGCCCTGCGTTGTGTGTACGCCTTCTGTTTGAACCCTGGTATCCGGGAGCTCCAGGTATATGCCATCTGTTCTGGCATCCGGAACGCCCTTCCAAATACCCATACTGCAATCACCATCACATCTACAGCCATGACGACGACGCAAGCAGATCCATCCCCTTCAACAACCGTTTCCGAGACCACCCTCCCCACAACTTCAACCCTGAGCACTACCTACTCATCCACTTTGACAACGCCAACTATTTCAAGTACTAGCGCAACACTTCTATCAACTGCCTTATCATCATCCAGTACTCTGGCCCCTCTGGATCCAACCGGACTTCCACCCGGACTCCCCGAGCCTCCTGCAGCCAATGATGAACCATCCATGACCAGTGCCCAGGTAATAGGGGCTTCCATCGGAGGTGCAGTTGCAGGTGCATCGTTATTGGCCTTGATCATATTATTACTCTTAAAGAGCCGCCGAAAAAGGATGATGGCAGCTCATGAGAGCGAATTCGAAATTGGCGGGCAAATGTCCGAACCCACTCCACAGGGTTCTACAGCGGGATATCGGGGTGGCCCGACTCTCGGATCCCCCATTGGCATATACAACGAACCAGTCGCTCGTCGGCTTACCCATCCATCTAACACTACCAAACAATCAGAAGCTACTTCCCCAGATGCTGGTAACTTTCCGTATCCATATCCCGCCTACAGCCATAGCGGGAGCGATGATGCGAGTTTATCGACCCCCAATGCGACAAAGTCTAAATCGCCTCGTAGAATATCGCAATTGCTACCGGAAAAACCCAACTACGAGGTATACTCCTCGCAGCATCCGATTACGGAACGCTTGGGACGCCGCCCGGAAAGTTCGGCCACAGTATTTGAAGAAGATTATGATGGGGATAGGAAGGCCCTTCTTGCGGCAAACAGCCACTGGCCCACCGCACATCCAGGCGGCGGATATAAAAATATGTCTGCGTACAGGAATTATTCACAACCGCAGCAGTTTGGTATTCAATACACGACTTACCAGAATACTGGGAGACATCAGCCGCAACACCGGCAACGGCCGCAGCCTCCAACGTTAAGACTAGTAACCCCCGCCAGGAGCAACTCGTACCAGGGTCGAACAAATATGGCCACCTCGCCTCCAAAGGTTATGTACCAACGCGTGGATTCGGGATTATCCATGCGATCCAACGGGACAAGGCTGGGCGGACATCCGAATTTATACCCACGGGCTGGAGCTGGTGCTGGTGCTGGAGCATGGAGGCATGGTGGATCAGTCGACCTAAATCGACGACGACCGAACGATCGAACGTCCGCCGGGTCAGTTACAAGTTTTGAGTCCGTGGATATGAATGACGGGAATAGGAATGGTAATGCAGGGATTGTCCCCAAGCGCACCACCGTTCGCCTCAGCCCTGTCAGGGAAAGGCCAACATCCCCGGATCCGAATGCGTACCCGGCACCACTATCCAGGCCAGTGAGGTACCCACCAATGAACGGACGATCTGCATCAACTAGTTATAATTTTCAAGGGCAAGGATATAGTGAAAGAGTCAACGACGTGACTATGGGGAATGGAGCGAATGGCGGCAACTCACGTTTATATCCATATCCGTATCCGTATCCGTATCGTAATCCCGCTGGTACCACAAATAACATTCCCAAATTTCCGAAATTCCATCAACCACTCCGACCGCCAATACCTCGCCCTCAGCCGGAATCGCAAACACAGCCACAACCACAACCACAACCACAGCATCAATACTCACCACCCACCCTCAATGAACCACGAAATAGCCGAACCAGCAGCAACAGCAATAGCAGTAGCAACAACAGCCTCCTAAGCAAACGCCGCGGAGAAGCCATGGCAGATAAGATGGAGAGCGAGCTAGATGTCGACAAAGCAAGCAGACGCCGTCCCAGCCCTTTGAATTCTGGGAGCAAGTCGGAGAGTGGTGCTGGAGCGGCGGCACAGGGAGGACTGAGGACGCCGTTGCCGTCGGTGGGTTTTAAGGCGCGGCAGAACAGGCAGGCGCAGGAACGACAGCAGCAGAAGCAGCAGCAGCAGCAAGGGAGGCGGGATAGAGATATGACTGACGATGATAACGTCGCTGATGTGGAACAACAGTCTGACCTGCTAGGATCGCAGGGGCGGAAATTGACGCCCACGAGACGCGGGCCGGATTTATATCTTAATGTCGAGTGAGATGGATGCTTTTCATCTTATCATTTTTCTTTCTGTTTCTGTTTTTGTTTGCTGGTTTGATTCATCGGGTCGTGAGGCCATTTTATTCTTATAAAATCGTACTCGAGTACCCATCAGTTGTTCCCCCTCCTTCTTTTTTCCGGGTGAAATGCCCAATTTACCAATACGTACGTACCTTGTTCGAATTTTGATGGATTTTCGCAACTCTTTTGGTTTTCTGGATTCTCTACACTGAAGAAAATGCATGTAGAGGGTGGATGTGTTTCTCAGCCCTTTTTCTCATGTTCATGTGCTATACGCCTATTCTCCCTTTGTATATGTACAAAAAATACTGCCATTTTCCTTGTGTTTATTTTATTGATATACCCCTGATCCTGGTCCAATCGTCCTTTTTGGCATTTGTACTGTACAGTTTACCACCATTTTCCCTTTCAATTACAACTTTTTTCTCTTTTATCCCGTTCTCTCCGTGTCTTGGGTCCGTTTAAGGAGACTTAATATTTCCCAGCATCGGTTGCCATACTTTCTATCGGTACAACCTAAGTTGCCCTTGGTATATAATGATTCCTGATAAAAGATACAGATAAAATTCATTTATGTACGAATATATGCACAACGATGTAGTATGCCACCTTAGAAATCCCCCCCAAGTAAACCGGGGACGAATTGCTACAGTTGTAGCCCTGAGCCCAACCTTTTAATTTCCTCACCTCTAAGATAAAACAAATGCAACTGACTAACTGGTTTTACTTCACTGGATCAATATTATTGTTATCGAATCTTCAAAATCCAAATCTTGCGGACCTGTGATTATTCAATCGCAAGATTGTGTTTGGCTTGGGTTGCTCATGGCATCACGTGGCAAGTCAGTCAGTCTCCATACGGGAAGAACGTAGGGTTATTACACGACCGGATTATGGTTGTTCCACCATTTCAATCAGCGACACGGTCGCTGAGCTGTAAATCATAGTATAATGATGAATGAATGATGGAATCATCATAAATAAGTGATAAACTGAAAAAATCAATTATCATATTAGTGATGTCACTGAATCCAATCTATATAATTACTAATTCTTAAAACTGTCTCATTCACTGATATTATTCTCTATTGAAAATCACAGACACTTCTATCTAAATTCTTCTGAATTGACTGAATCAAGTTTCTTTCATAGTCTTCATTCTCAGTCATGTTGCTCTCATTGATCACATCACTGAACTTGTGAATTGAGATTTACAGATTAGTCATGATCTGGAAAACACTGTCATCAGTTATCTGACATTTAGAAGTTGAGGTTTCAGAGTGATCAGACACTGAGTGTTTGAAAGTCTATATAATTATTAATCTCTGAATAAATCTGAGAATCATTTCACTGACTCTAGTTTACTGTTTCAGTGATTATTTCATAAGTCTGAGAACTCAGAACACTCATCAGAGTCAGAAGATTGAAGAAGAAGAGAGAGAGAGAATTAACAGTGATAATAGAAGAGCTGATAAGAATTACAGAGAGAGAAAGAGAATTATTACTATTAACAGATTTCTTATCACTGCTGCTCTCATCAACTGTATTACTAAGAAGTTTGATAATTATTTCAAATCAGTTTATTGTTTCATATATTTCAATGAAAATATACTGTACTTTCTCTCTAACACTGTTAATCAAGTTTGTGAGATTCTTTATTACTGCTTTTTAATTCTTATAATAATTATTAACTGATTTTAAGATCTCTCACTAAACAGCAAGCTTTGTATTTTCAATATTCAATTTTATCTTTTTAATGATAATTTTCTTCTTCTTTATAGTGATTTTCTTCTTTTCAATCTTCAATTTAACTCTTTCAATATTCAACTTGATCTTCTCAATTTCAAGTTTGACTTTTTCAGTGAAACTGATAAATGTATTTGAAGCTTTCAACACAATAGCTACACTCTTCATTTTTTGATTTTCTGCTTTCTATCAGCATGTCTTTGCTTTCTTGATTTGCTTGAATAAATTCTTTATCATCTTCAGTATGACTGACTTGACTGATTTCTTCATGACTGTTGAGATGATAAGATAAAACTCATAAGTTCAGACTAGGTTTTCAATTTCATCTTTGAATTTATCAGAATATATCACATAACCTTTCTTTTCATAATTACAGTTTGAACATGGCTTTGTACTTTCTTCAACTTTGTCACAAACAGCATCAATATAATGAGAAAAGATATATAAGATATAATATTCATATATTATTAACTTATCTGACTGATTGAGAGTTTTCAGCCTGATCACTGTCTCTTTCTCTTGTACTTTTACAGCTGCTGCATACATACACTTGAAAGTATCACTGATCATTTATGCTGCTGTTGTTGTTGTTGTTACTGTTGTTAATGCTGTTATTAATGCTGTTGTTAGTGCTGTTGTTGATGCTGTTATTAATACTGTTGTTAATACTGTTATTAATACTGTTGTTGATGCTGATGCAATGATTCACTGATATTCTTGCTGTACTGTGCACACACAGTATCTTATATTAGAACTTTTGATTCTTAAAGCTTTCTATTGCAACTGGCAGGATACTAACCTTGCTGAAGATGAGAAAAGGCTGAGTGAGCTGAATAAGCTGATAAATCAATGTTCATGTTGTGATATGATTGTGAGAAGAAAGAAGAAAGAAAAGAAAAGAAAAATGATAAGTTGATATTCTCTTTATATATATTGTTGATTCTTTTATAATGCTTTCATATTTCAGAAGACTTCTGAACACAATCAATTGATGTATCTGACAGATTTTATTCATATCTTATTTTCAGAATAAATACTTTCTGCACAGACTATCATTGAATGAACTACAGCTATTTTAAATATAAAATCATTTCTATTAATCAGAAATAAGTGTTTAACACACTGTCAGAAATATATCTACAGAATTTCAGATGAATAAGAAGATTTTCTGATACAGTGAAATCAGTGATTCTGCTGCAGTCATAATCATACAAATTTTAGAGAATATGACAATTTTTATCAGTGAATATCAAGGCAGGTATATTCTAATTATATATATTAAAGTATATATTAACTAATTTATATATAAAACTCATAGAAAACTAAATATATTGAAATAGAAATAAGTTGTGTCAGAACTCTCTGTGTCACTGAACACTCTACATCACAGGCCTGTCTTTTGTCAGAAGTGTATCTGAAAATTTTACCTTTTTTCACATCTTCTCTCATGCATCTTTCACTATATGTCTTTTTTTAACTGTCAGAGTATTCTGAATTGTCTCTGTAAAATCATCTCTAACAATTTATCAATATTCAGAAACATCACTTATAAGATCTCAAAATATCAGAATATCTTGTCATTGCAGTATAGCTTCAGTAGAATTTTCATTTATATCAGTATTATCAAATATTTTGACTTGAGTTGTCAGGTTTGTATATATCTCTATTTTTCAGAATCAGTTTCTTATTTCTCAGTCTGATGTTTTTCAAACTGATATTAACTTACATTTCATATATCATTGTTCTCACTCAGAGAATCAATCAAAGTCAATAATTTCTCACACTCAGTAAAAAACTAAGAAGAACTTTTCAGCAGTAAATGAATCATAAAAATAGTCAAAGATTATCAACTCTTCATAGCAGTTATACAATCTGATTATCACTGAACTTTCTCTGCTTTTTATCTTCTTCTGTTGAACATAATTCTATATCAATAAATAATTAGTTAAGTTGATCAGACAAGTTTTGATATCTCACTAAAAAGTTTAGATTTATCTAAGATTCTTCACTGAAAGGTCAAGATATCTCATCAGAGACTTGATATATTTCACTGAAAAGTTAAGATTTTTACTAAGATCTGAAATACTGAAAATACTTGTCTTCATTTCTTTCAATGTTCTTGACTTTCATGTCTTTATTATATCAAGCATTGTAATTCAGCTTGATGAGAATATGTATGAAATTTTATTCTTTATTTTCATTATCTCTGTAACTGTCTTGTTCAGATTGTTCTTTGAGAATATAAGAAAATATATTCATCTGATTTCAATACAAAGCTTTTGTTCTGTTGACTGAATTTTCTTCTCATACACTTCTGCATCTGAGTGCTGAATTCAGTGATATCTCTTTGACAGATCACTGAATATTGAGAATGAGTTTGATTTCTTATCTATCTGATATTCTTCATTAATGTCATTATGTTCATTCTATGATACAGATATATCAATATATGATTTCTTTTAAAATTGATGATTTATCTCAGTAAACCTATCAGATAAGAGAGTTTGAAGAGATCTATTAAACTGAGATCTATAGTCATGCTTATTTTCAGAATTTTGATAGAATTTTGATAGTATTCTGATAAAATAATCAGCTACTTGCAGGAATATAACAAAGAAAGTATGATTATTAATATTAAGATAATGTTTATCACTGATTGCAGCTCTTATTGATATATTTCTTTTCAGTAATTCAACCTCATCTCTTTATTTTATCAAGATCACTTATTCACTTCATTTATATCTTTTCAACTATGTAACTTTTTTCTACAAATCATATCAGAAAGCAAAATATTGTGTCTGTTTAATTAAAATCTGAAACACTATCTGCTATCTGTCTCTAGACAAGAATCTGAGAATGATTAATTGAAATTTCAACATCAGAGCCTCTCTTTCTCAGAAACTGTAAATGAAGATTTCACTGACAGTGATTCAGATAATAATGCTCTCAGTAAAGAAGTATTACTATTCTCAGTAAGTTTATCACTTTTGATGTCTCTATTATTATAAAAACTAACATTCTCTAAAGACAGAGTTATATAATGAGAATACTGCTGATAATGTTGAGTATATTGAGTGACTTTTGAAAGCAGCTGCTGAGGAGAATATTTCTAAAAATGATGATCAAGAGAATTCTGATGAGTCAGTTACTGATAATATTAAAATACTAGCTGCTGATGCAATTGCTGTTACTATTACTGATTAATTTATTGATTCTGATTCAGCAATTGATATATCTCACAAATGCAGTAACTTTGAAATGAATTCATTTATTCTGACAATGAGACTCTGAGCTGAAGAGTCAGATATTTCCTGAAAAAACTACAAATCACTACTGCAAATTCTGTGTTTATTGAAGAATACATCACTGATAAGTCTGCTCTCTGAAGATCTATCAACTCTGAAAAAGTAATACAGAGTATAATTTCTGATTTTATCAGTTAAGAAAACCTCAATTTCAATAGTGTTATCAATGCAAATATCAACTCTGAGTTCTGCTCAGAAAAATCTCACTGAATTCTTCATGAGATCACTCTACTTTTAAAATTCAATTCTCTTGATATCTGCTCTTCTCAAATCCTCAACTTTTCAGTGACAAATGTATATAGAAATGACAGAAATTGTCAACAATTTCACAGAGTTATGACAATTTCACAGTTGAGAGAGCTCTGTCAAATATTGTTTCAGCAACTTCATGCAATATTCATCAATAAATAAACCTCTTTTTTCTTTCAATTTTATTCAGTATCAGTGTGGGAATCTCAAATGCTACTGCAAATCAAGATTGAATAATATATCTTATATTAAGAGAGTGTGTTTTATCAGACATGATTGCTGACATTCAGACATGAAGTCTCATATAATAGTTCTGAAAGTTCAAGAAGCTGTTCACTATACTTCACAGACTGTATAAAGATTACTGTTCTTGAATTCATTATTTAGTCTCTTCAAAATAATCACAATGAAGAATGAGATGAAATATATCTTAATTACTTAAGTTCTCAATTAACTTGATATTCATATAAATACAGCATTTGAATCAGATTCTGATCTGTCAGTATATAAGAGTTAAGATCAGTATTTTCTTCATCAGATCATGAGAATTAAAACTGAAGTTATTGAGATATGATTATATTGCAAATCTTCACTGATTCAGACTGAGTTGAAAATTACAGCATATAGTCAAGATCTTTTGAAAAGCATATTTTACTCTGATATATAAGTTATTTCTCTGTCATATCAATTATTTATTGATGAATTTGATTTATATCAGAACATATACTGAAGCTTGATAAATTTTTATATAATTTCTGCACTAAGTACTGTTAAGCACTCAAAGTGAAACAATATTTTTACTCTAATCTTTGATTCTCATAGTATCAATTTTTCTGACACTGTCACTGCATTGTCACATGACTTATCTACATTAAATTGTGAGAAAGTTATGATGAATATCAGTAAAGAAAAGATGAGAATTATTGCATCTTATATTACATTTCTTGAAGATATACTGCAGTAAAATAGCAATACAGAGATCAAAGAATCAACTGTAAGAAGATTATGCTAAAGCTGCTTTATTAATGATAAAAATCAGCTGAATCTGAACTACAATCTATGTAATAACAGCTGATTTCATTATTATATACAACATCTTCAGTCTAAACTGAATAATCTGCTGAATCTCATACATAGAGAGTAAATATGTCAAGAGCAGAGTATAACAGCACAGACAGTGTCTCTTTTTCAAATATACTTAAGTTTGAATTTAATCTTCTTTTTTTCTTCTGATTCATATCATAGTGAGTTCACTGATATATCAGAGATTTCATACTTATTACTGATCAGTACTGTCTTATCACTGTATAATTAGCTAGAATACTTCTGAATATTACAGACATTCTCTTTTTCTCACAGTTGAAATTATCTGCAGTTGCTGATCACTCATCTCAAGAAGTATCAGCTTTAAGAACATGCTTAAGCTTTAATTATTATATCTCTTATCTTACAGTGTGAGCTCAGAGAGAAATAACTCAATCTGATAATTAAGCAGATTATTTCTGCAGCATTTTCAGCATCAAATCAATCATCTATTAATCTTATTATTCAGATATATGCAGTTATTATAAGAAATAATAGCTTATTAATATCTCAATCTCTGAGAGAAAATGATTCTGAAGTAGCTCATCAAATCATACTTACAGCTCACTGACAGCTATAATTTCTTATTAAAGCTATGATAAGAGCAGCAGTGATATTTAAATCATCTTAAGCTGATTCAGTTATTAGTCATCAGTCATTCTCTACTTCAATAATAAGCATAGTTACTATACATATCAGTGATTATATTAAAAAAGCAAAGCTTATATAATATATAAAGAGTTAACTGAATATACATATTAATTTATACTATGTTAAGCTGATTAAAGAATACACTGTATCTAATAACTGTAATATTCTGACAGAGAAGAATAAGTATCAAGACTACAAAAATCTAGTACAGTGAATAAATTATCAGAATGTGAAGAAGACACTACTTTTATAGAAGAGCTTTCATTATATCTTATAACTAGTATTAAGAGATTCTTTTAACAGATCTGACTTGCATCTGATATAGAAGATTTAACAGCTATATACAGTTTATTCAGCACTGTTCAATAATCTTCTGAGAATAAATAAAGAACTAGATAATGATAATAATTCACTGAACTACTCTATTAAGTTAGAGTTAATAAAAGATTATATTACTCTGAAGATTTTTAGTCATCTATTATTAAGTAAGATATCAGAGAAAGTCAGTATATAATTTATAAATCTCTTCAAGCTTGAATTACTTCATTCATTTCTTAATAATCTGTGAGAATTCTATGATATTGATTGAAATAAGTTCTCAGTTTTAAAACTAGATCACTGTCTGATTCTTTTCTATAATAAGTTAATATTCTCAGTTCAGTATATCTCTTCAACTAATCAATCAATCAGTTATTGACTTATTAATATATAAATCAGAAAGCATGTTCACTGAATCTCTCTCATAGAGAGAAATATTCTTCAATATCAGAGAGCTGATCTTGACTGAATTATAACTATCTTTATTCATGAAATAAGAGAGATCAAGTGAATTTTCTTTACACTTACTTCTTTATATCATATCAGACAGAATTGTCTGCTGAATCTGCTGATTTTATAAGAGAATTTCAACAGTTATACTATTATCAGACTTCTGACAATTTAAAAGACAGCATTGCATGACATTTCAATACTGAATACTGATGAAAATAATGATTATTTAGTGTATGAATCTCAGACAATAAGATATTTACATTGCACTTGAGATGTCTTGTTTCTTTAGATAGTAATTTGATTTATATGAAGTAGTTAACTAGTCTAGCTGAATAGTATACAAGCATTGATTTCACTGACAGGACAGTATATTGTGGCTCACAGTATCCCAGTAGTATCTTGATGATGGCATCCGCTGATTACATGGTGACTGAGCTGTCCCTCAATGGTGTCAAGAAGTCCTGTGCTGTTTCAACGCCATCTTGACATTTAATATTCAGCGACATGTCACTGAATATAATGGTGGAACATGTGTTACAATCGGCGACATGTGACACAGGTGGAATGGTGGATCCACGGTGTAATCACCGTAAATTAACCCTACGTTCTTCCCATATGGCTCCCTCGAAAGTTTCCTTCCAGAATCCAAGGGCCCTCCGCCGAACGCGTTCCGTGGACATCATTGATATTCACGAATAGCAAATAGATCACAATGGCGTTTCCAAGTGACTTCTATTCTAACATGGGGGCCATGTTTGACTCCATGCCTCCTGGCCTCCCACGACCCTCAGATTTCCCTAGCCCAGAGAAGGCCCGGCGACAGGCACGGGAATATTCCACAGCCATCCTGACCTCCTGGATCACGTTAAGAAAAATCCTAGATAGACATGAAGCTGTGTTAAGAAAGCGTTGGCTCAAGAAGTCGAGAGAACAGCGGAGAAGGATCCTCGTTTCTGCTTTCCGCGATATTCCTTCAACGCATCGGCCTGACTACGATGCGTTTCGGAAGGGTTGCGGACTTGTCTCCAGGGATGCTTACCTGTGGCCGTATATCAACATAGAGGATCTGGTTGAGTTCAAAACCTTACTGTTATTCCTCAATGCCAGAGGACGTAACCCGCCATCCATGTTTGCGCATTCTGATTTCGATGCAATCCACCTTGGCTTGGTTAGTGGTACGATTTGTCCGGCATTTCTCAACGAGTACACCATGCTTTTTGAGGGCGAGACTGTTAATACCTATGGGAGGATGGTTTCCTGGGATGAAGACGACGAGGCATTTGATCTTATGTATTCTGGGATAGGCGTCCAACCCGGAGAGGGTTTACTGATCTTGGAAATCCAGGATAAAATCATGGAGTTCCTAGTTAGCTGTTGCCGTGGAATCCTCCAAGACATGGATCCTACAGCACTGACCGATCCAAACATCCCCGCCCAACCGGAACCGCCAGCTATTGTGAAAGATGCAACTGAGTGGCCCACTATGGCCTCTATCGCTGCAGAGTCTCCTTACCGCGTCCCAGCAAATATTGATTTCGAACAGCTACGGGCAGTGGTTGCAGCAAGACGTTCCGCTGCGGTGCACCATATCTGGGCCCTTCGCGAAGATCCGGGGTATTTCCATGATACCCTGGGAGACTGCTCTGAGCATCGACAGGAGCCGATGCTGGATGAGAATAAAAAGCCCCACCCACTGTTTGGGACGGACATGTTTTGGGCTCGCGTCTACGGATCGGTGATAAACTCTGCCTATGAACACCTCGTCGGATTTGACGCGCTATACCACCAGATCGAGAAATTAGTTGATTTACGAGAAAGATACGCCGCGGAAATTTCTCCAAACGCAGCATTACCCCGAGAGTATATGAAAGAGCTCTTGGTTTTGAAGGAATGCCTGGATATATTAAGCAAGGGCCCGATTGAAGACTTGAAAATGGCTCTCCCCGCGTCTCCACCTATGCGCTCCTTGTTCGTTCGAGGACAGCATGCGCCAGGTTCCACAGTCATTCCGGTGATGACGAAAAAGGGTGTTGGTACTAATTATTTCTTATGGCTCTTTCAGATCCTATGGGATCCGCAGCAGTTGTTTCTCTGTCGCTTGCCTGATCTTACCGACGAAATTGAGAGACTTGTCCATAGTGACCCAAAGGAGAAGGCAAAATTCTCACCTGCCGTCACCAGCATGTTTTCGGATCTAGGGCTTCTTGCAGGTACTCTTCGTGAAGTGAACACATATTTCCCTTGGGCTGCTGGTATGGACCAGCAAAAGGAGATGTTGTTTCAGTCAGGAGAAATATCCAGGGAAGCAAAGAATTTTCTTTTACCAATTATTGATGTTTCCAAATATTTTAGAGATCAGGAGCTGGTGAACCTAAAGCTGGAAACGCCGTTTGATGGGAGATTCACTTATCCATCAGACAAGCGGAGGACACAGCAGCATGTGGAGGCAATGCGGACGGCAGAGCAGAATCTGGACTCGTTCTGGGAAACTATCGACCAATATTACAAACGGAATACCGGTAGAACTCTCCTAGAATCTTTCCGCCATCTTCTTCCTGATGATCGCCAATTGGAGCGGACGCCAGAATGGGTTCCACCACCAACAAAACCTGCTGTTGACCCTTCGAACGATATCTACGAGCCTTTCTCACAGCTAAATATTCAAGATGAGACCAAACTCAGAGCAAAAGGAACAGCAGATGAAAGGATCAAAATCAAAACAAAGGGCACTCCCCACCCCCAACCAGACACTGAACCAAGCATACCCCATCACGGCACCCCACGACACATCCCAGACACCCAGCCAACATTCCGCATCAGCAAACGCGCGCTCAAAGTATTCTCCACCCTCTTCCATGACCCGTCAAGAGAAGACCAACCGGGCGAGATCCCATGGTCCGACTTCCTGCACTCCATGGTGTCGGCCGGTTTCGGCCCAGCCAAGCTCTACGGCTCCGTGTGGCAGTTTACGCCCACGAAGCTGGACGTCTCGCGGAGTATACAGTTCCACGAACCGCATCCGCGGAGCAAGATCCCGTTTCGGGTTGCTAGGCGGTTTGGGCGTCGGCTAAATCGTGCGTATGGGTGGCATGCGGGGATGTTTGCGTTGGCGGAGCAGAATTGATACATACATATTTAATCTTTGTGACAAGATGACAAGTGCGCGTGATACCCGACTAGAATGGATCTACGTTTGAGGGCGGGCTGTTAAAATATGCTCTTAGCAGCAATAAAAATCATGTACTGTGCGCAAAAGGGACCCCCTTGGCTATATATATATATGTATGCATATTACACTACTAAAAAATAGCGGATTTCATGTTATACCGCCTTGCCACACTTGTTAATCCCTTGCAGTTAACTTCTCCATCTCTACTAACGAATTGAGTCCTTCGGAAAACGGACGCATCGGTTGGATGGGGACTTTGGATTCCAGAGGTCTGAGAGTGGGACTGTGGGGGGCTGGCAGGAGATGGGGTCCGCTGGTCTCATTCTTGCGTATACCATATAACCATAGCCTCTTATGGTTGAATGTGAATCATATCTGTCATGAGAACATTAGCTCCATCTCCTAACCCATAAGAGGAGGTCTAGCTAGAGAGGAGTTCATAATAAACTGACAATTCTGAAATATTGGATGTGGACATGTGTGTGAAGCGTTTAGCTATACACCGAGCAATCCTTTATATAGCTATATATCTCTATTCACTCTCAGCGCCATCTTCATAGTCATCGAATCAATGAATAAAATATAATTGTTTTCAATACATGTAGGTATACAGTTCATGGAGCGCGAAAAAATGAAAAGAAAAGAAAAAGAAAAACCAAATCTCAGTCCCTACCTCTCTAATCAATCTCATCTAGTGAAATTTCCCTAAATCTATGTATATAGTATTCTATATCTAGCGATGCAGATACTGAATATGTACCCTGCATCTTCAGCCTCTCAATCTATCTAATTTTCCACTCATCTGCGTATCCCGTGTATATATTTATGTCTATATATGGATATCTTGGAGGTTTGGTTGAGATGTTCAATTGTAGAGGAAAACGGAAGGAAAGTAATGGATTTTTTCATTGCTCCTCTCCACATCTCTTTTTTTTTCCCTTTGTTTTAAGATGAGTAAAAAAATAGTATAATATAGAAATATAAGATATGAGAAAGACGGCCTAGAGCCGGTAAGAGTGAAACATAAAATAGTTTAAAAAATCGGGAAATACTATATAGATGTAACATGAATGGGGATAAGTGAATGAATGAGTAGATGGGTGAAGATTTGGGCGGAAGTGTGGAATACATATTGGGCTATAGGGTTTATGAAGGAAGGTTGGTTAAATATTGGAGTACAGTTTGCCCGTTTAGAAGAGATGCTGTGGGGGCGGTGAGGGGTGTGCGTTGACGCATGGAAAGAGAAACAGATACAAAAGCATAAATTCATTAAGTCGTGATGGATTTTCTGTCATCTGGTATGGAAAACCGACTTTTCCCACCTGCCATCCCATCTATTTGATAAATAGTCTGCCAAGGGAGCGAGGATGGGTGTGAAATAGGGGTATTTGTGTAAGGGAAAGTGTGGTAGGGGTAAGTAATATGGCGGTTTGCGAGCTCTAAGGGGTTGGTTTTGCATAAACCGAAGCGGAAAAACATACAAGACGGGATATAATGCATGACACAAAATGCGAATGATGAGAAAACGAAAGAAATAAAAAAGAAAGAGAGAGAGAGAGAGAGAGATAAAGCAAATCCCCAACCACCCAGTCTACCAGTGAAAAACAAGACGATAAAGCAAATAAGATATCCACGATCTTATTCATCGACAACAGCGACGCTAGCCTTCTCCAGAGACATCTTCTTCAACTCCTTTAGATGTTCTCTATTCATGCCAAACTTGACAGCATCGAGCACATTATTCACCGTCTTGTTGGGCGGGAATCGTGGCGTTGTTCCGTCCTCATAGACACCGGTCTTAACTAGGATGGAATACCAGTCGTTCTCACATTTATCCGAGGCGTTGTACTCGTTTGTGCCGCGGATGTCGGATTCTGGCGTATCGCCTACGAAATACACGGTATCGGGCGCGGAGTCAATGCCGTGCGTTTCCTTGCGCCATTGTCGGAGCAGTCGAGTGGCGAACTGGAAGGTTCCTAGCTGTGGCTTGCCGAAGGCGATGGTCTTGAGCTCCTTGCCAGTGACGGCTTTGAAGAGGGCTTCGACGGAAGCTCTGAGGGCTCCCATGCCGATTCTAGTGTGTTCGTGAGATGTAGACCAGACAATGTCGTTATGGGAGAAGTAGACGGGGGGTCCCTCGTCGAAGGTTTCGGATCTTGTGCCGATCCGGCCGCCCTTGGACATGGACAGGTCGAGGATGATCTGTTGGTCACCAGCCCAATCTCTGCTGTCGGCAAAGACAAAGATAGCCTCGATCACGACGTTTTCAAAGTCGCGGGTGCGTGAGTTCTTGAATTCTTCTTCAGTAAGTTTTCGGAAGGGTGTGGTGTGTTGGTTGTATTTGATGATGTCCCCGGGGGTCACGACGTCCTTGAAACCGTAGCCTTCCGCCACGATTCGACATTTCTCGCCTTCTCCGCCCACCACGAGCACTGTGTTGTATTTTTCAGCCATCTCTCGCATGGGAGTGTGGCCGCAGATAAACTGGCCAGGCGAAACTTCGAGTTCTAGCTGTCTGCTTAGATCGATACATCTCTCTTCTTCTGTCTTGCCTCCACCGTTCGTGACGAAAATATAGGGTCTGGATTGTAGAAGAAAAGGATCGTTAGCTGAATTATAACCAAAAATACGGATAAATCGATTAAATACTTACACTTTCTCCTTGAATTCATTCTCCCCGTTCAGCACTTTCATAGCCTCAATAGCAGCAGGAATAGCTTTGCCACCCCGAATAAGAACTCCATCGATATCAAACGCGAAGGCATATTTACTAGCAGTAGCATGGCCATCATCAGAGGTTGGTGTGGATCCGCGAGGAGTGATTTCAGGTGAGGAAACGACTTCGTCAAGATGCAACTTCGCCACCGACATCGAGCGTGCAGATTCGTAGGCGCCGCTGCGAGCCATGAGGTGCTGAGGAGGGATCACGACGCTGGGACCGCCATAGAGGTCAGCTCGAGTGGCCTCGATACTGGAGATGCGACGCACTCGGCGTCCGGAGGACATGAAGTCGTCGGTAGCCGCCATGGTGAAAACACAGCTGGAAGGAACGAGTGGGTGTTAAAAAAGCGGGAATAGGAGAGAATATAACGTCGACAGAAGCAAAATCGATCGTAGGAGTGTATGTGTATGTGTATGTGTATTGTATGTGTGTAGGTAGGTAGGTAGGTAGGTAGGTCTATGAGAATGTATGGAAGATTTTCCTGTCCTTCTCTATAGTTCTATTTTCTTTTTCCCATGTCCTTTTTATGGGCCCTTTCAGTAGCGCAAGAGAAGATCTGGGGAAATTGAGAACGAAACTGGAGAAATAAATAATGGAGAAGCTGGAGACAATGAATGAAAAATAAGAAAAAGAAAGGTGAAAGTTTAAAAAATAAGTAAAAATTAATAAAAGTAAAGCCCAGTCAGTTCCCAGAGGAGGGGTATATATTATATTATATAGGCGCAAACTCCTCCCCCTTCCACCACTCCCTTCTCTCCCTTCTCTCCCTCTCCCATCTCTACTCCGCCCGCTCCTCCTTCCTGGTAGACTACAGTAGTAATGTCCACCATGGTGATGACACTCCGCTCAGCAGTGGAACCCGCCGTGCTGAGGATCCACCACTAACGCACACCAACAGCCTCTTGTGGAGGATTAGTTTCCGCTAAGTTTCTATTTATCCTCGCGTGGAGACTGGGACTCTGGGAGCAGCATACATACGGGCAAACCTTGGGTAGTGCTGGGATGGTATAGTGCTGCTCCTGCACCATGGAAGTTAATCTCTGTGTTTCGAAACGGCAACTGGAGGGATTGTGTGGCGTGTATCCGAGGTTTTTGGAAATGAAACGGAATAATACACCATAGTGATACCCCGTCTTACCACATAGATATCATAGATATCATAGATATCATAGATATCATAGATATCCGGATGCAGAGTGCCGTGTCGAGGTATGGTATGCCAACAGCGTCAACGATCAAATCGACGTCAGCGGTTGAGTTCAGTTGAGCCGCGGCAGAGCGGGGCTTGGCGTGGAACTTGTGGCGGTGTGCGTGGGGATTAGTTAATTATTATTACGGCGACGGCGGACAACAAGTACTAGCTACAAGTTTGATGTGTCTAAAATACGTGCCAGAACATTGTACTCAGTACGTCAGGTACGGTACACAGAAGCTCTGAGAGTTTCACTCCTTACGCTGTTACGCAGTACACCGTTGGTACCAGCCACGTATGGCGTTTCATATGCCAAGTAAATTCCCGTGGTTAACGATAACCCTATAGATACTTTTTTGGACTTGGGCCAGGGGCAACACAGGAGAAACCTTGGCTGCTATCCCTGACCACAAGGAGAGAAAAAGGGCTTACAGCGTCCAGAATATTCAACAGGGGGAATTGATTGGGATCATGTATCTATCTCATTATTCATTATTCGGGCATGAGAACGGTAAAAACTACCCCTCCGTCTCAAATCCCCAAAGTTTACCAGTTCCCGCGAATAATAAAGAATGGAAGGAATCCACATGCATGAAACAACCAAAGAAAAGTGAAAATAAAAAAATAAAAAATCATGAATTGCATTGTTGTGAACTATGTCCGCCGGGTACAGTAGTAGGTAGTACATGTACATACATTACAGAGAGACATGCTAAGAGCTACGGAGGCTCAGAGTAGGAGCTATCATACTATAGCGCTTCTGTCCGTGTCAGAAATGCTAGGTACTTGCAGTAGCTTCGACAAATAATGGAGCTCGTTGCCTCCCACATGTAGCAGTCAAGTCGAGTCGTAGCCGGAAATAATCAACTTCGGCTGTCAAATAGCAACGCTGCATCTGGATATCAGAGAGGTATATATGCATGCATTTGCACGCAGCTCTAGAAACAAACCAAAGAAGAAGAAAAAAACCAAAAAAAAAAAAAAAATGATCAGCCAGTTTAGTGCTGATGCACACAGTTTAATACTCTCATCTATTCCTTGAAACTTGAACTCACAAATAGTCTGATATCCCCCATCTATTTCATTTTTTAGGCACGGCACTCCAAGGAACCCGGCCGAATCATTTGTCTTTGCCCCAAAGATTAGCTTTTTCAGTTGTATTCCTTTATAACTCCATTAATAATTGGCCGGAAGTCGAATTTAGTTCAGTTATCCAATCCATTGAAGCCGCGGAGACAAGACAGTTGTGTGTTGTTTCGCATACTCCGTACTCCGTCCGTACTGGTTGGATGTTCTTTCTCGTCGTTCAAGTGTCATCGCCAAGAAAGCCTGATGAGGGGCGGCTGAACTCGTCTTGGCGACAGCTGCCTAGAGCTGAATACAGTTTAGCGTGGCCCCACTGCCAAGCATATTAAGGTTTGCCAATACCGCGCTTCCTCTACGCCAGCCACAATGACGTCATGGGAGTGAGCTTACTTTTTGCGGGAAAAGAGGGGTATAACGCTGTTATTATTTTCACAACTGTATCGTAGGAGGTTAGTTAGTTAGAAATATATGAACTGGACCTATGGTAAGGCGAATGGACGGACTCGGCAAGATGATAGGATTACCTGATTGGGCTGTTCCGGCGGGTTTTTCAGATATGTAAGACAGACTCGTCAATCGGTGGTTAGATGAGGGGCATTGGAGATGCGTCAAAAAAGTCTTGTTTTATGTATCCCCTCATTTGTCCGTATGAAAATTAAAGAAAAGCAGAAATGAAACTTAATTTCAGATATTCTTCTTCTTCTTCTTCTTCTTCTTCTTCTCAGCCCCCTTACGCTGTACATGCCCCCCTGTCCAACCCTACCCGCCGGCTTATCTTCCGTCTGCGTGCTACAAGGGCGCCGCTGAGGAAATGGCGTATCTGGGATCATGGATGCAAGACCAGCACATGCATGTGTTCCGCCATTGACCTCATCGTGCAGCTGGCTGCAAGAAGGTGTTCTCCTTTCTTTTCTTTGTGTCCCGTACTGAGCTCAACCTGGTAGGTAGGGGGAGAGAAGAAGGGGGCGTTGTGGATAATAATTGAATGCTTGACGGATTTCTATCTCATCTTCTCCGGAAGCACACATTGATTGTCCAGCCAGAATAATAATAATAATAACCTGTGTCTGTCCCCCTCCATCAAAATCAGCATCGCTTGCCCCCTGCCGCTAGAGGTTTTGCTGAGAAAACCGGGCTGGCTTGGCTTGACATGGTTGTTTAGCCCTGTGGATCATTATTCACGGACCTCGTTTTTTGCTTTTTTTTTTCTTTTCTTTTTTCTATCCTCGCTACGAATTGTACGCAGTAAGCATACTCATCAGTGTACACACAGTTAACAGAAGAGGAATTTAGCTATGGAAAGGAAGGATTGAATCATCCATTGATTGGTTGTATACACACACATAATATATCTTTGCAGCTTCTTCTTTCATAAAGGAACGATTAAGAGACATTTTTTTTTTTTTGACGGGTAGAACTGGGTGGATCAGGCAACACTCGTATGCCCCGTATCTCCCGTATATTATATGCATGTGAAATCTATCGCTGCGATGATTATGATTATTTGGTTATAACTTGTTTCTTCCTTAATGTGATTCATTTCTCAATTAAGTATGGATGAGTTGAGGTAGAGAACCGAAACATTTGCCGGAGAGAACTGGATTGACTTTTTCTGCTGCTGGTTCGAGGAAAGAAGTATATAAATATTTGCTAAGTAAGGCAACCACAAGATATTTTCGTGGGTTGCTGGAAGAAGCGGAAAAGGAAAAGAAAAAGAAGAAGGGCGGGCATGCACTTACGACATACACGGAAATGTCAGAGAATAAGGAATGCCAACATGTCTATGTGTGAATGTCTATTGTGTATATATGCAGGTATGGTATAGGGAAACCATAGTGGAATGGGTAAGTAACAGGAAGCGCCGCTTCGATGCAGGATTTTTTTGAATGGAAGAGTCAAGCCAACAGCTAAAAAAAAAAAAAAAAAAAAAAAAAAAAAAAAAAAAAAAAAAAAAAAAAAAAAAACAAAGAGGAATTTGTAGACAACAACAATCGGCTATGCAGTTACTTTTTTTTTTTTTTCTTTTGATACAGAAGGAAAGCTGAAAACAATAGACGAGATTGGTCGTGGTGGTGGTAGCAATGATGTCAACATGCAGAAAACAATCGCACACACCTTCCAGCACTCACATTTCAAACACTTGTGCGTATCTTGACAAACCCCAGCAGTTTACAGGCTGATTATTGCAGGTTATGTTTCTCTGTGAAGGAAAGTGCGGGGTTAAAGGTAGGTAGACAAGAGAAAGAAAGCGGATCCTCTTTACAGCGAAACACAGTGCCTGATTTTCAGATCTGAAATGGGTTCGCAAACCTCTTTGGTCTGGAGGAATCATGTTTTGTTGGTGTGTACTGATTGTAGGAGAAGACGGCATAATTCGAGACGGCAAGAGGATGTCGCGGGCGTAGCTGGAGAAATTCCGTCAACATTGCCCGATCCGACCGGCAACATGATAGGTCAAATACATACCCTCGAGCTGGGATTGCTCAGAATAACAAGAGTGTAACCTGGCGGTCCTCCCATAGCGGCGTCCCACGCTGCTGTACCCTGGCCTGTCCTTAATTAATCTCCTCTCCACTCTGGCCCCACTCTTCCCATGTCCCTAATCCCCGGGGTCAACTCTTCCAGGTTCCTCTCCCCTCCTTCACATCGGAAAAGAATATTGTGGAATAATGGCAAGGGGGAAAATATAATAATGAGGGTTACGGCGTCAAACACGGAACTCGGTGTCCAGCCAATGCCTCACTACAATCTTCCCTTCCTCGAATTTCTTCTTCGGCATTCGAACAATGATAGCCGCATGGCTGTGGAACACCTTGTGGATATGGACCGGGTATTTCCGGAACCCAACAGAATTGAGGCTGTCGATTATCGCGAATTGTAACGGCGTTAGTGCCAAAGTGGGGGTTTCCGGAACACCGATTTTAGATTCAGGCGGAGGAGAAAGGGAGGAGGAAGAAGCAGATCGGTCAACGATGCCGCCGTTGCCAGCCTGGTTCAAGGGTTTTCGTGATGAAATGCTTAGGGACTGTTCAATCCCTGGAATAGATGACTGGGATTGACTCTTTGGGGAAGATATGCTCTCAGCCGTGTCATCATCATCACGAAAGAGGTATTCCGGTTTCTGGGTGGCATTTACGGTCTCATACATGTCCTCAACGACATTTCGCATCTCTTCCACGACCAGCGGAACTTTGTACGACCCGAAAAATACGCCAGACTTGCCCTCTTCATGACTGCGGATGCGCCTTTTACTGCGAATGGTTTGAATGGCAGCATTTATGAGGTAAAGAATTGATGCAATTGGCACGAATATACATAAAAACACGTAGAGGGGTAGTCCAGTGAGGAAGGACATGCTCCGCGCAATCATCCATCTACGGAATGGCGCAGACTCTTTCTGGCTTTTGACAGTGATATATCGATGCGGATTCACAATAACAGGCGAGTAATCCTGCAAGTAGTTTATCTGGTATTTGTCCAGTTCCATAAATGGGTCTGTTTTCGATATTCCCGTTGTATAGAACACAGCGGCCTTATCATTGACGATGTTCGCGTAAAGACTTCGGTGTTTGAACTTTGCCAGACCCATCATGAATATACTGCCTGGGGTCGCAAGAACGCTGAGCAGCGGTTTGCCAGTGTCCCGGAACGAATCGATCATGAAGAGCTGCCGGCCAGACGCCGAGATTGTCCTGGCTCCAAGCACGTTCCAAAAGTGGTTTTTTCTTGCTGGGCTTCTTACTCCCACATGGGGAGTTGCAAAGGTTGTAAAATTGACAGGTTGGATCTTATCGAAGTATCCCTTGGCATACAGAAGTCCAATCGCATATCGAGCTACCAAACCGCCCAAAGAGTAGCCAACAATGCTCAGTTTCTGGATATCGTAGTCTTGGTCATATAAAGTTTCCAAGGCCTCTTCGATCTCGTGGGCTACACGCTCCCCACCCAGCTCAATACCATCGTAGGTGAGTGATCCAGTGTTGCGCTTCACAGCCAGGATGTAAAGTTTGTCTGCATGTTTCTCTCGTAAGGCACCCGCGATATAGTCGAGGTGGGAAGGATTACCATGTAGCCTAAACAATCAGTGGTCAACTCATCAGTTCCAAGGCAGTTTTGTTAAAATTAGCAAAGGGTTTAAAACAATCAGGTAGCGGTTCGTACTGTGAGCTCCGTTGGTAAATAAATGGCGGCAAACTTACCCGTGAACTAGGACGCAAATATGATTTGCATGCTTCTTGCCGGCGGGAGGGTAAGCTCGAACTTCTGCGTCTTCTTTCATGGTGCTGGAATCAAATTAGCCACCAGAACGTGGGGAGTTCAACCGCAAAGAGGAGGGAAAGTTGGAGGTCGACATGGGACGTGGGGTGTTTGTCTCTCTTGTGCCGTTACTACTACCCTATCGCGGTATCGCGTTGCCTTGTAATTCCGCCGCTTGTTTGCCGAGCGCTTAGTTAGTTAAGTTACCAGCAAGAGCTCACTTGGCGCCAAACCTTCCACCTCACCTCAACACCGTGCTCAAGGCCCTTGACCTGACGACTTTGCTTCGAACGGCTCTTCTCACCTCTTACTACTAGCCAGCGAACTGCAGGTACAGGCAGTGCGTGTGCATGGATGCCCACAACCTTGCCACTTCAGGAAGCCAATAACTCAGCTGGGCATGAACTCCGTAACGAAGCGCAAAGGACGAGATGTCAACCGGATCTTTAATCCTTTTATATTGACGGCCCCGTGCAAGTTTCCCCGCTGGCAAGAGTCCTTACATTATACACTATTTATTCGAAGGAAAATCACTAGGCATCTCAGCTTCATCGCATCTTATGCTGGCGACGTGGCGGCACTGATTGGAGCTTCATCTTGAGCTTCGATATCGGTCACATCGTCACCATTTTATTATTTAACACGTCGACAACCGCCAGTTCTAGCATTTTGCCCGGCCATTTCATGAACTAGGCCGAGTTGCTGGATCGCCAAGAACGCGCGCCAACCGGGCAACCGCAGCTTTTGTCTCATTGCTGCATACCAGCCTCGAAGTATCTATCGAGAACAAAATAATAGCCTTTGGTCTAGATTACTGTGACGGCTTTATTGATGATCCCTTCGGCTGGTTTCAACTACTGCTCAAACAATGCCATAGTTGGGAGGTAAAGAAACACAACGTCTAACTTCAGAAGTGGGATATTTTATCCGTCTTTTTTGTAGGCGGAAAGCTTTCCAGCAAAGCTGAGAGTTTTGATCTGAGATTCTAGCTGTAAAAGCAGTACAGGGAAAGACAAAACATGATGTTTAATCATCTGGGTCTTTTTAAAAATGTCCTTTGTCCCGAGGGCGACCGTTGTGGGCTTTTAAACTGCATTTTTAGTCATACAAACAAAGAATGCATCCCTAGATCCGTCGTTCCCCCACCTCTTTCAACTCCCGTATCCGATGCCGTTTCTCCTGCTGCTTCTATGGACGATGAACCTCTTCGGAAAAGAAGACGAATTGAGGGCGCCCCCGAGACTAGAATTCCCAATGGCAAGGAGCAGGAACAAATATCTAAAAGTAGAGGAAACGGAGTCGTAAAAGAATTGCACGAGAACCCAAATCGTCCTTCTCATGGAAATTCTCAGAATTTGATATCTGTCACCAGAACTGTTTCTGCTCCTACTGTTTCTCGTCGGGTCACTGCGAGCACTGCGGGAAGGCTGCCTAGATCGACGCCTTCTAATACAGCAAAACAAAATGGAGACACCCATCCCCAAAGACAAATAAAGAAGGAACCACTAAACCCGAGGCACATTGCTAGACCTCCAGCATCACACACAGTTCGTATGTCAATCCTAACCAAGCTTCACGATGCGATGGTCCAGCTCAATCAGGAGGTTATCAAAAAAAATGATTCGTCCAAGCAGGCTCTTATTCTCTCTGCTGATGAGCTCGTGGCGATGGCCCTTGATGAAGAGGAGGAAGCCGCAAAGGAGCATTCTTCGGTATACGCCAATGTGATAAAACTCCGCATTGCGAAGCTTAGAAAGATGGCCAGAGACGAGTGGGAAAATAACGTGTCAACGTATATTGTCGCTAAATTCGGTCTGCCAGCAGGGAATAAAAAGCCAGAAGAGCCGGATGGGGAAATATCAACAGGATTAAACAACGAAGAAGAAATATCTCTCCTTTCGAAACTCCATGCGTCCCGAGAACATTTAGACAAAGCTGGATATGTCACCGCCGCTCCTACGAATGACGAGATCGAAGTGGCAAAGCGCGGCGCTGAGGCGGCTCAAGGATGGGAGCAATGCGAGCGCTGCAATGGCAGGTTCCAAGTCTTCCCAGGTCGAAGGGAGGATGGGCTTTTAGCCACGGGAGGGCCCTGCACCTACCATCACTCGAGGCCACTTCGACCACTAAAGAAAAAAACAGACCAAATCACTGGTCACAAGGAATCTTACTATCCATGTTGCAACGAAACAATCGGGACATCTTCTGGTTGTACGAAAGCTAAATGGCATGTCTTCAAAGTGTCGGAAGTTAAACGGTTAGCTGCAGTGCTGCAGTTCAAAGAAACACCCAGACAGTCCAATAAACCCACATTACCTCCAGTCTGTTTCGACTGCGAGATGGGCTATACCACCCTAGGCCTTGAACTCATCCGTCTCACAGCCATCTCATGGCCAGAAGGGAAGACCCTCCTGGACATTTTAGTAAAACCAATCGGGGAAATCCTCGACCTAAACTCCCGCTATTCTGGTGTCCGCCCGGAACACTTCATCAATGCCAGCCCACATGATGCCTCCTCCTCGACCGCTTCGCCCACTGTGGCTACAAGTCCCACTATACAACCAGATTCACAGCAAACGCCACAACCATCCTCTGACGAAAAGAACGCCTCCCAATCACAGGCACTCCGCGTCGTCGACTCCCCTAGCACCGCCCGCGACCTCCTCTTCCAACTACTCCAACCGGAAACTCCTCTAATCGGCCACGCACTCGAAAACGACCTCAACGCATGCCGCATCATCCACCCAACAATCGTCGACACCGCGCTCCTCTACCCGCACCCAGGCGGCCTGCCATACCGCTTTGGCCTACGGGCGCTCACCCGCAAATTCCTGAATCGACATATACAGGCAGGTGGCGGCGAGATGGGGCATGACTCCCTGGAAGATGCGAAGGCGACGGGAGATTTGGTTAGGCTTAAGATTCGGGAGACGTGGAGGGCGTTGCAGAGGGTTGGCTATTCTTTTGAGAAGGGAAGGTTGGTGGCTCCTCTGGGGGGAGGGGTGAAGGATGGCGTTGCGACGGGCCAGGAGAAAGGATCTGGTATATTGAGTGGTGGTAGTGGTGGTAGTGGTGTTTTGGGTCGTGGGGCGGGGACGAAAAGGAAAGAAGGCGAGGAAGGGGTGGCTATCCCTGGAAATCAGATGTAAAATCTCTTCCTCCCGCCCTTTTTTTCTACAACATTTTCAACAATAGATAGATGGCCTGAGATTTATATTTCTAGTCTGGTTTCGGCTGAATTTTGCCATTGTTTTTAAATCGACATGCCATCTTTCTCGTCTCTCCCTCCTAGATTTACAACTTCAACATCATGTTCTGTTTACCTTTTATTACTAAAAACCCTTATTCCTGTGCGAGACAGAACACCCATCCGCACATGTTATCGGGCTTGGTGCGTTGTACGCACCACGACTCCACCTTCCAACACGCTGGATGCGAGATTGACCTCACTACGATCAATTTACAGAAGTACGCACAGTATTAAATGGAGAGCGGAACACATTCGGAAATGTTCTATGAAACCATAGCGCGGGGAATATAGTTTTTATGATTTCCTGAAAATCTCACGGAGAATCCCTATCATCATCGATCATCTAACTGAGGGGATAAAGCTAATGAAAAAAAAATGATGTAGAGAATCATCGTAGACATTCCATCAAAATAAAATAAAATAATCCCTGCGTTAAATCACATCCTTTCCTTTTTCAAATTTTAGGTCCCTCAAATCTAATCCTCATCCTCATCCGCCTCGTCGCCGACAACGTTGTAGAACCGGAGCTCATAGACACCCTTGGCAGTGGAGACGACGCGCAGCCAGTCGCGGAGCTGCTGCTTCTTGAGGAATTTCTTCGTCCTATGCGTAGGAAAAAGTATAATCGTTAGGATCCATAGGCTAGGACAACCTTTCCTTTGCGCTTTAACCACGCAAACACCAAAAACAAGGAGAATGGAATTGGTGACAAAATATTGTGACAGAGAGGGAGTGAGGGAAAAACATACAGGTACTTCAGATAGCGTCCGGAGAAAGGAATGTGCGCGACGACCTCGATCTTTCCATCGCCAGTCTGGGAGATCTGGACGGAGTCGCCGAGGTTGCCGACGCGGCCCTCAACCTTGACGCGGTCGTGGAGGAACTTCTCGAAGGCGGAGACGTCGAAGATCTTGTCATTGGCTGGTTGGGAGCAGTTGATGATGTACTGTTTTTCGTTAACAATTAGAGGATTATGGTGGCATTGAGGGAGAAAAAGCGAGGAGGATATGTAGTACCTTCTTCGTCACCTTTTGAGGCTTGCGGGCCTATTTTGTATTTCCAACATTGACGGAGCGCGGGGAGGTTAGCCTACTGTTCCTGACATGATATTCTTCTTGGAATAATAATGGAGATAGGAATATATATGTATATTTTTCTAAATCCCTTGATATCCGGTTGCCTGCTCTCCGTCCTCCCCTCCCTGTTTCCTTCCTTCCATCTTTATATCAGTCCATCATTCTACCCGTCACCTATTCTTTTATGAAAGGAGGGAGATATAAGACCTGATAGGAGAGGAGAGGACAGAAAGAGGAGCGGAAGGAGGACGGAGTGCAAAGTCACGGCGATCAAGGGGGAACAGCAAAGCGGTTTGAGGTCGCGAGGAAACGTACAGATTGGGGAGCCATTTTGAATTAGCGGAGGGTGAGAAGAGGGTGAGGGTAAATGTAGCCGCAAAGAGGTCGATATCCTGCGGGATTGGTGTTGTTGTCGGAGCTGGAGCTGGAGCTGGCTTTATCTTTTTTTTATTTTATTTTTTTCTGTCCGAGGCGGAGGTTGAGATCGCGCGGGCTGGGAAAGAGCCGCTGTGGGATCGGAACTCTTGGCGTTAGGGCTAGGGTTTGGAAGTCATGTGATATGGCTCTATTCCAAACCATCGTTTTTACTGTTGTTTTGATATGTAGTCATAACTATTTCGACTCTTTGACATCCCATAAGCCTTTCCTACCATGACTATCGGGGTATATTTGCGGGATGTATGTGGATTGATTGGTGAATTCAAATCTTCTAACTGACAGCATGCAAAAGACGTGAGAATTTTATAGACAATGGATTGGGAGCCAAAGGTGCCTACCAAGGAGTAAGTCGATGGACATGGTTGAGTTGATATTAAGGGCTGTAACATCCTTACTTATAGCAGCATTATTCGGGTCAGTTACTCGAGCTTTTGGTTTCCCACCTACATACTACAACTACATGCTACGAATCGATATATGGCCTCCGTTTAATCTTCAATACCTGAGGCTTCTATCAACGGAATGAGACCAAATGCAGTGCGCACTAACAGAATCCTTCGTCCTGAGGGGTTCGATCGTTCTAGCCCGAAGATGATGCGCCAGTCATCTGTATTATTTAACCGGCGGTGTAGTTTCGGACAGCCAGCCAAAACAGAGAAAAGGCGGGGGAGCTTCTCATGATGACAGAGGAGAAATGAACAAACAATTTGGCCAGCAGATGAATCTAGAACTATGTAGTTTCGTATCTGTGAGGGAGATAGTTCGGAGTTTGCGAAGGATGGGACTCTCTTAATCAGCGGTAACCTATGTATGAAGTGAAGAAGTTACCGCCAAAAAGAAGAAAAGAAATAAAAAAGAAATAAAAAAAAAACCTCATGTAGTTCCGGGTGCGGACTGATTCCTCATCTGTTCTTTCGATATATGTACATACATGTACATGTACATGTACATATACATACGTTCGATGATTAACGGGATTCTATCCATGACATAATTTCTCGTTGAAGACAGGTTTCGATTGGAAAAGGAGTGATGGCGAGAATTACCCGGGGGTACTCCCTGTAACTAGTTATCCATTAGCCCGGGGAGCAAGCGGAAGCGGAAGTGAAAGAGCGCGTGGTGCCGAGTGTGTCTACACTCACCTGCCATGGACTCCGTTAGGAAATCTCGTCAAGAAGGATTGCGCGTTCAAGAGAAGTTATTTAAGCAGCAAGTGGGGAATTGAGGGCAATCCTACCGCTTCTGAGGAATGATATGCGTTGGATAGATGAATGAATTGTTATAACTATAGTTAAGTTACATACATAAATTTATTTTTGATACAAATAGGATAAGTTACTCCGTAGTCAGTCGGAAGCTGAGCCGAGGCCCAGACCCGTTGCTGGTTTGAGCAGCAGCGATCGTTCGTTGTTGCCACCAGCTCCTTCCCATTCCGTCAACAACACAACAACAGAAACGGAAGACACGGAAACATAAAAGAACTCATTCATTCATTCATTCATTCACTCATTCATATATATCCCATAATATATTCCATATACATGTCTATACATCTATACTCCTTCTTCAGCAGACAACACAACGCGGTGCTCAGACTCAACAATCAGACGGTAGCCAGCTATTCCCGTGCTCAAACACCTCGACATTTCCTCCGCAGGCTCCACCATCCACCAGCCACCAGCGTCATCGTCGCCATGTCTTCCGCTACGTCCTTCTATGACTTCGAGGCTGCCGACAGTACGTTATTTAACCCCATTCAACCCCCATTTTAGAAACAAAGAAAGAAAAAGCAATATATAAGAAAAAAGCACATGATCTAACACCCCGTAAACCACAATAGAAAAAGGCGACCCCTTCCCCCTCTCCAGCCTGAAAGGCAAGGTCGTCCTCGTCGTCAACACCGCCTCCAAATGCGGCTTCACCCCGCAACTCAAGGGCCTCGAATCCCTCTACACCTCCATCAACAGCGCGCACCCAGACAAGTTCACCATCCTGGGTTTCCCCTGCAACCAATTCGGCTCGCAGGACCCAGGCTCTAATGACGAGATCCAAACCTTCTGCTCCGTCAACTACGGCGTCACCTTCCCCGTCCTGGGCAAAGTCGAGGTGAATGGCGACAACGCCGCGCCGTTGTGGAAATGGCTTAAGGCCGAGATGCCCGGCCTAATGGGCATGAAACGCGTGAAGTGGAACTTTGAGAAATTCTTGATTGGCGCCGATGGGAAGGTTGTGCAGCGCTGGGCCAGTCTAACGAAGCCGGAATCATTGAAGGGCGCTATCGAAAAGGAAATTGAGAAGATGGAAAAGATAAATGTGAAGGCGGCGACTGAGCCTGCGCCCGAGATTCCCACGGATCCAGTGACTCAATCGTGATTTGTTATTCTGGGTCAGTTTGGAAGTGGGGTGGCGAGATGATACGATAGTGGATGGCGTTTGTCTCTCTATTAGTCCCTTTTCTCTGTTCCGTTTTTTTTCCCCTCTGGTGGATTCTTGTTTTGTCTTGGTTTATGTTTATGCATATATTTACCGCATTGTTTGGACTGGTTTTTTGTGATGGGCGGGTGCCATTAATCTGCTATTCTTACACCCCGTCCCAGATCCAATGCTCTAACTCGATCCCCTACGTTCTCGTACACGATCAAATTGTTATCAGAGATTCCCCCCTGGTCACGCTTAGTTTAGTTGCTGTTGTGTTCACTTTTTGTTCCCTTGCTGGGATAGCTTTTCTTCCCACTTTTAATGTCCTCTTTTGTGTTTCAGTTTACGCTGTGTATTCTCTCTCTCTCTCTCTCTCTCTCTCTCTGCTCCATCCTCAGCTGTTATTATGATACCAAACAAGGAAAAACCGAGAGCCTTTTGTATACTTATGGAAAAGAAAAAAAATAGATACAAGTAATACGAAATTGTATTTCAGTTTATCTAAACTTGAGTGGTATGTTTGCGCTCTTTTTTGGTTTGCTTTCGGGCAGACGCTTAGAGCGTAGCTTTGAATGGGAGAATTATTTTATAAAATTCCTTAAACAGAAGAGGGGAAGAGAGGATAGGAGTTTCAACGACTTCAGTCATTCATTCATTCACGCATTTACTTCGGGTATAGAATGAATTTTATTTCGACCTAGGCGGGAGATCAATTTTCCCAGCCTGCACGCATGATATTGATGGTTTTAGTGACTACCCTTCTCATCCATGTGAAATGCTTAACATATAAAATATACATACATTATATCCCTTTCGATTTCATCCACTCATGACATGGGGTTGCACATCCATCCATTCAAATCATTTATCCACTCATCTGTTCATCCCGCGCGGCAGCAGCGGGTTTCGGTTTCGGCACCAAGTTTCGCAGGGAGAGGTCATACACGACATCCTCGACTTTCTTCACCTGTTCGTCATATATATGTGGGAAAAGCCATTTTGCATGGTTAGATATGTATATATGTATATGTATATATATATATATATATATTTGCATCTGGGGTAGAGCATGCCTCTTGAGGGATGCAAAATAGGCGTAAGATATAACGAGCGGGGAGCATGACATACGCTATATTTAATCCCATCACTCCGCTTGCGCAGGCTGTCGTTCTTCAGGTTCAGCAGCTGGAATCCCGCGTGCAGGTCTGAGACGAATTTGTTGATCTGCAGCGGCCGCGAGTAGTCGCCTAGTGTCACGGAGTTGACGGCTAGTCGGCTCTGTGGGAAGTGGGTTAGCAGATAGTAAACGAGCTCAGGATATGAGGGATGGTTGGGGGAGAAGGGGGGGAGGTACAAGCTCCTCCACCAGCGATATCAGCGCCTGCAGATACTCTTCGATGGAGAGGTGGAAGGAATCTTGGTCCTTGAGGTTGACGGGGACTATATATTATAAGGTTAATCGAGGATATATTGATTGATATATATCGTGCGTAAGACTTTCGAGGTCAGGGTATAATTATAAATGTAAAAATGAAATTTAAGTGAAAAAACATACCACCCAAAAACTCCCCAACCTCCTCAATTGTCATGAAGCCCTTGGCTTTCTCATCCCGCGCATCGCGCAGGCCGCCTAGCCATGCGCAGAATTGGATGGTGAAGACCTACACGGGGCCCCCTCGGAGGATGTTTACAGGTTAGACAGAGAGAGATCGACACACAAGGGTACGGCATGGAACAGATGAAAGAGGTACGTGTACATGTATATGTACATACCAGATTCTGCAACTCCCGGCTCCAGATATGGTTGTATTTGTAGAAGGGGTGTTGGGACGCCACGGAGACGAGGCGGGTGACGTCTTCCTTTTGCGCGCGTATCTCCTTGGCGGCTTCGTCGAGGACCGGGGTTACTATTGATTGTATATATGAGGAGATGGTGAGGTTTTTTGGTACAGCATAAGAAGCTTTGGTTTTTCTGGGGGTATCTGATGTATCACGGCTACATGGAGATGCAGATAAGAGGTACAGCGTACAGCAAACGGAAACACACACACACAGAGAGAGAGAAACAAAAATGAAAAGAGGCAAAAAACTTGATTCGAAACCAGGAAAATGGAGAGGTAACGACAGTTTTTTTTATATAATCGTAGAGGCAGCACAAAGGGAAGCATATATAAAAAGGGTATGTCACATATCCCTTAATTAGAACAAGAAAGGGGAAAGAAAGAGGGAAAAACGCACATTGATCAGCTGGAGTCGAATGAGCCCGCGACAAAATGGCTAACGTAGAACGGCCTATATCATAGTTTGCGACCAGACGAGACGCTCTGGGTCAGCACGACAGATATATTATATTGTATTGGAGTATGCGGCCAGCGGGGTAGTGTTTTTCATTCAAGCCTACCCGCCGCCCACCGAGCATATTTAGAAAGCTCTCACTCATGTGTACGAGAGGGGCAAAGGACAAGAGACCAACCGCGTTTCGACAGCGTCTGGACAATATCTTGGAGTTCCTGGAGATAACCGTATAAGTAAAACCAGCCATGGTATGGTATGGCCATGTTAATTCGATTAGAGGCGGCTTACATCGCGAATCCGGCTCTCCTCATCTATCTTGGTCTGCAAGGTTTCGAAGATGGAGGGGTCAATCATGGTGGCGATACTTCTCGCAATAGAGAAGTAGAGGGGCAAAAATGAGTACGTTCTAGGTTTTGTATAAATTTTGTGAAGGGGAATATGTGGGAGATGTGAAGAGGATTGATTGATATATCAAACGGTTTGTTACCGAGACCAGACGTTGAGCTTATTTCCGCATTGGGAGTGAGTGCTAATACAACTTTTCACACAACTCAAAAAGCTAATCGATAGCAACCAATATCCGCCACCACAACATTTTCCAGCTTTCAGACAAGAGACTTAAAACCAGGCCCAAAACAAGTGATTTTTAGTTGTTATAATAAAGAAAAAATTATCATTTTCTTCTCCAACCCATCGGTCAAGCCGACAGAAGCTGATGAAAAAAAAAGGATGGTATTTCGCATCACTCGGTGGTAGTGTAAGACCGAGGACACGGTGCGAACAGCCATGCGCAAGCACAGAGGGCCGAAGGCGGGATCCAAAAATGAGATTAATCAATGTTGTATTCCTTAGAATACTTTCAGAGATTAAACTGAAAAGAACAGATACTACACTTGATCTTAGCCTTACGGCAAAGAGAGCTGGAGAAAGAAAGGAAAAGAAAAAAGACTAAAAGAGAAGAGAGGGCATGGAGCAGTATTTATAGGCTTGCGGCGGGGAGCGCGGATGGCGCTAGTCATAGCCGAGATTTGGCGAGGAGCGTTGATTGGCTGGTCTGGCATCAGTCAGCAGATTTGCCACGTGATTCGTGTGCAAACCGGACAAACGCTACAAACAAGGTAAATGTGGCAAACGTGGCAAATATTGCTGCTACGAGTTCCATTGTGGGTTGGTTATATCAATGTAATAATAATATGAAGGAGGTCTTGCACAGTGCAAGAGTAGGTCACAGCCTCACAGGTATATTTAAAGCTTAAAGAGCCAGAGTAAATTATCGTAGCAGTCTCTGCACGGGTATTTATTTTGGGAGGATATAAATGTACGACAACAAAAACCCCATCACCATCTTGATCATACACCCAGTATTTTGCCGTATATCGTCTCTCCATATCCCAAGGAACCTCACCTCGTCATAAAAATTACCCAAGTAGCTATTATGCAGCTCCCAATTCCCCCTTCAAAACATCCACGTCCAGCTCCTCCATCACCCCCAGCACAACCCCTAAGCTCTCCATGAACCCATTCACCGCCACCCGCAGCATCCGATTCGTCGTCGCTCGATACTCTGTCTGCAGCACTGTTCGTTCTTCCTCGTCTCCTCTAGCTTCCCTCAGCCCCTTTTCGTCTTCGCGGGTGGCTGGTGTCTGTGTCGAGATGGGCTGTGGCTCGGTAAGAGCGGTAGTAGCAGCACTATTGGTCGTGGGAGGTGAAGAGGGAAGTATTTGCGAATCCGATTGTACTTGCGCCTCTGCCCGGCTTTGCAATTGTGGTGGCTGCGGCCTCGTGAGCCGGAATGTGCGGCGGACGAGCGGGGAGAGTTCGGCATCGACTTGTAAAGTGCGGAGGGCCGCGGAGGCAAGGCGGTGGGTGGGGAGGGGGAGGGAGATTGTTCTGTAGTTTTGTATAGGATTTGTTAGCGGGTGGCACGTAAGGTGGTGTCCCGTGAGGGAACGGGTGCACTTCGTACAGGGAGTAAGGGAATTCGGAGTCGAGGGTCGTCATGGCGGGGAGGTTTGATAGATAAGCGGGGATATTGGCTAAGATATGATCTGGCTGCTATTTCCTTTATTTATCGAATTAAGGAGGTTGCTTTATTGGTTTCTATATTCGAAAGCTTTGATCCATTCTTTGAGGTCTTGGGGGAGTGCTGTTTGCGCCGGCTAAGAAGTGTGGTGGTGGCGTTGTGAGTAGGATCGAGTGGGTGGAGGGAAGAACTTGGCGTACGTAAATAAAATATTAAGCTAAATATCTGTGCAGTGAATTTCTCCAATTTGTTTTTCTGTTGTATTATAAAGAAGAGTTTGTGCTGAGCTGCTGGATGCAGTGGTGGTCGATGACAGACTGATAGTTGATGAACCTCTTATGGGTGGGGGGGTAAATATACCAAGCTTTTCCACTGCCGCTTCCAGACGCTTTGCGGTGGGCGAGAAATAGACTTTCGCGGGCATTCTGGTTTTTTTTTATCCGTTAATTTTTGATACTGCAATTTTCTCCCTTAGGATGATAACAATGTAAGTAGTTAGATACAGTATTGAAATGAAGGGTTTCTAAGAAGTATTCCGTCTGTAATGATACTACTCAGACATTTCTGTGCAAGCGGGGAAAAAATACATATATATAACTATTGATTTTGGAGCCTCACGGGGTTTGGGATGCTGCCCACATTGCAAGAGATCACCTCCTTACCTGTCTATTATCAGCTGGCATCAAGGCGAACCTTGGAAGCACATGCATGGCCAAAATAGGATCATGAGCATCAACAATTCTGCATTATTCAGTGTATCTTTAAGCCGTTGTTTTGCGGCCAAAAATGCACCGTAGGCAAAAGCCAGATGTTACGCTGTATTCTCTGGGCATCAGTCAGTCAATGATATTCGCTGATACTGCTCACTTATGTCAAGAGCCCCTCTCGATTCCAAAGCTGTAAGACATTAAGACCACGCATTGAGGAGATGCGGGACGAGAGAGAGATTGGCTCTGAATAGCAAACTCGCCAGGTATTACAAGGACTCAACGCTGAGCCGCAACGAACGTTGCATCGCCCTTGAAGAAATTGTTGTATCAGGTTGTACAGTACAATGTCCCATGTAGGCTGTATTACTCAGCTCGGCGTCGTGCTCGAAGTCTTTCTGACGTCTGTCAACCCGCAAGCGCACTTCCTACGCTGTATATATTGTATATGCAAATGTGCTCTGGCAACCCCGGCTAAGCCTTATGGAGTCAAGGTTGCCAGTCCATTCAGATTGTAAGTTGACCATAGTAACGGCCAGCTAAAAATTCTATTAATATTAATATTATGATTATGATTATGATTGTTATTGTTTTGAGTCTGCGAACTGTCCTGTCCCTGTGGTAATAAGAAATTAAAAAGGGCTTGTGGTTGTGTGTTTGCTTTGTTTTGCTTTTGCCGCGGAACCTGTGACAAATCCGCACTAGTTCCGATTAGGTATCGTTGCCCTGCCAACGCGCGGGCGCCAAACCCGATCGGGCGCCCACCACAACAACATGGCAGCAAGCGCCGCCTTTATTATTATATTATTATTATGATCGGTGCTGGACCATCGCAGACCAGACGGACAACCGTTTTCTCTGACTTCAACCACCTGCACCACGACGCTCGAACAACTTCTCTGCCTTGTCTCTCGTCTCTCCCCATCTCTATGCTCCAGGACTGCTCTCCTGTCCTCCCTCCCTCCTCGTCTCTATCACGGCTTTATCATACCTCGTGGAAGCATTGTTAGCCCTGTCCCCGTCAACCTAAACATATCACCTCTCTTATCACTACCAAAATAAAAAAAGGAAAAAGAAAAAGAAAAAGAAAAAGAACCCATTGAGGATCATGCCCCTCTGACACACGAGTGCTCATCCTATTCTTCCCTTCTCCCCTTTTTGCCACGGGCTGTATATTCTTTCTCCGTTGTCATTCTCTTGCTCAATTGTATCATTTTTTGCGACTCTGAAGCCGTGGACATACGAGCACCATTTTTAATTCAAGAAAACAACCTTTGTCTTCCCCCAAGCCTCCCAATCGGCTCCTAAGATGCCTTGTATGACGGGATCCTATGGTCAGGTGATTGAGTATATCCAAGGTACGCTCCGTGTTTTTCTCGACACCCAAAAAATAAAAAAATACAAAAAATAAAACAAATAATAAGGCATGCCATACTAACTTCAATTTGTAGACCGGCTGTATCTCGCATCCTATACCCGCCAACCAAGCGAATACGCCCCTTTCCCGTACCCTAAGCAACCAAAGTCTCCAAGCAAGAGGTCTTCTAGGGTTCATGGAGGATCTTCCGTCTCCGGCCCCAAGAACCCCCCCGTATATTTCACGGTTGATGACAAGCTTCTTTACAACGCCTTTCATGCCGATTTTGGCCCGCTGCACATCGGTCACCTGTACCGTTTTGCTGTCTACTTCCATGAGATATTAGGTGACCCCGCAAATAACGATCGGCCAGTGGTCTTCTGGAGCAAGCCTGATTCTAGGAGCCGCGCCAATGCCGCTTGCTTAGTTGCATGCTATATGGTCCTGATACAATCCTGGCCGCCTCATTTGGCTCTGGCACCCATTGCACAGGCAGACCCCCCGTATATGCCTTTTAGAGACGCGGGATATAGTCAGGCAGATTTTGGCTTGACAATTCAGGATGTGGTGTATGGGGTGTGGAAGGCGAAGGAGGAAGGGCTTTGCGGGCTGAAGGATTTTAGTCTGGAAGAGTGAGTCTCTCTACCTTTGGCTGATGTTGTCCTTGTTGTATTCTCCGGTCTAATTGGCGTGGTTTTGGTTTAGGTATGAAAAATTCGAGCGGGTGGACATGGGAGACTTCAACTGGATTACTCCAGACTTCCTCGCATTTGCATCCCCACAACATCAGCCGATTGCCCCAATCCCGCAAAACACACCGGAATTTGCGGCCTTGCCTTCAACCATAACCGAAGTGCTTGTTTCTGATCTACCCGAACCTTTCAAGAATATCCTCTCTCACTTTTCGTCTCGGAATATCGGCCTGGTCGTTAGATTAAATTCAGAGCTATATAGCCCGTCGAATTTCACCGCGATGGGGATTAGCCATATTGATATGATTTTTGAGGATGGGACTTGTCCGCCCCTCACTCTGGTCCGACGGTTCATCAAGATCGCTCATGACATGATCCATAAGAAAAAAGGAATAGCGGTGCATTGTAAGGCGGGGTTGGGTCGCACAGGCTGTCTGATTGGGGCATATCTGATTTATCGCCATGGTTTCACAGCCAATGAGGTTATTGCTTTCATGCGGTTCATGAGACCAGGAATGGTCGTCGGACCTCAACAACATTGGCTTCACCTGAACCAAGGCAGTTTCCGGGAATGGTGGTTTGAGGACTGCTTCAAGGAGAAACTAGCCCTGGCAAACCCAACAACACCCGGCAGGGCTTCACAAAAACAACAGCGCATAGTAAGCAGCAATGGGCAAACAGCCACCCCACCCAATCCTAGCCACCCAAAACGACATGCTCTGGGTGAGATTGATAACAATGAAGCGTCTGGCTACGCTGATGATACCCTTCCTGCTCCCACGCCGGGACAACCACGCAAATCACACCGGAAAGAAAGGCACCACCCTTATGCACGTGCTGTATCTACAGGATTAGGAAACGAGGCGGGAGTGGAGGCAAGTGCTTCAAAGAATGGACCAAAGAGGGAGGGTAGCCTCCGTAAATTGGTGGAACATAATAGTAATAGCGAGAGCGAGGAGGAACTTCAACTGCAGATGCTTGCCAGACGGGCCTCGTCGCGAACACCGGTATCACCATCCCAGCAGCGGTCAACGAGCCATTCCGCTACTGTGAGTCTGAGTATCCATGAAGACGTGGAGAACTATGCGGACGGCGCGGTTGTCTCGAGCCAGCCGAAGAGCTCGCCTGTTGCTAAGAGTGGGAGCGGGATATTGGGCGTAGGCAAGGTTCGCGGCAGCCCGCGGCGGGGACTAGATGGCAAGACAGCGGATAAGGGGGTGCGAAAGCATAGTGGGCGGATTGGGAGCGCGGGGACAGCGACTAGGTTGAAATAATGATGTGGGATATGCATGTGCTGGGATATTATATACGCTTGCCTTTGGGATCACTCTATATTCGGACCTGCCCGTCGCTACATCGATGGCCACCCACCAACCAGCCAACTCTACTTCTAAACTTACCTGTCCGTTATTTGTACAGATCACAGCTTGCAATTCCCGTTTTTGAGCTCTTCTTTTTTTTTTTTTTTAACGGCTGCAACTAACTGAACTGCATTTGTGGCTTTGCTGGCAAGGCGTTGTTGTTTGGAGTTTTATGATTTTACCCCTTTTCCTGTTGTGTTGAATGTTGCCTGGGTTCGGTTGCTGTTGTTGCCTTGTTTATTAAACTTTTTTTTTTTTCTTTTTCATATATATAAATAACGAAGAGGATTCTTCATGGATTTGATTGATTGGTTGATTGATTGATGGATTTGTTTTTTAATAGTGATGATATTATTTTATGGCGATGATGATATATTAGTTGTTGTGGTTTCCGGTAGCCATGCTGTTGGGGGGGAGATACCGATGTTTGTTTGTTCGAATGGCTAAGGGGAACGGGTATTTGCTTGACGATAATGACTTAATTTCTCCTTGTGAAAGTTTTTCGTGATCTTTATTTTAGGTTATAATCGTCCTGTGTTAAAAACGTGAGACAAGCTAGAGAAGAAGAGTAGGAGAAAGGCTAGGTGTTTGAAGTGGTGGCGATTAATGTACACGTACTTGTACTTGTACTGTATGGGCTGATTGATGGTGGCTTCTTTCTACGGCTTCTGATTTTTCTGTCTTATTTTCCTCTCTCTCTTTTTTTCTCCTTCGTTTCTGAAAGCGTTGCTGCTCATTCTTAGATATAAAGTTGACGCTTGGCGCTTAGTGGGGCGGGACAAGGCGGCTAGTAAAATGCCAAGACGGGAATCTCCACTTCGGCTGGCGCTAATTTGTTTACCGAGAAGGGATTCGGGAAAGATCCATGGATGGATGCTCAAAGGTTTGAAGATATACATGACATGGAAAGGAAATGATTCCTCTATGGTGATGTTCTTGAAGCGGATGCATATTTTCCCCTGAAAACAGATTCTTTGCTTGATGGTACACGCTGTAAAAGATATTTTTCTATGAGTTTGATATCCAATCGACAAATCAGCAGTAGTCCCAGCCCAAAAATTCAAAAATTCAAACTCCACACTTGGAACCGCTCCATTCATTCCGGATATGTATGTGCCTGCGGCCGCATTCACCCATTCAAATCCATAGCCGTCTTCGCCCGCTTCCAATAATCCCTTCTCTGGTCGGTAACCTCCGTCCATACACATCTCGTCAAATATTTCTCCCACCCTTCCTGGGAACCAGACTGCAGCCCTTTCCGCACTTCCGGTGAGCATTGGTTGACCATAAACCATGCTGCGGACCCAAAGTCGTGGTCATCGCTTTTGAGGAGGAGGTTCAGGACTGCGTCCTTGTCGCCCTTGACCTTTGCTAGCTCATCCTTGATCTCGTCGAGGGATTCGGCGTATTTGGCGTTGTTCTCGGCAACTTGCATGTTTCGTGCTGGGTTTCTGACGTTAGCTGGCTATTTTCATGCTTCTCTCTTTACTTCCTTGATTGGCTACTATGCTTTGTCGCGGAGAATGGGATACACAAAAGGGGGAAGGTCGGATATGGAAAAATGAAGAGTAAAACATACTTCCCTGCCCCGCCGTCACGGGGAAATGACTTCTCCTATATGCAAACTCTGCCGTTTCATACGCCATCAAACTTAGCAGCGCTGCCTTCTCGGCTGCGGATTCGATCTTGTACCTCTTGAAGGAATTCAGAATAGGTCCCACCGCTTGCGCTGCGCTGCGACATTCACCCGAGGCATCCTTGAGGTCGACGCAAGGCTCCCGGGCGGACCTGGGTGCGATGATCTTTAGTATTTCGATCATCACATTTTTGTCGGCGCCGTTGTCGGTTTTGGGGGTGTCTGCTTGTTGGTCAGCTGGTGGGTCGTCGAAGCAGTCAGCATGGGCGGTTATGAGGTGGAGCGAGAGCAGGAGGGTGGTTGAGAGAAGATTTAGATGCATGATTGAGTAGCGTTTGGTTTGTTTTTGTTTTTCTTTCTTATCGTGTTTTCGTGGCAAGATTGTTGAGTTTCTTCTCAAATGTGTAACTGGCAGGACCTCATGTAAATGTGGAGTTTTTATGAAGTAGAGATTTATGGATATATGGCTAATGAAAATCTTTTCCCCTGATAGAACTTGGGGAAAGTGAAAGGCATTTATATATCCCTAGATGTGTTTTATATAAAGGGTGACGTGAAGCGTGGCTGTCGTCGTCGACGCTCTTCTCTTGAAGTTGAACATGTTCTATCGAGCGGACAAAGCATTCACTGAAAGTCGCCATCTCTTGAAGAAATCCGCTGAATTTCCACGGAGAGGAGAGCTGCTGAATGATGTGAGTAACGAGTGTTTCAAACTGCCTATACCAGTCGCGAGTGATCGGTCTAAAACGATTCAACCCGGTGAAGCCATGCAAGGGATATTCCCTAGCTATCGTGTTGCTTGCTTATTTTCGAGTTTTGCCTTTCGGTAGCTGGCAATAAGGACTGTATGTTGTTCTTTGACCTTTTATCCCATGTCGCCTTTGTTTCGGAAATATTCTCTTTGCCATTAAGTCACTTGGTAGCTACAAGAGATCATACATCTTTCTTTCAGTTTCATGTTTAAAAAATAAAAGAGAACAGTATTGTTTTAACTGTACAGAACATACAACAGGTGAAAACATCAAAGCCATTGTTTAAAATTTCAGCTAGAAGAGCAGATTGAACTGAATTGATATCTTCTCTAACAACTTTTGACTATTCCCAAACTGCTAAACTGAGATCCTGGAGTGATGGTGTGTGGCATGATACCAGTACATGATTTTAACAAATGCTTCAAAAGACAGGATGTACCTTAGTTTCTTTTCTTTTCTTTTCTTTTCTTTTTTTTTTTTTTTTTTTTTTTTTTTTTTTTGAAAACTTGATCCAGTTTTACCTTCAGCATCACTCACTCTCCTGTCCCTTTCCCTCCTGAGGCCTTCATCATCGAACGAGGAATGTTAAACATAATACGTGCAGGTAATAATTGCCCTCATCCGTCGCAGGCGCATTAGGCATGATATAAGTCGGCCAATTTCTTTGATCCATTAAGTTATTGCGAGGGGCCGCCGTTGCAACTGTGTCACAGCCACCACTCTTCCCTTGTTCGAGGGCGCACATAGTCGGAGTGCTTTAACATAATCGTATGTCAGGTTATTATTAGTCGAACTATTTGCCACGTCGTAGGATGATTAAGTAGTCCTAAAGAAGCGGTGGATGAAAGACGTAAAAATATTTTCTCCATTTGCCAAGGGTACGATATTCCGATTTTGGAGTAGTTCTTCAGGAACAACGACAATAATACCCCCGCCGGCGGGAAAACGCAATCGTACGGCTCTGTTTTTCTGTCGGTCAATAGCTCCGGTGTCATTGCTAGACTTTAACTCAAAAATGATGTCGTCTTTGTTATATTCATCATCATATAGTCTGATCTGCTGACCGACTTTCTCGGCGACTCTGGCTACCCAGCAAGCCTGGATGGCCTCTTTGGTGGGGAAAGTGACCACGATGAGCCGCCTAGAAAGCGCAACAGCTGTCACTGCGCCTGTAAAGAACTGTCGTATTTCCGCAAGTTCATCTAACTGTAGAATCCGTCCACAGTCGATGATGTTGAAGAACCACCCGTAGAAATCCAAATCCTTTGAGAGCCAAAGGAACCCATCTCTGACCGGGGAAAGGACCTTGATTTTCCTCCCTGCGGCTTCTGTACCATCGTAGCGACTGGCTTCAGCAGTATGAGGAATAATCCAAGTTGCGGTGCCCATTTTGTCGCATACAAAGACGACCTTGCTCTCTTTTAACGACGGGTGATGGCTTCTGATGAGTGGCTCGGTTTCTCTTACGGCTGAAGAAGCGTGCCGCGCATACGCACACATTCGTGGAGCGTCAATATCAGGCGACATAACTAAACATTTAGGTAACAATCAGCTAGTTATCTAGATACCCACTATTGCAGACGGAGCTACCGATATACATACATGGAATAGGCCGAACAACGGGAAGAAGCAGCCTTGCCTCTTCGCTTGCTGGACTGGAGTCCGGGTAATAGTCGCTGTTAGACAGGCTCATTTTTGCGGTATAATCGAAAATTATGTTCAGGAATTTACGGTCTGGTGGGAGCTGTTTAGAAACCAAGGCGGACAAAAGGACATTTGAAGAGGATTCTCATTTGATATCCCCGAGATCAGGGAATAAGATGCCTATAAAACTGCTCGCAGTTGAGTTTAAAGCAAGGGTATTAACATTTGCCAGGGAAATTAACACTTTTGGGTCTATATCTATGAAATTTCCATCTTCCACGGTTGTGCTCCGTTTATGCTTCGCGCGCGGTTTAGCTGTTCGAAACCCTATATAGTATTGGTAGTGGTCTGGGGAGTAGGTGAAGACATGATAAACTTAAAACTATTAAGATTTGAGCTCATTTATCTTAGAACCATAGCGAGTATGCTTTGCGAAGTTTACATGAGCTTTGAGAAAAGTTGAGAATGACGTCACGGTAAATTGTGAGATCGGCTAAAAGTCAAGGTTTGCCGATTGCCGAGAGTCTAAAAGTTCTCTGCCGAATCCTAGCGACGGACCGAAAGATAGATGGATATTCTACGTGACGATGAACAGAGTTTTACCGTTATCTTATTTCATTTACGTCCTATGAAAGACATGCAAAGATGGAAAACTCGTTCCCTGTTAGAATCATGGCCATGGCTGGCTAAGTACCAGAGAACAGGCTTTTGTTGCCAATCGGCTAAGACATGGGTATGGGAGGTTGTGAAGTTAGCGAAGGAACGTCTAATAATGCATGAGACTACATGCGATGTAAAATGATGAACATATTGTGGTGGCTTCGGTGACCCTTTTGCGACGAGAGAATATCCCGGGTAGCAACGCTCCTCCACCCTATGACAAGTTCGTATTCTTCTTCATTTTACTGCTGCCTGGAGGAGTTTAGCATGGCAGGACTCTTCTCCATTGGTAGAGGGAGGGGAAAGTATTCTTCTTCAAGCAATGCAAAAATGCTGGAGATACAAGACAAGTTGATAATTTAAGGATTATAATCGAATAAACAGGATAGACCTCCCAAAAATGCCGACATTAAACCGGGAATGGCTCGAGTTTGAACGCAGCCAGCTGTCAATTCAGGAAGAGAGGCAGTTGTTAGCAATTCTCCACCGTGAGAGCTAGAGATGAAGCAAATATTCCAATCAGGATATACGATAGCAATCGGCCCCGGAATCGGCTAGTAGTGGTAGTCTATCATGGTAGCGCTCTGGTGGGCTGTGCTCTTGCCCCTGTGTGGGATTATCTGATTTGCTTTTGTTTGAATGTGGTAGCTAATAGTGAACAATGACCCTAGTATTGTGTAGGTGCATGGTAATTGAATGTTCCACGGGGGTAATTAGCGTTGCATATCGGCTTGCTCCGGAGAATCCGTATCCGACACCAATCCATGATGCATGGGATAGCTTTTTGAACATCACAGAAAATATCGCGACCATCGTATGTACATGTACATGTACCTTGTTATGCGGGGCCTGCCAACTTCGTTATTGCTGGTACTTCGTCTGGGGGCATTTAGCTGCCATAGTGTCCCAGCTGGCTACGGCTCATATGAAAACACAAGAGACTCCAACCTGGACTGTATCTGGCGTTGTCCTTCGCAATCCAGTCACCGTCTATGGTGCGGATAAATGGTATACCACCTCAGTTTAGGGATATGCATCAATCATGGGCTCCAGAATTAGATTGCCCAGGACGTCTGTGTAGGGAGGACATGAAGAACGGCCATGGGAAGGAAATATCAATTCACCCCTCGCTGATCGTCCTATAGGATATACGTGGAGGCTAATTGCAGTGGCATTGCACACCCCAAGATCTCTTCGGTGTTCCGGAAAATGAACCCTCTCGCCTATCCGCTCTGGGGAAATCTTCCTAGCCTACCACAAACATTTGTCCAATTTTACGGTATCGATATTCTGAGAGACGATGCTCTTTGTTATGTAAAAGGGTTGACAAACGCTGGAGTTGATGTCTAGTCTAAGTTTTAGGAAGTATATTAATATTACTACCTTGATTCTTGCAAATGGTATGCTAATTTAGGGTCAAGGACCTACCGCACGTCTTTTGGGTGTATGCGCCCCATTTGGAAGTATCCCACAAGATAGAACAAGACTGCGTTGATGGACTTAATTGGATAATCAGCGAATGGCAGTCCGAAATTCTGAAATGAGAACAGGTTGGTTGGAGTTCCAATGGATGGGCTTGAAGCCTAGATGAAGCTATGCTTTAATCAGCTACGCATTTGCTCTGGCAAGTGTTGAAGTGTGAAAGTCACCAATATCTTAGAAAAGTCAATATACTTGCGGATTAGTTGATTGTTTCTGTCATAGGTAGTGAATTATTGATATTTGAAGCAATATGCACAAGAATCGTCCTCCCATACATAACTTCAGAGATCATAATTATCATTTTTAGTCTAGTTCAACATTTCGAACCCGTCATCGACAAGACCCTGAAAACAGCAATCGTTGTTGACTAATTTAATCCATCTTCTCGCATTTTTGCTGGCGCACTGCCATTCAATTTGAAATACCCCGGTTGCAGTCTCTCGAGAAACCCTTCAGGATCATCGTTGTACGAAGCCACCCTTAGCCGCTGGACATTCTCAGCTCCATAACTGGAAATCACATCCTGGAACTGGCTCGCATAGTTCATGAAGAGGTAATCAACATGTAAACCGGATTGCTTCGCTTCCTCCTTGATTGCCTGTAGCATGTCTGAGAAGGCCCGATAGATCATCTTGTCATCAGCTTCATCGGACCACGTTGCGGAAAGGAGGAGCAGGGTATATGGTCCGCCTTCAGATGATAGACCAAATACTTTTCCTTTCATGTGTAACAACATAGATTCGGTGAGGGTTTGGAACCTGCAGTCAGCGATGATACCACTGATATTCCTGACGGGCTGGATCGCCGCAAGAAACGTATCCGTTACGAACCCTACAAGCCAAGCGTCCAATTTAAACGTGTACGTCCAGTGTGTATTTCGTAACCCAGATGGGGCTTCATTTTCCAGAGTTTTTGTGATTTCGGACATATATTGGACTTTCGACGTTGCAAAAATAGTGGGTATAGCTTTCACCTCATCGAAGATTGCAGGATAGGGAATCCCATCCGCATTCTCAAGGTAGACACTGATCCTTTCAGCGTCGCTGGTAACGGTAAAAGCTGTAAGATGATTGCTGCTCCTGGGGTCCTTATTGATATTCCTCCCAAGGCTCACGTATGCATCCAGAACAACGCGTTTTTGATGAATACTGAACCCTCGCACCCCTTGCCACATCAGACTCTGAGGGTATATCTTCACGGTGAACCTGGTTACGATTCCAAAATTGTTCCCCCCTCCACACAGTGCGAAAAACATTTCTGGTCGCTCAGCATCAACATTGAGAATTCCGCCATGGGCGCCGATGATCTACAAGGCAGAAAGTCTGGGTTAATGCCACACTATATCTGAGACGCCATGCGCTGGGAATTAAATGCTAACCTCATAGTTTATAACGTTGTTACAACCCCAACCGTACATATTGGACAAAAGGGAGATGCCACCTTCAATAATGCCTTAGTGGGTTTTCGGCTTCGAAAAAAGCCTTGTTGCTTGTTGACACTCACCTCCGAGGATGTGGCCTCCAACTCCTACGTCGGCGGCAGACGCGCCCACAGCTGTCATATTATTGACCTCCAAAGTTTTATATACATCATACCACGTATTCCCCGTTCCCAGAACTGCAGTCTTGCCATCTGGGGATATTGTGATCTCGTTAATGGCTTGCATATCGAAGGTCATGCCATCTTGGATATTGGATGCGCCGGGGAACGTAGCGTGTCCACCACTTCGGACGGCAAATGTGCAGTTGATTTCTGTATTTACAAACATAGCGAAGGATACTTGTTTGACGTTTTCGGGGCGGAAAATACACATTGGACTAACTTTTGACTGCTGCTGAGACCAAAAGCTCGTTTGGAACCGGCTGTATTTGTCGCTCCCCGGGAATGCAACTGTGTCCGCGTATGTCTTGGAAAGATAAGAGCACGCAAGCTCACATCGGCGGGGGATGGCATTCGTCTCGTTAAATTTAGGGAAGCTCGGCACCTTTTCAAGAGGATCATCTTGGGAGACTGGGGGACTGCTGGGGTGGATATCTGGTGATTTGAAGGCCAAGCTATGCCAACCCAGCAGAATCGATACGAGTGCAGAATAGCAGCTTGACCTCATCACTAGAAATGTGATCGACAATATATATATATATATATTCTTATTGGAAATGGAAGCACAGTTTTCCTTTGCGGGTGAAAATTTGAAGGTGGGAAAACATTGGGTGGTTGGCGCGCACAAGGGATCAGGCAGAGAAAGGCATTTTCCTAAGTTAAAGCAAGCTGTGGATTTCGTCCCCTTTCGTTTTCTCAATGCGTTGACCTTGACCCTCCAACCGCCGCAAGTGACAGTCATAGCACGAAAAATAATAATCAGGGCTAGCCCTAAAAGGTTTATTCGTAAATGCCAACCTCTCATGAATGGGATAAATAAACAGGTGGTAATTTCCCCGAAGGTGTATTCGCTCTTCTGGGATTACCTGCGATAGACAACAAAGGAACAGCAACAAAGGGAATCCACAGGTCGCGGTTTAAGCGCGAAAGAAACACCTGCGATGTGAGAGCTGGGTGTGACTAAATATCATTAAATAAAATCATCGCTGATTTGTAAAATTAGAAATATCTAAGTGTGACAAATAAGCAATATTCAAAAATAATACATTGAAGTTGAGATCAGTGCCAGATATGATCCACTTGGGGGCAGCAGTGCTTTAAATGAGTGCGCGCATGCTACTGCAATGCTGGAGTCCACGCGGCGTGGAGCCAGTGTCGGAACTTCTGCGGGCTGACGTTGACTAGTGGTAGCAGGTGGGTCAGCCGCCATTGATGCAGCAGATCACCAGAAGCTTTGCATTATATGAAAGTAAACACGGCGTGCATATGTATCATAGAGCAAGCCAATAAACGGGATAAAATAAAATGGGAGAAGTCAAAAACAGAAAAAAAAAAGAAAGAAAAGAAAAGAAAACTCACCTCGTATGATCTCCGCCTCCTTTACAATGTCACCCAGCGTCATCCGGCGGCCACATACTCTAAACTCCGTCGTCCACTGCGGCAAATCCAGCGCTGCAACAATATACCTTGCCAAATCCTGAGCGGAAGTCATACACACGACCACGGGCGCCCCCAAAACATTAAAATAAGGAATCTCAGCCTTCATCATGCGGATATTCATGAGATATTCCCCCTCACCATCTATATACGTACCCTTACCAAGTTGAAACGCTGCCATGCCTCCTGGCGCAAAGCGTTCGTAGAAGATACCGCAGGCGAAAACTGCGTACTGCATACCGTACTGTTCGTAGTATTGCAGGAGGGCGAGGCTATTTTCGTTTCCGCGGTCTAGGACGTTACCGGCTGGACGCATGGATGGCGGGCCTTCAAATTCTGAAGGGACGAAGCGCCGGACGTGGACATGGGCGGCGGCATCAATGAGGGCTATCTCGGCTTCTCCTGATATGGTTGAGATGACTGTATCGATTCCTGTTAGGGCATATCGAAGGCTACTGCTATTGCTGTAGTCAACTTCCAGTACTTGCCAGCCTTTCGCTGCGAGGCCTGGGTTGCTCTGGAAAATGGGATCATTAGCTTATTCAGTAAGAAAGATTTTAGGGGGTAGTCGGGTTGAGTAGGGCCGTTTTGAGTACTGCATTTCTGTACATACATATCGGGAAAGGAAGTAAATTGGTGGTACGTTTGCGTCGAGATGTAGTGGGCAATGTATTGGGCGAGCCCACTGGTCCCAGCGATTGCTACCTTCATCATGGTCAAACTGTGTGTGAAATGAGCGAGTTTGAAAATACATGATCCAAGGGGGAGGTGGTATAAATAGACATGAGGATGCAAGAGTGCCGGCCGCTTGGAGTCAAAGTATGCGGCGCTTTTCCTCATCTGCAAACAGTTTCTTGAGCGGCAGTTCCGTGTGTCCCAGGTTCCAGTGTCTCCGAGGTGCATAGCTTGCCCATGGGCATCAACCAAAAGTTCACCCTATGACTCTGGGGAGGAGAGGCGGAGGTTTGGAGCGCAATCGGTAAACAAATCAACGTCCTGTGATCATGTAGTGAAAATTTTCCTCAGAGGGTAGCGTGGGCATAATTGTGCTAGGATGGTTAAAACTGTGTGAAAGAAACAAAGGACATAAGAGCAAAGCTCCATCAAGACTTCAGCTAGCCAATCTTCGTGTAGAAGTAGGATGTATCATATTTGGTCAAGCACAGACTTTCGTCAGTATTGCATCATGATTTCTCAGATAAACATGTCCATCATCCTACTATGGATGTATGGCCAATGAAATAGTAAGCCCTCCCTGACGTTTGGCCAAACGTGATTACTAGGTCTTTCTCAAGTAGCAGCTAGAACGCTGCATGAAATATTTTATACCCAATACAATGGAAATAAATAGTCTCTCCCGGATAGAAGAGCAAAGTTTAAAAGTACAGGAAAAATTAATGTCAATGAATGGACGTCCTTCACTGGATGCTGGTTGGTTCCATACCCCCAAGCATGGGGATCCCTTGATATTCGACAGGCTGACTGACCAATCCGTGAGCGGCGCAATGGGGCCCACCATAGCAACAACGTCATGCAGGATCTTTGAGCATGGATAGGGTATGGGGGATATAGGGCATATGCAGTAGAGCCGCAGTCTAAATGCCGCAAGGGATGCTGAAATTGGAAATAGACCGTGTGTAGGCAATCAAGGCCTGCGCGATCCCAAAAGATGAGGGCGGGAAATGAAATAGGCATCGTAAGGGAGGTTGAGAAAGCACAACGTAGGTCTCTACGGTGTATCTGTCATAAACTGGGCTCTTGCAAGGCGGGTTAATGGGTGGGTTGGCAGATGATACCCATTTCCAAAAGGATTGTGCCTTGTGGGATGAAAGAAGAAAATAAAAAGCTCAAGGCAGCAGTAGAATCTGCAGAACAGTGATCCCGGCAACTTGTATCCTCCATTCATGGTGGTAATCACTGCAGAAGGAGAGCCATGCGCTTTGCAGCAGGATGCAGAATCCATGTGGGGAGAGGCGAACTGGGCTCGAACGGGTGTCATACAGAGTTCCCACCCTGCATCTCCTGTTCGCCAGCTGATTGATTTCCCAAATCCCGGGCTGACAGGCGGTGGCGGGTATTGACATGCTGAATTGATAAATGGGGTGTTGTTGCCTGTTGTCTGACTCGGAAGTGAGTTCTGGCGGAATCTGTGATACTGGCGCGGAACGATACCACGTGACTCCGCGTCCGTGCTCGTCCTGGCGGGATCGCGTTAAACGCGTTTAATCGCGGGATCGTTGAGGAAGACGGCGGGGACGAACGTTGTGTTTTAGGGAATGAAGTAGAGTTGATCTGATTATGCCGGAACGTATGGCTTTTAGAGTCAAAGTTTGCCGGGTCCGTTTCTGTTTCCCGTCAATGTACTACGTAGGATTCTGTCTAGAATACTGGATCGTGTAAGATTCTAGTGTCCAAACACTGGCAAACGGGGGTGATAAAAAACATTGCCATTCTTCTCCATGGTTTACTAGGCAGTAAAACATTATCGTATGGAAGAAGACAAAAGAGAGGCTGGAGAAGATGAATAATAGGTTTCTTATTTTTTGACGGTTGATATCCTCCCCCGCTAGTTATTTACAGCGATTTAAGCGACGCCAACCCAACCAGTCCGGCGAAACAACCCGCTGCAACCTGGATGACGCCCGTGCACCCTCCGCGTCCACAGCGCGACGCGAGCAATATCAGAACCACCTGCGCCCTGCACCATACCTACCACTTCTCGTCGTCTCCGCTCTCCTCTCCTCCTCCGCTTCTCTCCTCGTAGCGTGCATTTATCACGTCAAATTTCTGCACGCGGAGACACAATTCCTGTGCAAAGATATTCAACGGGTGATCAATTGTGCCCTATCCTCTCCCACCAAGATGAGCGATCCCGCGCAGCCATCACCGGCTGGCGTAAATCCTTCTACGGGGCCGCCGGCGGGAGACTCCACGAATAACAATTACGCATTCCTCGTCCATTCCCAGAAGTCTTTAACACAAAATCTACCTCCCAAAGTAGATAACAAGGCCCTGGCGCGGCAGAAGCGTCGAAGGACAAGGTATTTCCGTCCCTATATACCCAAGCTTTCTACGTGATACTTGAGGGCTCTATATATAGCCCGTTCCCATCTCGTCTCCAACTTGTGTGGTCTTTGCCAATTCAGATGCTAATTTCACGTTGTAGTCCTGATGACCAAAAGATTCTCGAAGCGGAATATCAACGGAATCCAAAACCAGACAGGGCAACGAGGGCTGAGATCGTCAACAGCGTTTCACTGGGCGAGAAAGAGGTTCAGGTATGGTTCGAGGACGTATTATGTTTCTCGGGAGACCAGAGGTCTAACGCGTTCCTTTGATGAAGATCTGGTTCCAAAATCGACGGCAAAATGACCGACGGAGATCCAAACCACTCAATCAAGAAGATCTCAGAGCGCCCAAATCCTCCGGTTCAGATCAGGACACGTCCAATGGCGACAATCCCACGAACCCTAAGAGCCAGTCCTCTCAGTTGCCCAAGGCTGGTCAGGGAACTGGTGGTCAAATCAGCACTGACGCGAGACGCGAGTACATATGTATATCGCCAGGTAGCTCATATAGGTCGCCAATGGCGGATTTGTATGGGGCAGCCTTTAGTTCTCAAACGAGCAATTCACAGACAACCGTTTTATCTCAGCACGAAGAAACACATGTCGAGGTTGGCAAACAGAAAGAGTCAACAGGTGGGAGCAAAGAAGGCAGTGCAACACTGATAAACGAAAAACTCCACATCGAGTCGATCAGCAGGAAACGGTCCAGGTCTGAGCCTGAGGCTCCAAACACAAACAAATACAGCCCGCCGACTTCAAGCACATTTATACCCCCTCCCCTGCGCATATCATTGTCTTTCGACGGGGAGGCAGTGGTTCGCAAGGAAGGGGAAAACACCCCGTCGCCACAAAAACCATTGGACTCCATTCGAATTTCCATGTCTGCGGATGGTGAGGCTCTAATTAGAGCTGCGAATGAAGAATCCCCTATAAAGAACCGCACGTCTCTATTCCACAATACCCGACCTGCTTTTGGAGGACTGCGAAGGAGCATCAGCGCTTTTCCCCTCGGCGCGCTGAAGGGGATAAAGGAACAACAAGATCCTAAGCCATTTGGTAGATCTCGTGACTCCCGTAACTGGGAACTTTATTGTGATACCGATGCTCGAACTGCGTTGCAGGGGTCAAAAAGCAGTCTTTTGTCATCCACGTCTCGAAGTGTGAAACTAAGTCGCCGAAAATCCGACTTAGGTCATGGGCGCAAGGCCTTGATGCCACGAACCAATCTCCCCAACACCTTGCCGCTCACCGAAGAACCTGAAGGGAAGCGTAAAAAGCTGTCACGGGCAATGTCTTCTTTAGCTCGTTTAGAAACTGGTCACAAAGTATCGACATCCAAGATGGGAGTGGGAGAGGGAGCCATGGATTACCACACAGGCGACTCAGATAAAGAAAATTGGATTCCGGGCACTCAAATGTCCGCAGCAAGGCGGGCGCCTTCTAACAAACAGAAGGCCCGCCGTGGAGTACTCCAGAAACCCAACCAAATCCAGAATACTAGCAATCGACAAGTAACGGGCTCTAACAAGACGCAGCGGGGCTATCAAGGCCGACTTCTTAATCCCAACCCCAATACTACTTCAGAGGATGCAGATGATGGAACTGAAAAATCTTATGGGGAGCTGGGCGAAATATCCCGGCTCAGTCAGGATGAAGATCTGGATTGCATCCAGGGTTTGCTGTCTTTGAGCCAGGGTGCTTGGAAATAGTTAATCATGGTTGATCAACGGAATGGAAACTTATTTTTTTTTGGCTAGAATTATATAACTACCCTTGGACTTTGATTTTGTTGGCGTTCTCTGGAAGGCGTGGTTTTAATGCTGCACAATAACGGCCATGTTTTATAGATGAGAGAGTCTGGTTAATAATAAGTGGACTATATTTTGCTCGCTCCGTCCTCCGCTACTGCAAGCTCGCGGCCCATCATTGGTAACTCAGCATACCTGACGGCATCTTCCAAATTTGCTATGAATCAACTTCTTTCGCATAGTTACCAGCTTGTTTCACAAACAAAAAAAAAAAAAAAGAAAAAGCAAAAATACAACACAGCATCAACCACCTGCAGAACCGGCTTCTGCAGTAACCCACACCTTGCTTTGACCTCGCCGTCGGAAACGTGGTCCCCAGCCGGCCAGGCCCCGCCGCTTAATGAATCTGCGTGGCTACCCTACTTTTGGAAGTTTATCGCCTGCTTCCACCTGCTTACGAGCGGGCAGCTGGAATCAGTTGCCGCCAGCGATTCAACGCCCTGTTCCTGTAAGTAACCCTCCATGGGATGGTTTCCAATATGGCTGGATGGGCCGTTCCGGCAGCTTCATCTTTGAGCCACATCCTAGCCCTTGCGGTCCCCGCGCCTCTCGCATGTTTCCTGTGTCCCGCCCCGTATCAATCAACTTGCAATAACAGAGAAATCTTCGAGGGCTTATTTTTTCTACTATTTTGCGAAATAAGCTTGAAGCGCTATTCGTTTTTGAACTATTTTCCTGCTCTAATTTTCTATGTTCTCTCATGTCCTGCCCCGTTCTCTCGGTCATCTGACAGCGAAAAAAGTGTTCATCATGAGCTTTAAGCTCTCATTGGCGGCGTTCGCGGAACAAGCTATGGAACAGCTTATGTTACTCGATGTTCTAGCCACCCAGCTCAACCACTTGATTTACATATATGCTTTGTAGTGCCCAACAAATACCTAGAAACTTTTGCATACTCGTCTTCGAGTTTTTTGTTGTACCTGTCTTTCCGGTTTCCTCTTATATTGAAAGATCTCGGTTTAAGCTGAGGACAGGATCCTTATACATATCCCTACTATCATTAATAACTTTGCCACCCCGACTGAATCCTCCACATAAGCTTCTACCATGGAATGCAGAGCTAACGGTCTATCGAAATCCGCAAAATGGCTCCAGATATCCCCTCTAACCTTGGATCTTCCTCTCTGCCAGAGCCTACATTCCACAGCGGGTCTGCCTAAACATAGAAAGGGTTTCACTAGCCCCTCCACCATGCACAGGACCCCGCACGTGGGAATTGTCGGTGCGGGCCTCGCGGGCTTGAGATGTGCAGATGTTCTACTTGATACTGGCTTTCGAGTAACTATCCTCGAAGCTAGGAATCGAATTGGCGGTCGCGTATGAAAATATTTTTTTTTAATATTTTTCCTTTTCCTTCTCTTTAGTTACACAGGTGGGCATAATTCTGATCTTCTATTACATACTAGGTATGCCAAAGCGACGTTGGCAAGTATGAAGTGGATGTGTAAGAGTGGCACAGTCTCAATCTTTTTTTTTTTTTTTTTTTTTTTTTTTTTTTTTGAAGAAAATGACGGATGCTAACGTCTTGTCTACAGTGGACCAAACTGGATACATGGGACACAAAACAATCCCATCGCAGATCTCAGTAACAGTTCAAAAACTATTACCCATGCATGGGGTGGTTTGCAAAATGTTATTGATACATCCGGAGAGCCTCTGGATGGGAGACTGATAGCAAGGATTTCAGACTTTATATGGACGACTGTGGAAGATGCATATGAATATAGTCGTCTGAACAAAGAAATCATTCCAGCAGACAAGAGCCTCTTTGACTTTATTAAGGAGCAGCTGGAAAAAGCAGAGTTTTCGGAAGTTGAGAAGGAAAAATGCATTGAGCTGTCGAAATTATGGGGTTCATACATTGGGTCTCCAATTGATAGACAGAGCTTGAGATTCTTCTTTCTGGAAGAGTGTTTAGAAGGGAGTATGTTTTCCCCCGACCTTTCTATCTTCCAACCGATTTAACTAACTGCCTTTGCCTAGCCAATCTTTTTGTGGCATCCACATATAAGAAAATCGTCGACTCAGTAGCTGCCGCTGCACTCAAACGCGCTGAAGTCCATCTCAATGACCCTGTGGTCAAAGTTGAAGCAAAACCCCGAGTTTCGGGTACGAACCACCAAGTTAGTGTTACGACATCAACGGGGACCCAATATGTCTTTGATGAGCTGGTAACCACGTTCCCCCTCGGCTGGCTCAAGCAAAATAAATCCGTCTTCCAACCGGCCCTGCCAGCCCATCTCTCCAAGGCCATCGACAACATCTCATACGGCCAACTAGAAAAGGTCTACATCCACTTCCCCTCCGCTTTCTGGGAACAACAACCAACCACGGGCCCCACCACCAGCACAAAACACCCCCTATCAGCCCTCCAAAAATCCCAAACCCCACTTCCCGAAATCTCCCCGTTCACCGAATTCCTCTCCCCCACCTACACAAACCACCCAGTCACCACCCCCTTCTGGAACCAACAATGCGTCTCCCTCTCCGCCCTTCCCAGCCCATTTGCCCACCCAACCCTCCTCTTCTACCTCTACGGCCCCTCCGCCACCCATCTCGTCTCCCAAATCCACGCCATGCCCCCCTCCTCAAAGGAATACCACGACACAATTAACACTTTCCTGCACCCCTTCTACTCTCGCCTACCAGGCTACGACCCCTCGTCGCCCAATTGTCATCCAACTGCCGTCCTCGCCACGCAGTGGCAAAAGGACCCCTGGGCGGGGAACGGCAGCTACTCGAATTTCCAGGTCGGGTTGGAGCAGGGGGATCGCGATATTGAGATTATGCGCGAGGGCATGGGTGTTGAGCGCGGGGTGTGGTTTGCGGGCGAGCATACGGCGCCGTTTGTGGGGTTGGGGACGACGTCGGGGGCTTATTGGAGCGGGGAGGCGGTTGCGGGTCGGATTTGTGAGTTCTTAGCTGGAACAGGTACCGGTGGATAGCGGGGAGCTGGCGGGTTGCCGGGGTTAGATTGCTTTTGAGGTCGTGAATGGGTTTAAGTGGGGATATTTCTAGTTTGTGTGGGTATTGGTGATTTTCCGGGACGGGATAGCTAGGTCAATTTCGGTACCTTTGCTTGTGGCCATGTTTTTTTTTATTTTTCGTTTTTGGTACTTACTATTGAGCACACATATACATCTATACATATATATCTGGCTGATAGAAACTGAATTATACACATTACACTTACTTAGAAACCAATTATATACAGCGATTTGACGAATGTTCCTCATTAATAGTATATTCTGATCATGGAGACTCCCTACAGAACACATTTAAGGTAATTAAGTCACTCACTATGCTTGCCCGGACTTATCCTAACCTAAGGTCAGAGAGTCTACATGAAGAATGGGAAATAGCGTGTTAAATCTAACTATCATGACAGACAAATTGAACAATTCTATCAGATATAATTATTTCTCTTCATTTATTATCTTTTTAGCTTCTACTGTATTAGTAAATTGATACATTCCAAAGTTTCATAGTGGTATGCTCCGTAGTTCTACTCAATTGACGTTTCATAATAACAAAACTAACAATCGAACCGTTCCTTATGTGATATAATGAATAATCGACGCTAGTAGTAAACATAACAACTGTGGAAAAAGGTTGTTTTTGGACATTTTTACTCCTGTCAAATATATATAGGCAGGGTGCCCCAGGCTCAGGGATGTAGCATGACCATACAAAATATATAGGAAAAATTTGGAAAAATTCACCGCAAGTAATTATATTTCCAAAATTTCGCTCTCGGGCTTTACATTTCATTACATGTAAAAATAACGACAGTGAAAATCTGAAACGCCACATCGCCGCACACCCCTGGCTAACCTGAGGCCGCCTGGCAAAGACCTCCTTAGATTCGATTGGAAATGATGGATCAATTGTAAGCGCGAGACTCTGAATTTTCACATGAGATTTGATGTTGTCGTGGATGATGAGATGGGGCAATGAATTGAGTGAATGAAATGATGGGAGCGGGATCCCCGTCTTTTCGGAGATTAAGCTTAGCTCAGGATATGTAAAATGGGAATTTAAGATTAACGGTTCTGGTGGGCAGTGGTGGACATTTGAGTTTATTGAGCACGAGGGAGGGAAAGGGTGAGATGTATTTGTACAGAAATTTGAGGGTATGGCAAATGGATATGGAAATGGAGAGTGGGAAAATCGGAAGCGCGTTAAAGACTGGAAAACAATAGCCATCATTGTAGCATAGAGTTATATTTGCGCTAGTAATGATATTTCATGTATTGAATTGTCTCTGGCCATTTACATCCCTTACTTGGATTTGTGGCCTGGAGAATATGACAGAAATTTGTTGGAGCAGCTAAGGGTAGACAGGAGGAAATTCGAGGTCGAAATTGAGAAGGGCGAGAGAGAGAGAGAGAGAGAAAGAGAGAAAATAGAACAGGGTATCGCAAAACCTGCTCAACCAACGCCAAACGAACTCATATCCATGAGGTAAAAGCATGATTAACTGCAAAACAAAAATGGACGAAGTAGTATTGTTACAGACATGTAGAGAAACAACGCAGGTGACATTCGAAGGGAATAAAACATAAAAGGATGAAGGGTATGGCGCTGGCGTGAGACGATGATCAAGATGCAATTTGAGGGTAACTTATGTAGGAAACGGGGTAGACCATATATGAAACAAAAAAAAAAGATCGTCAAGGATACACCTACTTCAATCTTCCCAAATTGTTTCAAGGTCCAGATCTTGTCTCCCCTCTGCCCCGCAAACGCTCCAGCGTTTCCTCTTGTCCGCCCGACAACCGCCGTAGGAACCCAAGCCCCCAAATCGCGGATTACCCAGCGGGCTCGAAGAGCCAGAAACGTCAATAGCACTCCGCCGTCGGTTGAAATCTTTGCTGGCGGCAGCTTCGTCGGCTCGATCTGCTGCAGCTTTCAACCTGGCAATTTGATCGGCTTCGATGGCGGCGGCTTCTGCGTCGGGGATATCTGGGATCGTCTCTAGGGAAGATATGCTGGGGCTGCGGGAGCGTATACTCGACGGGGTCGACGGCATTGAGGAAGTAGAGGAGTAGGAGTAGGAAGGGTAGGATTCGTTGAATTTTGAGGGAAATACTATTGGGGATGCCTGGGCGGAGATGGGACTACTGTTGCCTGGGTAGAGGGGGGAGGATGGTCGTCGTCGAGCTGTGCGGGGAAGGGTGTTAAGAGTTCCAGGCGATAGAGGCGAGGCGTGGGATACATCGAATTGAATCCTTCTCGATCTAGGGGTGGCCTGAAGCTCTGGATGCTCAACGATCGTTTCTGATATATTCAGCGTACTGATGCTCTGGTATAAACCGTCTTCCACCGAAGAGCGGAGCGGACTCTGGCGTCCCGTTGTCGAATCATGAGGACTGGATGATCCTCCTGTGTGTGCTGTAAATGTGTATCGACCGCGCGAGTCCGGTCCTGGAGAAGAGTGGGCACGTGCCATGGATGGAGCTCCTGGGCTCGCCAGAGAGCGCGAGCGAAGATGTGTTCTGCCGAGGGAGGAATAGGGTTTTGGGGTGAGATTTAGAGTTGGTGGAATCGTCAAGGGCGTCCCCGTCGTCTTCGTTTTCGTCGATGAAGTGGTAATGGTAGCACCGCTATGAACATTCGTTGCTGTTTCTGTGGTTTTAAATGTCGAGGGAGGTGCGAAGCTGCAGTTCGCAGAGGGTTCTTCCGCGTATTCATCTGCATACTCGGGCGGGCTGGGAGGAAGCATGATATCCTCTGGAGCCAGCAGAGTCGAAGACATGATGCTTTTTGTGGCAAAACAAAAGGCGTAAACGGAAGAAACGGGTGATTAGAGCCCCGGTGGTAAAATCATAAGGCGCAGATCACGGATGCATGCTTAGTATGAGAACGGGGGAGAGCGGTGGGAGAGCAACCAAAACTCGCGGAAGCGCTGCCCGGCGGTAGGACAATGCTGCAGTGTCTTTAAGCAAGCTGCAAAACCCCGGCGAAAGACGATCCCCGAACACTCCCTCGGCCTGTATGTCCCAAGTAGAGTTCTTTCAATATTTGCCCGCAGCAAGCCGTGCACTCAAGGGGGCGTTCCTAAGCAGGTGGGGGGGGAGGGTGTTGAAACTCCAAAGGGGGGAGAGAGAAGGCGAGGATAAGGCCACCAACCAACTTCAAGCGAGATAATCCGTCCAGTGGCTAGCCATGAATGCGCGATGGGGGCCGCACGCAGACAAGCAGTGCTCCGTAGATCAAGGGCAGAAGTGGAGAGAGCGTGTGCCTTGTCTCCAGCGTGAACGCCGGGGATGCATGCGATCGATATATATAAAAGGGGGGGAAGTGGTTGGCGAGAAGTTGGTTGGCGACTTTTATGTGGTTCTTGTCTGGCGGCTGATACGGGGGTTGATACATACAGTACATCGGTATTATTGTATGGAACGAGGATAGAAAGCTGGTGGGAGGGGCTTGGCAGGCAGTAATGCCTCGTATGGTAACGTGCATGGCCGGGCGGGAGGCTGACTAGGACTGCTGTGATTGGCTGTGGTGCTGAGCACGGAGCCCTGTAAGCGTGTATTGGTATGGTATCGGATCTTACGCAGGATAGGAGGGTTTCGCATGGTCACCTGATGCTGGTCTGGTGCCCAGTTCTTCTTCGTCTGATGATGATTTTATCTTATTATACACCATGCCATGCCTTGTTGTCTGCCTCCCCTTGGTTGTCTCCTCTTGGCTGCTGCAATAAGTTGGTCTGCTTATTTGTCTGCTCTAATCTCGTCCAGAACCCAGCAGGATCATTTCTTACAACACAGAGGGCCCCCCATCAAATGGCTCTCCTTCGCAGGCAAATTCCCTCATCCACAGGTCATAGCCTATCGCTACGGTCTATCGGGGCTACGTTCTGCATAGCAAGCTTCCCTCCCAATAAGCGGGCTTGTCAATCATGCAATGGTTCTTTGTATCAAATCGTCTTCTAGAACATCCGACATCATGCACTGGCAGGCCACGGCCCAACTGCTCTCCTCGCGTCACTGGCTGGCTGGGAGATCAACCAGGCGGACCAGAAATCGAGAAACTGGTATCTGAATAATCTATTGATCTGTCAAATTCGGTTGAGAGGAGTCGAGGAGAAAAAAAGTTTTCCACCTGATTAACTTGCCCTCTCAAGCTTGTGGCTATCTGCTCAACCAAACAAGGATGACAAGAAAATGCCGCACTAACGAAAATTGCTATGTGGATCGCTTTCGTTTATCTAGAGAAGAAAGAGCATGATTGAGAATCCTGAAACTCGCTTTCGGGGAGAAAACCAATGAGATGAGAAAAGCGAGTAGAAAGACGAAATAACCGCTGGTTCTTCTGTATGCGCAAAACTGCAAAATTTCCGATCTATCAGAATATGAGACACAGAACTATTTATGCATACGGGGGCAGCATTATTGAAACATAAGGTTGCTCCAGAGTTGCAACGTTTCAGTCATTGGAATTTCGTCTAACGCTGAAAAGGCTCATTCTGGTTAGGCGCTTGGCTCGTGAAAAATGTTTCCCTTGAAGCTGGAGCATCGCGGATACTTCTCTCGAGCTAATTTAGGATGCGCGCCGTGAGTCAACCTTGACCACTAAAATCTGGGCAATTTCAACTATAGGCTCTCAATTTCTATGGGACAGAAAATAAAAACAAGGGAAAGGAATAAAATCTGCAAATGGGCGCGGGCGCTACCGACGTTAACGAGATGTGGAAAGGAAGTCAATTGGTATGGTTACTAGCATTGTTCAGACGATTCTTCATAGGTACTTGAACTGGGAATTTCTCTAAGGAATTTCCGACGATATGCAGCGCTGAGAATGGGGCTATGATGGACGAGCAACTCTACCTGGCAAAGGATTGCAATGATAGGAGAATCATGTCTGTATGCTTCGACGGATATTTTTTCGGGGTCACTCTGAGCAATACGCACTGTATGTACGGAGTACAATGGCAGAGGATACGAAATATACCAGGCTTAGATGCTATTTCTACACAAATTTCCAACTGAATATGAGCGGAAATGAATCAAACCACATCATATATTCCGTATATTCCTATCAGCTATGTGGAGTAAGTAACTACTCCTATTAGTTGTCCATCTTCCATTAGA